ACACTTTTACTAAATTATACAGATCTCCACAAGAGAAACAGTACTGGTGGGGGTTGTAATTTTTTTATGTCGAGGTTGACATTTACACGAACGCAAGGTACCTTTGTTGAACTAGAAACGTGTCATATGAGATAAAATTAATATTGAAGAATTATTTTAAACCAGGGGAAAGCTGACATTCTTTGTTATGTGATCCATACATTTACAGAGATTGCTCAATGTATAGAGATTTGAAGTATTCGGGCTTCAACTACATATTTTTTTGGAATAAAGTTGTTATTTTTATTTTGACATTACATGTTAGGTAACAGTGTAACTGAAGTTGTGCATCATACCAACCTATTTTTGACTAGTATAGCCTTCGAACCTACCTATTTCTTGTAGAACGACGCATGCTACATCTGCTGGTCTTTGGCTTACATATTCCGAATTAAGTGCACTTTCTATCAAATCCACAACGTCTGCCCGATCTACTTCCAAAGCAAAACTCTTGACGTCGCACATAATAGCAGTGTCTGTTTTCCCGGTCTTTGCCGCGTAAGATGCCACGAGCATCTTGGTTGGTTCCGTTTCGCGTTCAAGTTTTCTTATTTCCGAGTAAGAATACCCCATAGTGTGTGCCATCATTCGCCAGTCGTTCCCCAGGGGATCAACGGGGTCAAGTAGGAGGGATAGTTCTCTTAATAAATTGTAATCCATTTCTAAGAGTCACCCAAGAGTTTTCCTTATTAATATTGTTTATATCTACTCTTTCTCTCTTACTTTTCTCCTGTTATCCAAGTGCACACTTGTTTTTCTGTAGAAACATCAAAATACCTTTTCTTAAAATCAAATGCCATCGGAAATGAAATTGTAATATGTGTTGAAATCAGCAAAGGTTCTAGGCAGCACGCCTCCAGAATAGAATGACTTTCTTGAACAGCGTCAGACCATTTAAATGATATATGACCTCGTTACTCTCCTGGGCTGCTGCTCAATACCCCACTTTACAATCTTTATAATTGGCGCTTTATCTATGCACAGCACTGCTGCAGTTATGTAGCGATTTAAGGCCTCTAAAATGTAATTTAAGTTTCAGCCCCAAGAGTTTGCACTGGGTATCTTGTCTTAATTCTTTAGATTAAAATTTCAGGGTATATAATACTTGGTATTTCATCTGAATGTCAGTTTATGCAATATCGGCGGTATACACAGCCAGGGCATTCCATAGCGTCTTGAAGGCTGAAGTCACACAGGAAGCAATCAAGGATCTGGATGACGTCATAAAATTAAACACCTCTTAAGTCAGAACGTTTCTGGACTTTATCTATTCATTTAAAAAAAACAAGAATATTCCAGTAAGTTTTTATTTTCCTTGTCCTGAAAAGGGCACTTCGTGGTAACTTTTGGACATAGCCAGTGTCCTCCATCCGTCTGCAAACCTTGTATACAGTCTAGGTACACAGTATATCTGGCAGCTACACTACATTTGGGGGATCTAAACGCCCTCCTTACTGAGAAACGACCTTGTTGATTTGTGAGCTCCTGGCAGCCAGAGGGACAATGTACACATTTGATGCCACTTTTATGTGGCACATGGAAGAATACACATCACTTGCGACAAATAACCGCCAAACAGATTTCACCAAAAGCCCTATCACTTGGTTGCGACGACTATCTATACACACGCAGCAGTACTTTTGTCACCCCCCCCCCCTCCCCGTAGGATACGCCCTTTATTGTGTGTTTTAAAGCCTATCAAGGCAGGATTTTCCCTCCAAAACTCATGTTTACAAATTTTTCTGGGGTAAACGGCATTATACCCCACCAACCCACCTTTAATATTTCCTTTCTGACACTAGCCATACTTCCGGAAAAGGGAAAGATAATCACCCGAGCTAAAGCACAAGTTCGTCAAGATGGCTGTCTAACGAGTTTCAATAGAGGACGGTGAATATAATGATTTTTATATAGGCCATTTATCAGTAAATTTGTTTTAAAAGTTTTAATTGTCCCCCGGTAAGTTCAACAAGAAGCTATTAATGCTCTTTGAATGCTTTCAGATTCCTGGCTTGAATTACTTTAACATTGTTGGTGTACCTGCAATGGGATGCATTGACTTTTTTATTTGTATTTATATCGGTTGCAGTATAAGGAGCCTACAACATAATTATATGTGCCATTTTAGCTTAGTGTATAATAATAATAATAATAATAATAATAATAATAATAATAATAATAATAATAATTTATTTTATTAATATTATTAAGTAACTTTATATGTAGATTAGTCAATATAGCAACTGATATACATATACGTAAGTAGTAATCTTTGTGTAGACAGTTTATGGATTGGTAATGCCGGTAGCTAGAACAGCAAGATCATAATTTTCTAACCCTTTGTGTTAGCATGAATACTCCCTTTTAAACATGCAGTACATTCAATAACTTCTCAATCGAGCCCTTGAAGAACCTGACTAACAATAACATTGGTCACTTCAATTTATGTTATCTGGGTAGCAACTATCAGCCTGAGAACCGAGCAGCAATGACTGTTTCTTAAAGCTTATCGGCACTATGCCATGTGTGCGGCGAAAGAATTAGGGTCTTGGAGATGGCTAATCAGTCAATTATATTTCTTGAGGTCTTCAGCAATTTCCATTACTAACCACTCATCAGCCAGTTGGTATATAAGCCTAGAATATTGTGCATATACTGGTAGGGAGTCTCGCGTTACTTAAGACCATATTTTGTAAAATTCTCTAAAAGATGCCTAGCGAAAAATTTCTCCGCGCATACCTGAGACTCTTTTCTCTGGCTAAACAATCTTTGATTCTTCTTCCCCGACACAATCTGGGGAAATTAAAAAGACCTTAACCTTAGCGTCCGCCATCACTTCGAGCACTATCGATAGCCTACTTTCAGGTTGCGCACGATTCAAAACTGTGTCAAGATGTTTGGCAGGTGACATGGTTCGGCAGCAGGTGACAAATTAGATAAGTTTTACGGCGTTAATTCATGACGTTTATGTGTTAACATTAGCAAAAAGTATTTATAACAAAAAATGGTTTATTTATTTTAAAGCACAAATAAATAAATAAATAAATGAACAAACGTATATTTAAAACGATACGTTAAGTTTTGTATCAAGCTGAATAAGGGGAAAGCCTTCCATGCATTGCTGCATAATTTCACATAACACATCTAGAAAACACATATGAAATAGTAATTGTACTGTTTCTATAAATATCTGGAATATAAGAACACATGAAATAAATTGGGTCGTCTGATATTTCAAAAATTCTGAACTGCCACTATGAACGTCCCTGGGCTGTTACAGCGAGGTTATTAACCTGATAATGTTATGTTAACAAATTTATCATTTTCCACAGTGACGATTGCGTTTTCCTGACAGTGTCAGGAGTGCCAATATCTTGGTATTAAAACATTTTTGTGAATAATAGCATGCTTAATGAGTTGCATCAGTGTCAATGCGTTATTGTTATCTTGGTTTAAATACGTACTTAAACGATCAAAGGAGTCAAACTAAACAATTTAAGCCAACTGATATGTGAGAATTAATCTCTCTTCAGTTTACTCTCCGTGCTGAGTATCCGTCGTTTTCTAGTTGCAGACAAATGTCATAAACCTCATCGTTCTTGATAAATCGACATAGGTAATGAAAAAGATTGAATATTTTTTTCCTTAGGGATTTTTAGCGTTTGATGCATTTTTGCTCCCTAAGTAAAATGGAGCTCTTGTTGTTTTGTGTCTTTTGACAATACAAGGAGTTTTGAACGTGGTTATCAAGATTATTACTGTATATTACTCTAGATCAAATTTTGACTACTTTCTTCCTAATTACCTTAGTGAGTCAAACTATGTTTGCTCGACAAGAAAATGCGTTGTACAGAAAGAAAGCATTCAGAACAGAAGCCATGAAAAAATTTCAAGAAATTTCAGACGTGTCAGCTGCTTTCTTCAATCCACAAAAACTGCACAAAACACTAAGATGTGACTTCGCTTTTTTACTATGGTTCGTTAATTCACTGGTTGTACAATAAGTAAAGATTTGTGAAAAAATCCTAGATATTAAATAAAAAAGCATTGGTTCATGACTTGTTTTTCTGTATCATTTTACACATTGCGATAAAGGTGACACCTTTTTGGTAGGGCAGTATATATTGCTTCAGGTGTGTTTGAGTACTGTGTTCACCAATGTTGACGTTTAAATCCATTACTTTTTTCATCTGTAGCAATGGGATCCGTTTCTATGTACTTTGACAGTAGTAACTATATGTATTGACAGATACAAATATACAGCTAATTAACACAAATTGTGGCCAACCTAGAAAGCGTTCAGTCTGACAGGATTTGTCTATCTGGGGTCAAGTAGGAATTTTTAAGCGCATTCAGAACAGATTCAGAACTGATTCGCGGACTAAATATGGCCAATCCTACATAAAAAGCGATGCCGCTAATTTTCTGATGGTCTTCCCGCCTCCACACGCGCCATTAAACGGATAAAATCAAGGCTCCGAGATTTAATTGCTAGGCATCGGCAGCGACGGCGCGTGGGGAGGCGGGGAGACCATCAGGGAATTAGCGGCATCAGTTAGTCCGTGGATCATCTGTTCTGAATGCGCTCTTTATGGCCGGTACACGAAACACAATATACTACCATTTAACCAACACAATATGCAACATATTTTTTAGAGTATATTATCCGTTTTTGGTCATCAAGTCAACAACTACCAATTACAATTGGAAGTTAGAAAAATATTGACAATTTTCATTTCCTCACCAAGCTGGATCATTTACAGTGTATACCTCTGATGATCATTTAGGCTAAACAGCCTCATAATAATGTAACACCATGTAAGACTCGCTCTTTTATTATTCGACTGGGACATCGAGCATAGTAGAGCGTTGTTAATAAAAAAAAAAAAATATATATATATATATATATATATATATATATATATATATATATATATATATATATATATATGACACACTGTATCTGTAACTACATTTGGTCTGTGGTGACGCTTATAAATTAGTACATGTATATAAACATGCCGTCCTGTTATATTTGGAACAGCTGTTCCTGGTAGCCCACAGCTATTATTTCCTGTGAAATATAGTAAAAGCAGCAGTAGGCAAGATGTACACTTTAGGCAGAAAATCATTTTCACACCCAGCGCTTGTACCTGCGAGTCAGCGTAACAATGGCTTGCGGTATCTCTTCTTAGCAATGAATTTGAAGAACTCGCAGTATTTTTGCATGTGGTCTTTGGAATAATAAACGGAGATAAACTGTACAGGATGCTGGGGTAATAGAGATATAATGGCGTGATGAAATATGCCAGTGGTAGTATTACATGCAGTAACCAAAGGTTTATATTGTAAAGAATGTGTCAGTATATTTAGCACGTTGACGTTCACGTTCCACATACGGGCACTGGGGCTGACTCGATTCCAGAATCTTCTTCTTTCTCTAAAACCGTTTTCTGAAAATATTGTTTGCAGTTTGAATTATAAAAATTATAGTGAAGTATAAAAATTGTGCGTAATTGTCAAAATATATAAAAGTCCAGGATGAATTTCATCGGTTAATATTCAAATAAATTATTGAAAACATTTTCGTCAATAGGCGATTAAAAACTTTCTTGTTTGTAAAATTAACACGACATTAAAACGTATTACACAAAACGTCAACGATGAATATTATTCTTGATACAACTGTACCTTGCTAGCTTCCCCCAGTTGCTGCACTGTAACTTCGAATTCTGCATGTAATTTTCTCCTCTCTTTGGCAAAATGTACAATTCGGAATACATCAACGAAAATGCCAACTACACAAGACATCAGCAATGGCAACGCCACGTACAGCTTCATATGGGTTGCGCTGGCGGCTCCTGGGTTGTCCATGAAATAGACCAGCGTGACAGCCGACCAAGCAAAACTCCATGCGTCTATGAATTCTGGAAACACTTTCAACAATCTTCCTGAAATAAAAATAATAAACGTTATGAGTTCTACAAGGGTGCTTAAATGCAATTAACATGAACTAAATCCAAACTTAATTTGACAATTGATATCTCATGTGAAATTTAAGTTTCAAATCCTGGTATGGAAATTTATTAGAAAGCACAAATGTCTCAAAATTTGGTGGAAATAATTTCATTTCTGGTGCGGAACTTCCAATGTAGATTCTATATTACCGGTAAAAAATAAGCAAAACACAAGGTTTTCATAAACATAACAAACTTAAGGTTTGTTGATGACATACCATTTTTGCCAACGCACACGTATGTGACGGCAATGTTTATAAGGACGACAAGGAAAACAAATGCAAAGCCAAGTGCAAAAGGTGGTTCCATATCAAAACCCTGTTTGATGATCCGATAGATGGCAGCACATGTCTTCGTGATGCCTAGCATGTCGTGCGGTGACCTGGCGATGAAGAGAAATGTACCCAACAGCCAAAGAATACTGGAGACAACGTAAAATACACAGCAAACAACCACGAACCCTCTATCACCACATAGTTTACATTTACGGCACTTGCAGCACATGAAAATGAAAGCAGAAATCATGATCGGGAAGCACGCAAGGACAAGGATTGAATGGGGTGCAAGTGCAATAACATAACCGGCATCTCCATAGTCCCATAATCCGTCCAACCAGAAAATCCCGACTACCTTGGCTGTGGTTCCAGTGGGGAATCCGCCAAGAAAGGCATGCGTGATGTGTACACGTTTGATATCTTGGGTCACAAATTCATTATTATACAGTCTGTGCGTGTGGATGACTTGTGCCACGTCATGCAGGATAAGTGGGATCAAAGCATATCTTGTGGGAGAGGATAACAAAAGTCCAGCAGTGAACATTCCAATGCCAACCCATTTGATGATGTCCATCAGTATTGGTCGCTCTATGTCTACAAAGATGCGAGTGACCCAATGGCAAGCGTCTTCATCCATTTTGGTGTCCACTGTATTTTCGTCGTCCTGGCATGCAGATTTTACTTGTAAAATTGTGACGGGCGAAACTTTGGAACTAAATGTTCAAAAAGACAGATAATATGTTTTTACTAAATGTTCAAAAAGACAGATATTATGATTTTTAAGCGGGCTTAAAAGTACATATTACATGTAGCATCCATTTATCGGTATTCATATGTTAAAACATTAATCTTCTCCGTTTAATTTGATAACGAAATACACACGTAGCACTCAGTTTATACATTTTTGAAGTATTTTGAATGTACTTTTCCACGTTTCAATGACATATCTAGAAATGACAGAATCCATGCCTCCTTTTGTGATTTTTATAAAGTAAATTTTTCATTGAAAAGCTGTGAACCAGGCATTTTTTTACCTTCTGTTCTTTCTGTGGAAAACGATCTGCAGCAATATACAAACCGCAAGAAGGAGAAGAAGAGAAGACGCAGAGGCTGTAAAACAAGTAAAAAAAAACATTGGTAGGAATCACATCGGAAGAATACTAATATGTACTTAACACGAACTCCTTTTGACGATTCCTATATACACTAGCATAGCCAGTTTTATCAGAATCGCCAATAGGAATGCCAGCGCATGAATTTCGTGCCACTAAGCACTTGGACCTTTAAAGTCACTGTCCCCAACATGTTAGAATTACATGTACTGATACACGTCATTGTTCACAAATGTGCATGAAAGTAACTTTGGAAATACTGATCCACGATTGAAGTTATGGATGGTTACTTTTTCGTCTTCACTAATACAGAATAACTTTTTAAGTGTCGTAGACTAGATTACATAAATGTGTTCCTCGGACCGGAATGGTCGCTTTTTCAAATAGCCTTCAGATGAAGCTCCGAATTTAATTCTGGGCCAGCATATTTCGCTATGTACAGTATTTCATTGACGTCAACCCCTTACCAGCCAGAGTAGATATAGCCTGGATGGTTTCTAAACTACTTTCCATGAGGTTATTTGATAAATAGATGTGAGAAGTTGACATTTGGATTTAGGGGTGTTTTTTTTTCATCCCATACTACAGTCACAGTCTCTCACCTCCCCAGTACACTGTGTTGTATACGCCAGGATATTGCTGTCCCATGAACATCGGAGTGGTCGAATTGTCGTTTGCGAGCGTTTCGTTTATGAAGCCTGGCATGATGATATGATCTTCTCAAAAACCGCAATATCCAAATCCACCTATTACTGTAGCGACATTAAAAAAAAAACAACCGAGTTCCGACCAGCCAAATCAGAAACGTTCTTTCTGCACAAGAGGAGTGTTTCTGATACGTTTTTACCTTTAGTACTTAGTTTCCTTCTTGACCTACCATCTCAAGTACCTGCTATCAGATAGGCTCTACCAGTAACGCTATTCTGAAACGGGCACCTGTTTGGCGTTCTAGCCCCCGTGGGCAATCATCTGTTTTCGCAGGGAGATAACTGTGATATCTAACGTGGCGTCTGTGTTGGTTTAATGCTATACAGCACGAGTTAAAGATACTCAACGTCAACTGTCTAGCTAGATAAATTTGATTATCGAACTGGAATCAATGAATGAGGCAATTGTTCGGAAAAAGGTAGCAAAGCTGTCAAATGGACAGATATAAAAAATACCAAAATTGATAGAAGCAGTGACATTAAAACAGTGATAAAATAACAACCAATTAAATGGTTAAGTTATACAATAATGAGAATTTCCAGTTGACCAGTTTGAGGACATTTACTAGCCTGGCAAGTATTTTTACTGAACACGAAAAACCTTTGGTGTTGAGGGCGCTGTAGATAAAGGAGGACAGCAACGATAATTTTGTAACAAACAATGTTCAAAGATGACATTGATATTAATTGAATTTATAAAGAAGAGTGGGTTTCTAAGTAGAAAATATTAGACGCTCTGAAATATAAATAGATGTCCTTTTTTTAGATATGTGTAGAGTGGCAACTTAATGATATAAAACAATACTGTGTTCTGTATCTTACTAACACCGGTACTTGGGGTAGTCTGTGCATTGCAAAAAGGAAATACATATATTACATTGTAACTTTAGACACTATTGTTTAATTTAAAAATGATCTTTAAATTTAAAATCTAAAAAAAAATTATTACGCTGACTTGAATAAATTCAATATTTTATTAGGTTTCCCGAGGTAAAGGGTATTTTTCTCAAACTTTCCTACCCCACAATGTTATGGCACTGTTCAGGAGTCTGGTCTTTTTTCGAAAAACACCAAATTTTTGATAATTAGTTATAGTCAATATAAATATATCAATTTGAATTAAATGATTTTTCGTGGCGGTACATTAAAAACTACATGGTAACCATCGCACATCGCCGCACTTCTCCCACACTGTAAAAAGTAGCTCACCCTCAGGGACCCCATTCTCTTGATATATATCGCAATTCCTGAATCCAATATGAAATTATAATCTTCAATAACAGTATAGAATTATTCATGAAAATGCTTAATATAAAAAAAGTATCATCTATATATATATATATATATATATATATATATATATATATATATATATATATATATATATATATATATACCCCCAATCCGGTAGGAGATAGAGGAATTGCTAACACATGGGACTCATGGACCCACGGACTCACGGTCGACGGACGCACGGACGAGCGGGATAACGTGATCCCCAACTTTTGTCCCAAAAGTGCGGGTATAATGATGGGAAATAGTAAAATTCATACCTCTATCACACGGTTTTTATCAAGAAAAAAAGACTGTCAGCTGTTCCTCATACAATTTTATTGCAGATCTAGAAACACAGCAAAACATCATGAGAATGAATTCGACTGCAGGGGAACATCGTGCGACTCCATTTATTCAAACCAATGTGTGTTTATAACCAACGTGCTTACTTCCAAATACGGAGATTTCTTGTTGCTTAGGTCACGGCAGTTACAGGTAACAAACTTGGCACGAGCACCCCCCACCCCCACCCCCCAAAAAAAGTGTCACGAGCAAAACGATACAGAGTGAACGAATTTTATTGATGTATTTCCCAGTCTACTGTATAATATTTGCCGAGTGAAGCGAGATAAAAATTTAATCTTTGGCCTCACCCACCCCTACCTCAGTAAAACCCTGAATTCTCCAGTGCACTAATCATGCCTACAACAAATAGCGTGAGTGGAAGGTAACTAAGTGCAACGTAATGTTATTAATGTGATACAAGTAAAAACACTTCTTAGGTAGCGAGTCGACGATGTCTCAGTTGTTTAACTATGCTTTTACTGTCACAGAGATCAAAAAGGGACCCGAGACTTCAATGACATTGCAAACAAAATTTTTAATGGGAATGAAATCAGATCTAAGCATTTTGGAAGATTTTAAAGGGCGAATAGGAACTATTAGTGGACTTGTAAGAATGGACATTTTGAATGGACATTTTGAAAATGTTTAATTTGATGATCTTACAACTTTTTTTTATTTAATTACTGATCACGTAGATTTTAAGTCATACCTCACTGGAGGTAATGCTTTGGTCAACAAACTGACGTACGACGTCACGCCGCAAATAAAAAACAAACGTCACAAGCAAAGTGACGTTACAAACGTCCGTGGCAACATTAAGACTTGGCAACAGTTCTTTTAGAGCAGCACGTCAATTTGACCGGAGTTAAATTTCTCCCTAAAATGGCTGGTAAAGCTAAAACCACTGAGAATCCTACCTCAAGATTACAAACCGAAGATGAAGATGTGGACCCTAGACCACGTCAACTGGCTTTATGGATAGATACAGAATCCGAATCCGAACCTTCGTCGCAGCAGATATCTAGACCGATAACGCCATTCGGCCCCTCTGCGCTGGACCCAGCGACAGTTCCTAGGCGCTTGTCCAGTAGACTAGTTTCACAAACCAGACAAAGAGACCCTGAAGAGTTGGCCATTGAACTGGACATGAGACAAACAGCAGCGACAAATCTGAGAAATGAACAGCTCAGAGGCAGAACCCCCTCCACGGGCGCTAGGTTAGAAAAAGTAAGTTATTCGTCAGAAATATGGCATTCGTTCTTTTTTTCACTGCTATTTTCTAGCCGTCAAAAACACATTAATCTTAGTTTGTCTGGTTCACCACCTCTGTTAATAATTACTAGTAGCGGTTGTCTGACTGATCCAGGATTAAGAAAAACAGAAAATATAGATAATCAAATAAATGAAAATTAAAAGAAAAATGGTGAAATTAAATATATGAGAATTAAACGAATACTTGTTAGTTCATCATTATTCTTTTTGTGTAACTTTTACAGGCATACCAAGCTAAACTCGAGTTGGAAATAACAGAACAGGAAAGGAAAGAAAGGAAAGGCGAAGAAAAACGGAAGAGAATTGCAAAGCGCTTAGAAGAAATAAAATGCAAGAAAGAACAGATGGAATTAGAGAAAAAGAAGGCTAGAGAACGCAAGGAAAAGCTCATTCAAGTAAGATATAGAGATGTTCCGTTATATGTTTACTTAATCTTTTTCGTTTTATTTTAATTATTTATTTTATATTTATTTTTGGGGGTGCAGGAGAGGGTACATTGGTGTTTGCGAGTACCGTTTAGCGGTTTTTGTAGAGCAGCTAATCGATGTTCTAGCATATCGAATTAATGTTATTGAGGAAAGAGCTGCATTTTCCAAATATCACGAAACAGTTGTAAAAAGGCTCATTCCGTTTCAAATGGAGCACTCGTAGCAATATATCTCAATTGCCTTTACAAGCAAGTTCTATTTGAAAAACATTTTGTGTTTAGGAAAATTTGAAGAGCCCCAAAATTAGAGCTGAAGATGACGCTTCTGCTAAAGAGAGAATTCTGTTTGAACAAAAGTGCGAAAAGGAATGTGAGGAAAACCAAAAGGTTTGCAATACTATTATTATATTTTGTAGAAACAAAACGTAAGAGGGTGTTGGCTAAACTGTATGTTTCTTTGAAAAGTGTAACAAATTTAACATGGGGAACATTAGCCCTCTATTTTGACACTTATCTAATAATAGAATAGTCAATGCTCGTCTTCTGTGGTTTCTTTCAGAAATATCCCATTAAACGGGGCGTATTTGAAGAAACCAAAGTCCCTTCTAGACTGAGAAGATGGTGGAATGGTTTTTTGAATGCTGTTAGATCTTCATCTTGTTTTGGTGGACGCCGAAGCAATAGAGTACACCCACAAGTACGACAAGATGAATAGGAGAACATCGGTGACAATGGATTACTCAGGAGAACGTGAATTTGCAACATTGATAAATATTAGTCTAGTTGCAATTGGTTTCAAAGACCTCGAGCCAAAAAAAAAAAAACAACAACAAAAAAGTCTATTGCGCCGATTTGTCGAAAGAGCACTCCTGCCAGTGCTCTTACGTGTTGGCGACGTTTTCCCAACTAGTTAGCATTTTTCTGTATTCTTTTTTCCATTTATTTTCAAAGAAAATTTGTTCAAGTAAATAAACAGCTCACTTATTAAATACACTGTATATATTTCGTTTTCCTTTAAAATCATGACAGTAATAGATATAACGCTTTGCTATTGAATAAAACTCGACCACATGTATTTATTTATTTATTTATTTTCCAATCTTACATTTAACCAAAGGGAATCTATTCTGCGAGGTAATAACCATGTGAGGGAGTTATAGTGCCGGGGAGTATCCGCGCGGAAACGTAATGTGCAGTTTTTTTTATCAAAGCGGTGCCCTGATATTCGTATGCGTTCAATTTTTATACTTATATAGCCTGACTGTACTAACTGTCTCAACATCTTTGTTATGTCCAGGCAACTGAGGCTCGAAAAGTAATTTGTGATGTGTATTGAAAATTTTCTATATACAGTCACACTGCTTATACTCTCTATCAAGCCTACCATTGGATTTTGAAAAAGAAATAAATATCTGGGTAAAAAATAAGGCTGGCAAAAACGCGACAGATAGATCAAAGTTGCCTACGTATTTCTACACGTTGATGCCACGGCGCATGTACTCATGAACGCTATTTTTAGTTTTCCTTAAATATGAATTTTTGCAGAAGATACTGGAAGTTATTTGAAATTTTAAGGTTTTTAATTTCAAATGATCTGTTTCTCTAAATGATTGGCATTCGCTTAAATCATTTCCTACATTTATTATTGGTTAACCAACACTGGCTTATCATCCACTTAAATAATTTATTATGGAAAATCTTACAATAGTGATTGCGAACACTGAACACACAACTACTAGATAGTCATAAATTCCTGAAGTTACGGGACTATGAGCCAAGAAAGAGGTAGACACTCAAGCATTTACACCTTGACGTGTTCCTTTTAAACTCCTTTACATTCTCTGAGCAATTTCTCACCGGGACATTTATCTTTCAAAACTTTCTTCTATAGACTCTGAAATCGAAAATATTTCTACCCCCCCCCCCCCCCACCCCAGCGTTACAGAACGTCTTGTATTGGACAAGTGTCAATTAAATTTACAGTTTGATTCAACTTTGAGGGAGGCTGTCAAGCACACACAGCTTTGATTGCCAATTTTGTAAGCAAACGTCAATCATAATTATTACACAGTTGATAACTATAATGGCCGGGCATGTAAAACTCCCATCTTTCAAATCCTCTGATTGACAGGTGTCAGTTCAATTCATTCGGTTTTTATGAGGGCTGTCAAGTGCAGACAGGCTGATTGGCAGTTATAGGAATAAACGCCAATTATCAGACAGTTACAGGTAATGATGCTGAATGAGAGCGCGTTATCTCCAGTATCACCAGCACAAATACATTTAGTGGAGTATGAATAACTTTACTGCGTTAGTTGTGGAATTACAAATATAAACACTTTCATTCGCTGTCTAGATCAACTTATTTTTCAAGGCTCATTAATTATAATTACTCATTTATTTTCATTAAAGCAGGCATTTCATTTGCAGTTGAAAATAGAAGTTCTTTTAGGTTTTTTGATGGTTTGAATGTGACGAAAACAAACATTTTACTCTGAAGAGCTCTCAAAGGTAATCATGTGGTGGACTCTTCCCCATTAACCAGCATTATTTCACCTTTGTAAATGTTTGGAGTCCGTATTAATTTCAATGAGCGTAAAAAAAATTACGAAAGTTCTCCGTGAAATGTCGTTGTGTTTTCACTGCCTTGCCACTGCTCCTATCTGCGCCTATCCGGACTGTCTTCATCTTATCATACATCGCTTTTAGTCTCTTAGAATCATTTTTGAGTCATCCCAGTAATTTCTAAGAATTAGGAACCGCTTTTAGTAACAGAATGATACTCTTTGATCTCTATATACTGTGGATTTAAGTGGCACTATTTTATCGCAGAGATTGATATAAAAACATAAAATATATAAAAAAAGACAAAACTTTATTCAAATGTTGCGCAAGGTTTTTCATGTGTAAAAGATGGATATATATTAAAATGTTTATAGAAGAAAGAATACTTACAAAGTACGCATAATGTTGAATCGCTAAGTTTAAAAAACGGCAGCAAAAGAAGTTTCGCTGAGGCAAATGAGAAACAGTACCAAAGATATTATCATAAAAGAATTGAACACCCTATACCCTCATGTGATCAAAGTGAGACGACCAAGAAGAATTTTGAATGGACTGTGAACTTTGTGAATAGTATAAGAAGTTTGAGGTATTTTGTAATAAAACACGGTCTTTATTATTACTAGTTTATTTTTTGACATTTCTGCCAGACTGCTTTTGGTTTTTTTCTTGGATAAAGTTGGCTATCTCCTCTTTTTGTTATTGGAAATATTAAAATGAGACATTCCTTAAAATAATTTATCGATATCAAGAAGCAGCGAATCATGATTTTGTGTTCACTATTATCTTTTTATTGTCTATACTATTTGAGTATCAGTCGTCCACGATACAATCTCCATCATCAGAATCATCACTGTCTTGGTAGGTCTGCACACTTAGTTGTACCTGCTGTCTTGACCTGGCTGCAGCCATGGCGGCAATATTGGCAGCAAAGCTAAATGAACCTGAGTCCAGCCTGTCTTGATGGTTTCTTCTAGCAGCAGAACCTGTACTTAAATCTGAATTATTTCTGGTACTATCAGGCCTGTATACCCTTTGGCACAAATTATTTATTTTATTATTTTCTCCTTTTTCTTGTTCAGTCTCTGATTCTACCTCCAAACTGATGTCTGTTTCTGCATGAGTTTGCTTAGTATCTGAAGCATAATTTTTTTGAACAATGTCACATGACAGACCATTCTCTAATTCATCAGACTTAATTGCAGCAGATTTTTCTGATCCAGAAAGATCATTTTCACTCCCTGCACATACTGCAACTTCAGATTTGGTTTCCTCAGATTCATCCTCCTCTTTGTTTGGAACTTTGCCTGCATGGATCTTTTTCATAAGTTTTCTTTCTCTTTCTTCCCACTTTTTGGCACGGATTCCAATGACAGATTTCAGCTCATTCAGCAGACGCACAGCTTCTTGTTTCTCGCGCTTCCTTTTTGCCTACAGCAGAAAATAAAGACGTCAAAAATCAATAAAGAACAATGCACTGTAATAGTGCACCACTTATGTATACTGTAGCTGCAATGAAGGGTATAAGCTGATGCCCTTTATTAATTCTCAGTTTCAGTAGGATCTATAACCAGACAGCCAGAAGAGAAGGGCTACACCAAGAATTACTGAGGAATGGTTGTCTGATTCTGACGTAAACACAGGCAAGAGTGACAATAAGTTCTATGGATATGCACAAAATGATAGAACTTGTACATTTGTCCAGTATGAGATTTAATATTCATCTTCATTTGATGGATGGATCAAAATATACACTTTTGATAAACTTATGTCTCCTGTTTACCTTTTCTTCTGCAGACAACAACAATTCATGCCCAAAATCACCATCTTCTACCTCACTTGGGTCAGTGTATGCTTCAAACACCTGCAAGACAAAGAGCACTTCATGAAACCAGAGTAACTAGGATAAAAGCCATTCCTTCTGTGTCTTAATAAGATAAATTTTTTTAAACTATAACCAAAATATTAAAACGAGGAAAGAAACACACACATGAGTGTCAAATTTATAAAATAATTGAAAAATTCTTAAATATATATTATATCTGATATTTATAAGACCCCTTAGCAAAATATCAGGCCTGTTGCAAATTTGTTGCAAAATGCAACTCCTTGCAAATTAGCAGCAATAAAAATTTTCTCGCAAACTCCTGCAAACTGGTTGCCGCAAACTTTTCAGTTTGCTAAGGAACAGAATAAAGGTCGCTAAAGAACTAAGGACATACCTAAAATAATCAAGAACTAAAATATTCATTAAAATATGACTATTTTTTACCACCAATCCTCACCCAAGCAACGAGTATCTCACTACCCAACCCCCCAAGCTTAGTAAAGTGTTTTACAGGGCCACTGATCTGGGACAAACATGATATTACCAACCTGGTCTTCAATGATAATGCTGTCCATATCCAGCAAAGGCTCTATTGGAACATTAGGACTGACTGGTTGTTCTTTTGAAGGTTCCTTTGATAATGGCACTGAAAGAAGTGTGTCTGGTAATGATGAATGTTACTGATGACAGATTAACATGCTGCTAACAAAAAAAAAAAAAAAAAAAAAAAAAAAAAAGGCAGCAAAGCTGTCAAATGTACAGACAAAAAGCAGAAAATAATAATGCACAAAATAGGATTCTGTCAATTCTGATGCAATAAATTAATATATTATGCTCAAATTTGTAATTATGCACAGCAAGTACTGATGAAAAAGAAAAACAGCAGATCTCCAAACGTAGAAAAATTTCAAATTAAATATTCAAGGTAAAAGAGATTGACAGAAACTTTACGTCTACTAAGTTCTGACACCTGCAGCAACAATAAATATACCAAAAAGAAAGAACTCTAGTCTCGTAAGGTACCCACTCTGTTGTACAAAAACTATACTACCTGATTTTGTCTTTAAACTTTTTTGTCTTTGGTTTAAACATGGAGAAGACACTACACATCTGTCCACATCAGGATTGGATACAAAAAAGACATCACACGTTGACCATAGATTACATTCAAATCTCATCTCTCAATTCTATACTTCTATATCAATACCTTTGTCTTCTGTCCTGGGCAGCATCATGTCTATCCGATTCATGCTCTCTTCCCAGCACCCAGAACAAGCCGTCAGCTCTCTCTGTACACACAGCATCTCTTCTACCAGCTTCTGATGGTACAGTCTGATATCTGTCTTGACTGCACATTCATCCTCTTCCAGTTCATTTTCTATTGCTTCTAATCTGAAAATAGTCATATCATTGATAGCTGGGCCCTGTTTAAAAAAATAAGCGTAAGTTGAGACTGACAATTTTTTGACCAGAATAAATCTGAAGATGTCTGCTAAAATAATGTACCCCTTTAGCTATCAGCCTTTAGCATGATAAATGTAGTGCCCTATCAGACTTAAAACAAGGCAGCAAAGCTGTCAAATGTACAGACAAAAAGCAGGAAATAACTATGCACAAAATAGGCTACTGTTTATTCTGATGCAAAAGTACATTATGTTAAACTGTAAATTCAACATCAAATTTTAATTATGCTCAACAGGTAATACCAATGAAAGTAAAATGTGTAACAAGCATAAGGCTTCAGGCCCATGAGAGTTCAAGTTCACACTTTGAAAATGTATAACTTCCAGAAAAAGAAGCCAATTAGACTGCTTTTCCAACTCAGGCTGCATGCCAATTTTCAAACTTGACCTCCGTTTTAGTAAGATCGATTACTCCTGAGAGTTTCACGACAACAGGCCTATCGGTTTTCCTTGAAATGTGTTTACAGTGTTGCATATATGTTGAAAAGTGAAAGAAAAAAGCATAACTTATACAATAATGGCCCGATCATCCTGATTTTCGAACTTGACCTGCGTTTTATGAATATTCATCAGCTCTGTAAATATAAAGCCAAAAAGTAAAACTGCCCTCCACTTATCGTGTTTACAAGGAAAGTGCACGGCGCCGGCATCGGCATCGGCATCGCCATCGCCATCGCCATCGGCGACGACAGACGCAGGTGATGGCAATATGTACAGACACATCTGTGTCTGTACAAAAAAAGGCCAAATGTCCTGGATGGCGAGAACTACTAAGCCAAATACACCAAAAAGTTGGACATCATTGGAGAAATCTACTTTCAATATTGCCAATTCAAGTCCAACATTTTAAGTGATGGTAGAATTATGTGTGCATGTACAGAGTCTTAATTTTACTTTGCAAGCAGGAGACTTATAATTCAGCAGTAAGTATATCAGAAGGCACTATGTGTTACTCTGAATAATATCAAACTTTTTTCTGCTTCAGTTATTCTGTTACTGGTGATAATATGCGAGACATGGACCTTCAAAGGAGAACCACTACAAGGACGACAGCAAAACTCAAGCTGTCAAAAACTGTGCATGACAGAATAAGGAAGATTCACCTCTGGTTGGTGGCAGACACTAGTTCCATCTATAATACAGATTCTACAGTACTATGAACCAATACCAGCAACATTCATCCCATCAATACACATGACGTCTTTTTAAAATTACCTTTTCATGGCAGCCTGAAGGTGAAGTTGCAGACTATGAACTGCTGTATAAATGCCCTTTCCCACTCCTCCATCTCGTTCTTTATGTCCTGGCTTTGTGTCTTCAAATCTCGCCCTCCATGAACATTTGTGTATGTCATAGCTTCTTTTAAACACATGTGTATGGTTGTCAAGTGTAGCAGCTACTGGTTGTATGCAACTGAGTACATTCTCAAAACTTTGAGGTTCTGAAAACAGAATTAAAGTTGATTATGAATAAATTGACAACAGACCAAGGCAATAAAGCTTTTAAAGTTATGTCTGAATCAAGAGTAGATTCCCAATGACACATAAAAATCAATCGAGAGAGAGAGAGAGAGAGAGAGAGAGAGAGAGAGAGAGCAAAAAATATCAGTTCAAATGTCATTTTTGGGGACATATGAGATGATACCTTTAAGTTATCTTATTTGAAATGATGGTGCTTGGTCGTGATTAGTGGCAAACATTTGACTTTATATGTAACTTTAATAGTACATGTGTAAGTTTCTGAAGCTTAGACATTCTTTTGAAAAACATATTAAGTATATTTTTTAAAATGACATTATTATATTATTACTATATTATAATTATAATTATCTTACTGGATTTGCAAAATTATAATGAAGACAATGTTACACCCCCATCACACTTCTTTCTTAGAATTATGTGAATTAATAAAAGGATAAAAGTGCCATTATTCTATTGAGTATAAGAAAATACTGGAAAATTCATTTTGTTTAATTATCCACATTAAACAACATTACTCCCAAGAGTTCCATGTATACCTATTTCTTTGCCTTCAAATGACGGCAGAAAACAGAGGGCAATTCTTCTTAGGTATTCCGAGATGTGTATGCTACATACATGACACAGGGCCTGAAATAAATACCAATTGCACAGTCAGTACAAGCATAATACAAATGCTTTTATATTTTATGACATATATCTGAGACAGAACATTCAATCAACCAACCAATCAATCAATAAGAGAAAATAACAGACGAAAACATTTTAAAATGGGGAAAATCCATTTTACTCCTGCTTGATTGGAAGCCAAACAAGGGACATATTCAGAAGCAACATAAACATGATTTTTTAAAAACATATGTCCCCAAATGTCCCAGTTTGTGCTGACTCTCACCAGTGGGCAAGTTTCTTCCTACCTTTAAAGCGGAAATGGAGTAGCCATCGGTCACTTGCTGCAGTAACTGTTCACCATTCTGGTCAGTGGTTGGAAGACTTAGACATGGACCATATTGCTCTAGTGGGATGAAGGCCACATAGTTAGATATACTGTCTAAATCTTCATCCACTGGAGATTTGATGATATTAAGGAAACATATTTACAAACATGCAAATTATCATCATTTATTCAATACTGTACTTTTTAAGTATTGAACGTTACCACTCAAGTAATTTACTCCCTTTCACAAGTTACTTCTGAATAAGTTCTCCACAAGTTCCCTTCCTGCTGTTCAGCTGAATTAATCAACTGCCCATGCCGAGACTGGGGTTCCATTAAAGCAACTCTCTTTCATAGAAGCCAGGCTATTAATTGGTCAATCTCTCAAAGTGATTAAGTATACTGCTTGATGTGATACTGTAACCTTCAGATACTCAAAATCTTCCAGTCGACAGTATCAAATATGGCTCATGAGGCATCCTGATAAATAAAGGATATTTTTCAATGAGCTTGCCAGTGCCTTCCCTGAGATTCATAATGGTCTTTCTAACCACATGGAAGAGACAACTTCTCAGCTGTGGGCATTGTCTGTTGGACTGGTCACCACTGGTCAACTCTAGCCTACCTGCTGGGGTCAGGGGAGTAGCCCTGAAAGTAAAATCATCATATCTTAGTTTGTAACCTTATTTGAATTTCCTTTAATTTTGTCAATAAAATATTGGGAGCAATGCCATTTACCTTTGATTTTTGAAAATTGCTTTGAATGGAAGTTAAACCAAACATCATAAAATTTTTCTTAAAAATTACTTTTATAATTTTTTTTAGTCTTGTTATGATTAGTATGACCAGTAAATTATCTTTCAATCATCTGTCAAAATTTTCTGAATGCCCACCACTGATCATCAAATGTAATTAAACATAACCTATTCTTTTCATTCTTTTTTAATCACTAGCACTGTAAGCAAAATACATTTACTCACATGGTAAACCCGCGTGATATCAGTTCTACCTCCTGTATGAGTCGAATTCCTTTCCTTGTGAGAGTTCCTAAGACTTCAGTTTTGACCACTAAGTTTTTAATTATATCTTCTAACTGCCTCCAGTCTCTGCTCCATTTGTAATACTGCAGAAGATTCCAAAGTTCCAGCAACAGGGCTAGTATACCCACAGCACCAAGTGGAACCAGTGTCATTAGTGGAATATTCAGGGTGAAACCATGTGTAAGATGGCTGTAACCATAAGCAAGCCCAGCAGCAAAAATAGAGGACAACCTGCAGAAAGAGAGTGCCAACCTAATTAAAATTATATTCATTTACATTAGTTCTATACTTTCTTCTTTAACTTCAACCAATCTAACTTCATAACATGGAATTATAGTAAATGAAATTTGGAAAAAAGTTGTTCTACTTTCTTTTTCTATTTTTTCTTTCCTTTCAACAGAATAATATTATATATAAAATAATAATAATAAATTGGTTGCCAATAAAAATTTTAGAAATATCTCTTTTGGGTTAGCTCTTTTTTTTCAAAGAAGGAGGTAAAGCTCATTAGTTTACCTAGAATTGTTGATAGCGGAATTTCAACTAATTTAATGTGAACTGATATTTGAAACAAAGCATATATCTGTATATTGCATGGTGTTATACAATGGCAGGTTATGGTTATAGAGGAGAATTTACCGCAGCGTGCTCACTGGTATCCTTGGTTTTTCAACTACTGTAAGGCTGTCTGATTCTTTTACAAGATTTTCCAAGAAGGCAGCATCTTCCTCCTCCAATGCTTCAGACTTCAAGACGCTTCTTATTACAGCCAGACTATGATACTGGGTGGGAAAAGGAAGCATGTCATAAAAGAGATGTCTCTCTGCTTGTGTGCATTTATGAGTAGCGATTAGAACTTGATAAGGAGTTGCTGCTTGGACGTTTTGTTTTGTTTGTGTGTTATTCTTTGTTCTTACTCTTTTGACTTATTTCATAAATCTGTTAATAATTTATCATTCAATATACTAGTAAATATGCTCTACCTTTGACACAAAATGTGGCATGGCAAACAGCTTTTCTAGACACATCCAAAGAGACACCTGTGTGAATAAAAATAGTAACATCTCTGCAGAAACATTTTTTGTTTGTCTGCTTTATTGACTTTAGATTTTAGTGAAAAAGGAAAGTTTTTTGTTTGTAAAAGATTCTTAAGAAAAGAACTCATTTCAGGTGAAAAGAGGAAATCAATAATATTGAATGATTTTATAAAAATTAATTTCATTTTCAACAATATTAAATTAATAAATTATATTATTGGATAGTCAATTTACTACTAGCTGTCAATAACAAAAATAGCAACAAACCAACCAAAAAAATCCCATTTCATCAAAACAAATCTATTTTTATAAACTTTTTTGCCTATCACATGTGCTGAAAAACAAACAAGACTGATACCAGTATTGGTTTAATGACAGATTTTCCTTGGACCTCATTCTTCTGAGACTGAGAATCTTCTTCATTTCTGTGGTCCATCAACACAGCAGATTTCTTTGATGCTACCACAGATATGTCCATGTCAACCCAGCCAACATCTTGGAGGTGGTGATGCAAGGCAGAGTTCTGGAATATTTTATGCACATAGTTATTTTTAGGGTTTATATAGTATCAGATGGGATGGGACTAAGGTGCATGACATATGCCACAATCAGCTTTAACCATCAAAGCAGGCCAACTTGTTAAATTCTTTTAGATAGATACATAAAGAGAAACCAGTTCATTTATGTAGAAGGGCACATATTCACACAATGCATGTGCAATTTTTACTAAAAGATAAACACTATGAGCATATACACTTAAGAGAGTCCCATTGTATATTTTCCTTATCCATGAAAGCCACTTTTTATTTCACAAGATGGGTAAAAGATTCATTTTATTTCGTGTGATCTGTGAAGCACCCCATTCACATGACATGTGAATACGGCTTTTGAATTCATTCTTCGCCCTCCACGAAACAAAGTCATTATATCTGTGATTTGCATTTTTCAGCATTTTCGACTCGCAATTAGATATGAATAAAATTGTCTTTATTGTGATATGTTAATAGATGACCTAATTTCCAGTTAACTGTTAATGTTATCACCGATGTTCTAATGGAGCCTTAACAGGATCGACAAAGATTGCTACAGGGGGTAAAGTTTTGCACTAATTGTGTAAGTGAGTCCTATTAGAGCTCCTATTTTCAAGGAAACACGAAATTCCCATACTTATTTCAGTAAAGCATCGACATTTCAATTACTAACCTCAAATATGACTTCGTCGTCTTCGTCTACCTCCATGTTTACAAAGTACCCATTTACGTCAAATAATTATAGTAAATATCTGTTCAAATTTACGTTAAACATTAATTGTTATGGTTATTATATATTTTCAGTAATATTTTAAAACTGAATAAAAGTTTTAAAGTCTTAAAACTTCGAAATTAAGGAGCATTCTGTCATTTCATGCAAAAGTCGTATTTGGGTACTTAATTTTGAACGACTCCAAGAAGCGCAGATGTAGAGAACTTTAACTGGAACAAGATGAAACGGGAGCAAGTCATAAACTGCATGTTCTCCAGGTGGTATCCTAAGTTTAAACATTTAAGCATAAAAAGGTACGTCCTGGGAATTTGATAAATGAATTTGATCATCACCATTCATGCACTTAATGTGTTTCCAATGTCAACAAAAGCTAGAAAACATAGAGAGGCACTAGCTGTCACTGCGCTGGGGACGTACGTAACATTGGTTGGGTTGAGAAAATGACATATAGCGTAATAACAAACTACACAGCCATTAAACATAAATAATTATTTTTTTCTTACTGAAGAGAACACAGATTTAGTATTAACATAAAACGTTGATAATATTTTAATTGAAAGGTTAAATTCTCTAATTGGCAAAAATTACTTTCAGCCACATCATCCCTCTTCCAGTGGAGTTCATTGACTACCTTAATTCTGATGGTGTAGTTCTACCCAAGGAGTAAGTAGAGTCTGACCTTTCATGTATTAAACACTGACCAGACACTCACCAGTGGCATGAGAGTGACATTCTTAACCCAACTCTACCACAAACAACCAATCACGGGACTGTGGATATTAGATACTGACAAGAGTGTTTCTGTAAAGGTCCTCTCCAGAGGATTTAGCCGCCCAAAATAAATTTTCCTGGGAAGAGGGCAATTTTCTCCTACTAGGGAGGTCAGGTCACAAAGCTCACGCAGTCGAAAACGGGAAGAAATCTAACCTCGCTGTTTGTTTTCTATCATAACTTCCAAGATTTGGGTCCTATGATAAATATAAAAATATATTAAAAAAGTGCATTGAATGGGCTTTCTAACAATATGTGTAACAATGTATCATGTCTCCGTTGTAAGCCTCCAGCCACGAAAATGCTGTGAGAAATCGCTGGTGATTTCACTTCCTCGTTTGGTTCCCACTATTTACGAATTTTGCTCAACATGCGCGTTTCGCGCCATTTTTCTAAAAGCTCCGTACGGCGTCCCGGATGTTATTTCCTCATATTTGGACACATATTCATGAGGAAAATGAATCAAGCGTTCGAGTGAGGGGTTACAGAAGTTTACTCAACCGAAAACAGCAACCAAAACTAGCTTGTAAAGTTTTTAATCGTGTTTTAGAGTTAGAATAACGAATTTCTGAAAGTTCTGTAACCCCTACCTAAATTTTTTAACTAATTCTCGGTTCAAATCTGTTTTTTATTTATCATTTTTTGGTAAGATAGAGCCGTAACAGCCGTTAGAAAATCAGTGACTTTGATCTTACCGCAAACAAAATGGCGGACGCACCAAGCTGTTATGCTGATGAAAAAGCAACTGCACTTTCAGTACCCAAAGAGGATCAAGAGATCAGAATATCTAATCAGAAAATCTTTGAATTGTTCACGAAACCCAGTGATATTGATAAAACGCCTACAATTCAAGAATATAGAGTTTATTTTATTTTTCAAACAAAGTATGAAATTACGTATGATATTGATGGGGCTAATGCTTTTTTCGTCTTTGAACTCGTCAGTGAACATAAAAGGGGAATGTTAATTAAAATCATGGAGATATGCAATAACTCTAGAATGGTTTATGACAGCCGAACAAAAGGGAACAAAATAAATAAATATTTATTTATTTTTTCTTAACAACAAAAAACGGAAAATTCCTAAAACTGCCATTATGTTATGGCAGTCTCTCCAAAAAATCTCGCTGGTTTTTGTATTACCTATCTGCTATGATGTCCAATATCAATTAATTTTTTTTGGCAAAATTATACCTTACCAAAATCGGATATTATTTATTTTCATTGTGCATTCTGGTATTTTTTACTAGTTAAACCTTAAAATCGTATATGCAATTGTCATTGTAATATTGGTTGCCATGGCAACAGTGACAGAGTATTTGTTTACTACTTAACTTAAATTAATAAACTGAGTACCAAGAGTGTTTCCCACTTCATATTCAGTTTAAAATTCATGATAATGTGTAAAAAGTAATTCAAACAGTTACCATAGCAACAGCTATCATAATGACGATTTTCATAGCAACAGATACATTAGAAGCTATCATTTTTTATTTTAGTGATGGCACATTATTTAGCATCATTTTCATCCAAAAGTAGCCTTTGGGCAGTGATGCTGAAGCCTTAGGTTGAAAAAAAAAATATCGATCGCTATTGATATTTAGCAATGGTTGCCATGGAAATAATGGATAAATTACAGAAAATTGAATCTTGTCAGATTCTTCTTGGCATAGTGTAACTTTCCAGAAAATTTCAAATGGATATTTCACTCTATTCAAAAGTTATGCCAATTTTGTTCTATTGATTGGGCAATTAGGTGACACTTTTGGCTTCCACTGTTACATATGCTTGCATACAAGACATTTTCAAAATTTTGTGGCCGACTAGCATTCTTGAAAATTTAATAACTTTTGATTGGCTTGCTTGATTTTCAAAAATTAAAATGTTTTGGAAAGCTCATGAGTTGCTCTATCAGATAAAATCATTTTGGCTGATATTTATGTTACTATCAAAGTTGACCTGACCTCCCTACTCCTACTCATGAATCATTGTTCAACCCATTCATTCACTTGCATTTGATGTCTTATCCCACTTTTAATTTATGCATAGTTCTAAATGACTGGCCAGTCATAAAGGAAAACATCTGCCTACATGTGCATTGCTTCATTTTCACACAAAAAAATGGTGTGGTATTTTATATCACAGCCCTGTGCTGTGTATCATAGGTCGCATTCACAACAGCAGACTAACTACTCCGCGGTTCAAGTATGGCCATCCCACTTGAATGCTTGTTGCCTAATCTCTGTGGGGAATCTATTCAGTGTCTATTAGGGGATAAGATGGCAAGCTTTTAAGTGGGTAGCCATGTTTGATCTGTGGACAAGTTAGTCCTCTATTCTGAATGCAGCCATACAGACATTTTCAGCTGTCAATGTCCATCAGGGAAGGGTGAGAAGATAATAACGACACTAAGAAGAGTGCTTCAGATAAACTTTTATTTTTAGGGTTTTATCACATTTAAGGTCAAACATCTAAGGAGCTTCATTGCGAATGTGGGGGATTTTCAAATGTGCATGGAGAGTCCCCTGAATATGTAATCATGATCCTCTCTTGAACTGGTGTGTGTTGATCTGCTTTGTGGATGCCTGTAGTATAACAACCTGATCCTAATACTGCACAATGTCACATTATATGAGCTGTTTGGCAAAATGCACAGGGATGGGAACGTTTGGAAGGTTACTGGGGTTAAGACAAAAAGGTGACAAAGGGAGTCAGGAGGACACAGGAGGGGGGAGAGGGAAGGCACCTCCTTTTCTGGCATTCTGTTAATTGTTTAATCTTTGTAAATGTGATGGTTCAAGTCACAGTTTCTGTTTTCATCAGTGCAGTACAACCATGTATAGTAAAGAAAGAGAAATAAGAAACAACAAAGAGCATGTGAGCTAAAATTTTGATTGCTAAATATTTATTCATGATTTAATCTGATTTTAATTCATCTTTATACAACAAGAGAGAAAGATTGTATAACAAAGTATTTGATAAAACTCACTACTCAGGTAGGCAACAAAAAATGATGATGAGAATGGTATTTATTTGAAAAGTTTTGTCATATAATGAAATCTTGACAGAAATAAAAGTTTGGAATTGGTGGGGTGTTTGAAATGTTCATGCTACTACTGTTATTTTTAGGTCTATTCAAGGTCAAGGCCAGAGCCAAGAAGAGGAGGTCTGTATATAAAAATACAAAAAAAAAAATAATAGAAATAAAATGTTTTTAATAGAATAATTTTAATAAAATTGCAAATTGAAATTAAAAAGGATACCAATAATATTGCATGATTCAGGTGCAAATAAAAAGAAAGATAATTTTCATTTTTGGAGATATCTCCTGCAACAAAAACATTAAAAATAAATCGAATTTCATTTTCTTCATTTTCTCTCATCCCACTGGTAGACATGGCTGTATATCATTCAGCAATAGTATGATTCTTCTTGTTATTTTTTTTTCAGGAAGAATGGGATATGGATACACCACATGCAAAGGTTGGTGAAGGGAAGTTACAGAAAATTAATCATGTACTATCAGTTGTGGGTATTGGGGAGTGTAGGCCTAACACACAAAAAAAAAAAGCCCTGTCACTTATCAAAAGGAGGAAATTTTTCTGTCTGGCCTGCTGAAGTTTTTCAAATTGCCCTAACTTGCATCAATTTTTTCCATGAATTTATAGGCAACGTTGGGGATACTATAGGGGGTGGAAAAATTGCCCCTCCATTCTCAATTTCCTGTCTCCACCAGTGAAATATACACATTTCAGGCTACAAAATAAAACAGACATGAACCTAGGTTTCAAAAAAAAAAAAAAAAAAACACCTTTGAACATTTTTCATGGGACCAACACCTTACCTTGGCCAATCTCAGGAACCATCAGAATTGAATTAAAAAATGCAGAATTCTGCTTTTTCTGCGGAAAAAACTCATGTGTGATAAAAACCGAAAATAATAAGAAGTGGCAGAGGTGATTACATAACATTTCCAACCCCTTCAAACTTACTGGACCGATTTATATTGCTGAAATACAGGTCAATTTCAAATAACTGCTTGTATGACCTTTTTTTTTTAAATTGCAAGTACATGTTTTGGTTTTGCTCTTTTTCAGCTTTGAATCCTTCTCAAGTTAATTATTTTCCTCATACATATTGAAGAGATTAAAAGCATTGGAGTTGGGGTCAAACATTCTCCTTTTGTATTTGTTTATACTGCCTACAATTTCCTTAAATCCATAGGGTACTTGTCAATATTTCACTGATGCTTCTGATATGTAAACAGTTCTGTTACTGATATCAGTCTGTACATTTTACAGATTTGCAGCTTTGTTCCTATTTTCAGCCTCCAAGTTTTCCTCAGTTTGAAGCCCAAATCAAGAAGAGTATTGCAACTTTAGGTGGAAAAGTGTTTCCCAAACTGAACTGGAGTGCCCCAAGAGTGAGTAGACCAACAGTAGAGCTTAGAACAGATAGTCTAGGATCTAAAATCCAACTCACTTGCTAAATATACATGATAATATTAATATAGGGCTTTATGTACATGTTATTTCAGTCACTATATAATATTATCTTCAATTATGAAAAATGTTACATGTACTTGAGGACTGAGGGTACATATGGCAATGATTAAATGAAATATATAAAACTTGATAAAACTTTTATTTTCTGATATTGATACCAACAATTTAGGATAAAGGCCCCGGTATACAATATAAAGAATGTTTTCCTGCATTATTGCATATTAAACTTGAAAAAAAAACATAATAATTAAGTTAAATAGATAAAAATGTATTAAATATGTAAATTTATTTATAAAAAACCTTCACATATGATTAATCTTAGATAGTAATGGTTTTATGCAGAAAAAGTGTCTGTTACATGTAGCTAGACAAATTTACCAAATTTTCTGGTCCAGTTTCAATTTTACTGTCATTTGTCATGGAACAGTGTTAACATCATGGACATTTGACATGCCATTTTATATGTCAAAAGGCATTATCCAGCAGAATATTAGTAATTGTAATTAGTAGTTGTAATTTTAAAATATTTATTTTACAAATTTCTGATACCAGGTAAACATATAGACTATATCTGTAACATTTGGTGGTAAAAGTTATCATAATACAAGGATTTAAAAATCTTTAAAAATATTTTAATAAGTCTTGTCCTTTTTATACAGTCAGTTAAATAATAAATATATTCTACAATAATATAACCCAAATTTCAGACTTGATAAAGACCAGGTTCTTTATATTAAACTTTCCACATATGCCCTATGATGAGTTGAGCAGAAATGGAGATTTGTATAGAAGAACCTGGCTTTCATTGGGTCTGAAGTTGTGGGTACAATAATAATAATGATGTATTATTACAGTTCAAGAAACAAATCATGTAAATAAATTTTATAGATAAAATGCTGCTCCAATATACAAACTTTGTTTTACATAAATATTAAATGATATATAAGAATTTCCTGGATAGGTGGACTGTCTAGGTTATTATTTATATATATAGTATCAAGAATAAATATACCTAAAAAATACATCCTTTGGTGACATCATATCAGATAAAATACTCTTCATGGGTAACTGTTAGAACTATATATGTGCAAGATAGTTAGTAGTTGTTTTAAATTTAAAAGATATCTTTAGAGCAGAAATGATACATTTACATTGCTGACTTGTACTTTTGTCATGGGCACTGAAGATGAATTACTTGAGTAAACAATATTGATAAATGAAAAAATATATAATTCCAAAACAAATACAGTAGAAACGTAAACATATAAATAAATAAATACAATCAAAGTGAAACTGTAATCCTGTATTCTTGCTATCACACAAAATTGTAATAAAAAATGAAATGCATTTAATATGTATGTGCATTGTTTTTGAAAAACATGTAAAAGTTTGAATTATTAATAAAGGCAAGTTCTTGTTACATATGATCATTTATCCCCACTATCAGTGCAAGATTTTACTGAAGGGGGTGGGGTGGAATGGCAAAAAATACTTTCTTTTCCTCTGCATGCTGAAATATTTAAAAACCGGCTATAGGTGGGAGGGGCTGGGGAGTTAAAACTCAAAGTCTTTCCCCTGCCAAACCAGACCCCTACTACAGCTGCCCTTGAGTTCTTTGAGGAAACTTGACCTATTTGATGTGATTCAGTCTGTGGTGTGGATAACCCAACCCAAACAGCTCTTCATGATACCGACCAGATTTCTGAAAAAAAAAAGGATTTGAAAATATCTGTAAAAATTATCAATTATGTATTGGTTATATATAAACTTATTAGTAATGGTATATAGAGTATGTAAATCCCCTTCATAATTCATTTACAGTTCAGAAAAATACAGCCAGACACCCAGCCAGACAGGAACTGCTTGAATTTAAAGGACTTTTGTTTTGGCATTATATTTTAAGTAAACAAAATAAATATTCTGAGACTCATGCAAAGTTTGCAAAGAAACAAATTAAAAACAGATGCAAAGTTTGTAAAAAGGCTATGTTTTTCAGTCATGCTGCTGTGTAGTGATTAATTGGGTGAAAAAAGTAGCTTTTGGTCTATATTAATAGCAGTTTCAGGTATGAATAACTTCAGATTGCATTTATACATACTCTAAGAAGTTCCATGTAATTCTGAGCCTTGTCAGTTGTCATGTTGCCCTCTTCACACAGAATATTCAGTAATGTCTTTCTGACATCCATAGCCATAGTTATACTTCCACAGATGTAGATATGGCCTTCTTGAACTACCAGCTGTTCATAGGTTGTTTGAGCTTGCTCACAGAGGAGGTGTTGAATGTAAATCTTTAGGAAAAAAATAGAATCATAATGACAAATATAAAATTTAGCATTTTAGGGCATTTTATGAAGCTAGTGTAACGTGAAATGTAGTTTAAGATTGAAGCTTAATGAGTGCTCTTGTTTTTCTGCACCACATGTCACTTCCATATTGCTTTTTTTGATCCTGTTGGCAGCATGGTGTTGACAAACTATGAAGTCACAATGGAATTTTTTGAAAAAGGTTTTTGAAAGAGGCAGTTTTTGATATGGCATCTTTACAATGACTGGTATTTCTACAGCTTTTTTGTAAGAACTAAGAATTAAAAGCCTCAAAGTTTTAACACAACTGCATATAGTGAAGTGGTGGGAGAGTTTTTAATGATTGATGAGCTCAGAGGGCCAGTTTGACCTCACCCGTGGTTGTCCAGGCATTCTAGAGTATGCATAGTGGACACTGGTCAAGACTTTGCTTTCCTGCATCAGGGAGATTTCTTGGCTGTAGAGATCATCCACACCTTTCTGTCTGCAGCCATGGAACAGAGTCATTGGTCCGAATTTGATACCTGGAAAGACATTCGTACAGATGTATTTTTGGTCTACATTCCTGTCTTCTGATTTATAATAAGACTTACTTTTGGGGCTTTTAAGCTATTAAAACTGCTAATTTCCTTTGTGAAACCTAGCTTGGTTGGCTAGCAGCCTTCGCTAAAACCAATTTTTAGACTGAAGACTTGTAAAATGTGGTTTGTGGCCTGGTGTATGAGGTGCATAGTTTCCTTACCAGGCATTGGGTGGATCATTTGGTAGTATCTGTGCTGCCAGAACCCTCTGAAAGGAGCTATGCCAGTACCTATGCCAAGCATTAGAACAGGAACACCTGCATCATGGGGAAGCTGGAACGTCTTGTGTCTGAAATTAGCAGCAGTTTCTCAGAAATTGAGGTACATGAAGAGAAATGCACAGAGGAATTTCCCTTGTCAAAACTAAAAATGTTTTTTTATAAGCTTGGGTAAACAAATTTATTGTAAAATATCTCACATATATCAAAACACTGACTTTTTAAATGATTGGTGTCTTGTTTTACTAAGGGCATGCAGTCCTGTATTTTGGTCACTGCAATTAGTAATTGTACCTTAATTTGTCCCTCAGTAACATTTGAGACAACCAATTTTTAATGACAGCATATTATGTTTTCGACTGTCTTCAAAAATTCTCTGCCAATCTTATTTTTGAATAATTTTAATTATTATCTAATTTAAAAAAATACAGTCTGTAATTTAATTGCAAGAAATTTATAGTTTCAAAAACACTTCTCCCCTGTCTCTTAAATTATTTGATACTTGGAAAAAAAGACTTTTGTGAACTCACAATTTAATTGCACAGGGAATGGTTGTTGTGTTGTTATTTTGTCCGAGATTTTCCAGCCAAGTTGTACACAACCCATCATGGAGCCTGCCATCTGAAAAGTAACTTATTCTGTAAACACTAGTATGATTAGATGAAATTTTCTTTTCACAATTACAGCTGTTGTTTTAAGTGAAAAGTTATATTGTCAGAGAAGTGCATTTAGCAGGACGTGAACCATTTCAATAAAAAAAAAAAAAAAACGACTCTGAAGGCAAATTCAGAGGGAAATAACTCCCCAATTTGACCTTTAAGAGCCTGTGTATGTTTTAACATCCGATTAGCCAGCAAATACTTTACAATACAAATCTCTTTATTCTGTGTTCCCTATTGTAGTGAAGTCTATAATTATATTTTTCACCAAAATTGCATTTGCTAGAATACAATTTATCAGTTACCAGAGAGAGTGCTAATCTTAAGTGCAGTTGCCATAGTTACCATTTGTCCTGTACTGCAGGACCCCAACTGTCAAATGGATTTCGTTTGGGTGCACATCAGGGGAGGAACTGACACTGAAACAGCGAGGCTCCAAAATAGGCAGCTGACTCAACAAAAATGCCACAGGCAATTGTATGGACTGAAACTCACTCAGGACATCTACAATGGTTGGCATCTTGTAGTCCCTCCACTGTAGATATGCTTCTTCGTTCTGGAATGCAAAGCACCAAGGCTCTTAGAGGCCTGCACAATTTTCTTACGATGCTCAAAATAATTGAATAAATTTTAACAAGTACTTATATATCAATAAACTTTCACTGCGATCTGAGAAAGAAATTTGATACCATATCAATATTGATATAACTTTCTTATTTAAACAAAGCAATATCTGTATTACAACATATTTATTGTTTTCACCTTTGCCAGTGTTATGAGTCTGTTGTGTTCCTTGTTGTTTGTTGCCAGTTGTGCCAAACCTTTAAGCATGTCTTGTGTTGGGGGTTTCGTGATATCCAGGTAGTGCAGCAGCGCCATCTGGATGGTACATGGGGGAAGGCGAGGGTGTGAACCCCATGCTGAAAGGAATCATAACATGGAATATCATATTTTATCATATATAATGACCAAAGTGCATTGAGTTTTATTGATCTGATAAACATGATCAGAAAATAGACATGTCATTATCATATTTCTACTTCAGCACAAGTGCTGAGAAATACAGACTGGGCTCAAACTGAAGTGCTTTTGCCAGGATCCAGCGAATATTGTATGTGTACAGTTTCGTATTAAATCACCATAACCTATTTTCATAAATCATAATTTTTATGTTAACCATTGTACTTGATGTAAATAAATTGAAATATTTTACATCTTATACTGATTTAAGTTTTATAAAAGTGGATATGCAGATAATATTATTTTCTTATCTCTGCCAGTTTCATAGCTTGATGAACAGAATTGTTGGAATATTGAGGAAAATGCATTTATCCACAGGGAATTTATGGTTCACATATCTATTGCTTGAAATCATAAGGCCCCGTAAACCTTCAGGGTACATACATCAGATGTTATGATATGACATATTTAAAGATTTATACACAAGTATTTAGTGGCTTAGGCAATCACTAAAGAGTGAAATATGTCTATGTCTAGTACCATTATGTTTCACTGAGAAGGTCTCTAGTTGGACAGCTGCGCCACATAGAGGTAGGTCTTTGATTCGTTGAATGATAGCTGTCACCATGGCAATATTGTTAGTAGGGAAGATTAACATGTGGTCTCCATGTTGGTAAACCAGCTTGTCTTTGTTGGTGGTGCTCTGCAGTTTAACTGACAGTGATCTCAGTCTAAAAGAACAAGAAATTATTTTATCTTAGCCAATGACAGCTTGTTTTCTGTTAATACCGAATATACTCATAGCCTTACATGGTAATGACTCAATCTTTTCAATGGATAAAATTGTACTGCATTTACAGATAATGTATTTCTAGGTCATAGATTCTTAAAATTAGAATATTCCCATTGAAATGTAGTACCTTACAAAACAATGTGTTTGAATAATTAATAATTTTTCCCACTTGAAAAGATTGAGTCATTGCTGTAGTTTTGTAGCTCATTACGAAATAGTGGTTATTCTTCTGAAGAAACTGAGAATGAATACCAGCTACATGTAATACATATCTATGGGTTTTAAAATTACTCAACATGAAATGATTGATGATAAGAAATTATTTACCCAGAACTTTTTGCCTGCAGATTTGTAGAACTTATTATGTTGAAGGACTGCATCTGGTACCCATGTATTTCAGAGAGACCTGGCACAATAGAAATGTGATTTGTAGATATAAAGAGAAAAAAATCTATAAAATGCTTTTTGTCAAACTTTATTGCATAAAATTTATGGTGTATGATGGAAAAGGGAAAAAGTAATAAGTATTGCCTGAAGAGATGACACATTTACAAAATATACTGCATTTTAACCAATTTTAATAATTGGTAACTTTTGCATCATTTTAAAATCAAAACAGGTATTTTAATAGAGGGAATGGATGACTGTTCTTTTCATTGGACTGTTGTTACCCTTGATAATGTCCTCCTCTTTGCCGACCACTGTATAACGAAATCTCTCTTCATGCCATTCAGTGGTCACTTCGATGTCATCAGCGTGTTTGAAAGTCAACAACCCATACAAAGCACAAGCTTCCTGACATGAAAAAATGGATATCTTATTTGATGGTATTATTTTGATAACACCGTTTATACAGGTAACAAACATATATTGTCTCATTTAAGTATATTATAATTAGTAGTGTAGAGAGCCTATAAATGTACACTCATTTCATGTGCTCAATAAATTATTATTATTATTATTATTTCTAATAAACAGTGTCCCCTTTATTACAAAAGCATGCAAACTGAAATTTTGCCCTAAATTTAAGAGTAATTTTGTAGTGTGCCTATTATTTTAAAAATATGTAGCCATTTATTAAAATATGATTTACAAACAATAAGATATAACTAAAAGTTTTGATTGACAATTTATTTATCTCAGTGGACGACCATTAGATGACTGCATTTATCGTGTTCTAATAGTATTAGAAAACTTCACAGACTGTCATTAAGTTGAATTTGTGGGCTTCTACAGTGTATCCCAGCAGAGCAGTCCTATGACCTGCACAGAGAACTTAAATCAAAAGCTTAAAACTTAAATTAAAAGTTCTAAAAAGTTTGTTGGATGATACTTTCTTGGTGATTCGAGATAGGATGATAAAGAGAAATTTGTTTAAATTTCTGAGAAAATTAATTTAGTAGTATATAAAGATCTTAATGTGCAATTTATGCATTTGACAAACTTACATTGTAAACCTGCCTGGACCACTTAACAAAGGGTTTTTCTTGTCCACTCAGACTGTCCGCTTTCACTAGTGAGGTCATGCGCTGACCGCCAAGGTTCCTCAGAAGGTTATCAATGTGCACAGCAAATGCACAGAATCGAGGGTAGGCTTTGGAGCCCAGGCCAAACACAGCAAACCTGGTGTTCAAGCAAAATGAGAAACTACGTGATTTTTTTCTATCTCTGTACCCTACATATTATAAGTAAAATTGCCCTTTTCTGTTGTTTTATATTTACCAAGGGAAGCAAGGCAGAATTTATAGTTTTGGGCTCAAATTATGTCATGAAGGGAAATAGATGGACACCAATCAAAGTGAAATGATTATAGTACCTTATATTGGACAGATTCTTTTCAAAGGATTCTAGAGCTCTGAAGAATGTCTGTAACAGAAATAAGACATGATCTGTTAAGTTCTCTCACTTCATCTTAGACCACATATACAGAGTACGTGCTTGATTACACGTACACACACAACACATTCTATATAAGCCAATTTGTTACAATAAAGACATTCTTTTACATTGCAAGGTTCATTTTCCATCCCCTCTTTCTCTTTCTATCTCATGTACACACACTGTTAAACTTCACCATATAAATTACAATGAAGGCATTGTTTTTTGAAACTGAAATGCGCATTTCCCTGCATACCTCTCCATTTAGTGGAGGACTGCCAAGTCCAAATGTACTGGTCACCACTAGAACTAGCTGTTCTTGAAGGAAGCTGTTGACAGGATAGTCTTCCATACACACTGTCTGTAGTAGGCAGGAGAATGTTATTATTAGTTACGCATGTTAAATGTATTAAAACTATTATATTTAGGTCACACATTTAGATTATTCTGAAAGTGTCATGTTGGTTAACCATCTTAAATGGGAATCTCTGTATGAGTATTATCACTAAATAACATTTTTTGATTTAAAAAAATTAGTCTTAAAGTGTGATTTTTGACATTTTATTAAAAACCGAATTGTAGTAATTGTAGTCCAAAATTTTAAGACTATTTGTCTCAGTAAGGCATAAAATTATTTGTTACATTCAGGTATAAAATTATTTATTTCAGCCAGGTATTAAATCATTTTGAATTGGTTAGAAAACAAAAGATGTTGGCAATTCATTTAAGAATACGGGTGTTACCATTGCCATTGTTACAAAAGACTTATAATCATTTTAATGATATACATTTTTGATTAGCTCCTTGCTTCACACAGGTATATTCATATCCATGAATAAGTTAAATAAGTAAGTTATTTTTTAGAAAACAAAAATTACTCATCAATTTGTTGATTTGGCTCTATTGTTTAATTTGGTCACAGCATTTTCAGCTATTTGAAAAGATGTCATGCTCGTGTCAGTGCAGTGTACACTCACCCTTGCATTGAAGGCTCTTCCCATTGTTGCTTCCAATCTTCTTGCAAATTGTTCAGATTTCCCTGTCTCTGAAGCAAACAGAATGAGGCATTTAGGCCTGCACTTCCGAATTTTCATTTTCAGCTTTGAAGCCAAGAGAACAGCCCTAGAAATAAAATGGTTTGATATCAGAGATAGAGAGAAATTAAAAAACATAACAAAGAAAGCATATTTTAGGATTATATTTCCCACAAAACTAATTCAAAATTGATTTTGTGAAATGAGTAACCAATTCACTCTTGCCTTACTATCAGTAACCATAAAATAGAAATATTTTCTATTCATTAAAAAAAAAAATTGTCGTTCGAACATTTTGATGTACTTTCTCACAGATTTGTACCTGAAAATTCCAAACACCAAGTTCTTCATATTTTTCTCTTTGTCTAACTGATTCAGTAGCAGTAATGGTGGATCCTCCTGTAAAGTAAGGTCATTTTTATGTATAACTTTCTCTTGAAACTTGCTTTAGCTCATTAGGGACAAATTATCATTTGGATTATATGTAGGATTTAGCATTTTTAACTATCATTGCTCTACTAATTTATGAATTCATATTAGTTATAGTAATGACCATAACAAACCCTGCCATTACGTCAAATTGCTTCAGTTTCTTGTTACACAATGTCATATTTCACACTTAAAATTCTTTTAATAAAAAAGAAAAAATGAAATTGCTTAAAACTGTCTTATTCTATATCAATTTTCAGATTTAGAAATAAAGAACATCGTTGGTTACCTGATAATCAAATGAAGGTTTGATGGTATAGTTGACCATTTCTTGATGAAAAACTGGCGTAATGCTCCCGCTAATGGGGGGCACAATCCACACCCAGTCAGCAGGACAGCCACCGCGGGTCTTGGCCTCTTGAAGCATGAACTGCACAAAACTGTCAGCCACAGTGTGGTGGTCTACTATGGACACCCCGGCTTTCTGTGAACAAAATGGTCATTGGGAATTTTTTTAATGAAGAAAAAAATATGAATATACAAAAGTGTTTTATTTTTCTTTTCTCAATCCTGACAAGAAATGCTTTTTTTGAGCAGTCTAAAATGAAATGCAATGCATAGAGGTAGAATATTTTGAATGACTTGCCTGGTAACTGTGCAGTACTGCAATATTCACCTCCACCAGTGCCAGGTCTTTCCACAGGTTCACAGAGGACCTGCAGTCCAGCCCCATACGCTGACCCACTATCTGAAACATTGCACAACACACAGGGATGTTTAGCCAGTTTCAAATTAAAGCCAATGTAGCCCAGCTTCTTCGTTTTCAAATTTCCTTACATTTGTGTCTGTCAGAACTTAAGAGGCATTTACAGTAATTCCAGTTAGTTGTGCAAATCACAGATGTCAGACAGGACTATTAACAATGTCACATGTCCTTATACAGAGCCATGACATGCAGCTACTGGATGCATATTTATGACTAATGCAGTAAATGTCAAACAAATTTTCTGCTAAATGTCAGAGTTCAACAAGCATTCACATATGGAGGATTGCTAATAAAGAGCTGGCAAACATATGACCTGATGCTCAGGATAGTATATTTTACTTAAGATAAAAATATTTGATATCATTGGCATATCAATCTTTATACGTAAAAACACAGTCTTATTTAGTGTACAACATGATGAGATAAAAATATTATATGACAACTATAAAAGTTTTCAAATTAAAAGTATGTGTCTGCAATAGAATTTCTTAGTCAGGTCAGTGTGAATCATAAAAGACACCACAGCCCATGCCAGATAAAATCTACATACCTCCAGAATGTTGTATCTCTGTACATCACATAGGTTTCTTGCCCCTATTTCTGTGCCCATGTACCAGCCATTGAATGGTGCAGCAGGAAACTCCAACCCTCCACAGTCAAATAGCATGTTTGAAACAACAGGTACTGCATACCACTTCAGTCCCAACTCTTTGAACCAGTCAAATCTAAAACATTCAACAAACACCACAAACTTAAGCCTCCGTTTGGTTTAGAATGTCAGACATATGGAAAAAATGCACCAAACATAATTTTATTTGTCAAACCAAATTTTTATGAATGACAAATTCAAATTAGGATTTACGGTATATAAGTGTATGGTATATCACACTCTTTAGTTCAGAGGTTCTGGAAACCCACCTCTGTTATCACCATACTCCTGCTGTTCACTGGAAGTGGCAGAGTGGTGTTCTGATAGAAGAGGTGAATTTCCAGTTATCTCTGAGACCCCATTCCCATACCTAAATCGATCTTGTGAGATCGGTCCCTGAGGGGATTCTTGCTAAATTGCACTCTGCTTCAGTGGCTTAGATGTCTGGCACACCTACTGAAACTGCTAAAGAATACTTTATTACCCCCTAACAGTTTCAGTAGGTGTGCTATCTAAGTGAGTGCAATTTAGTGAGAATCCCCTCATAGATGGACCGATCCCACTAGATCGATCTAGGTATAAGAACGGCATCTGAGACTTTGGATGAATATCAGGTATTTGACAACGTTTTTGTTAAAAGTAGTATGAGATGCCATTGCTTACCTCGGATGTGTCAGTTCCACCTCCAATATTATTTCTTTGGGAATCTCAAACAGTTCAGGCGGTTCCCCATTTGCAGAGAGTACCAAAGGAAGGACGTCAAAATGGCCACCTTTCCCCTTCCAACCCAACCTTTCACAAATCTACAAACAGAAAGATATTATGAAAACATGTGAAATTAAATTAATTGCTCTCTTCTCACCCCAAGGTGCACAGTTATTTGGAAATCACAAACAGTGGTTATATGACATTTCCAATTTTTTCTGAAACAGAGACAAGAAGTGTTGGGTAGAGTAGTGTCCACATAAGTATACTGCAGCTGGGGGTGTGATACCGGCCTAAGTTTGGACTGGGTCATGAGTAAAACTCAAATGTCTATCGAGATGAATAAACATGTTAATTAGAAGTATGTGATGGATTTTGATATGAGAAAAATCTTAATAAGACTGGTAGCAAAATCAATTTGAAAAAAGGGACAAAATAAATAAATAAATAGATAAATAAATAAATAAAGTAGATTCAACAAGAAGACACATATACTTGGAATACAGTTTGGTCTACAGTTTTGATAACTACCTAGTGCAAAATAATGAGTAGTGCTTGAATGCCTGAAAGATTTTCAATGATAGAAAAAGAATTTTGCAAAGGGAATACAAAAGGAGAAAATGATCCTTACTTGAGTAAATGATAAATTGGATGGATCTCCAATAATATGTCCTCCTGGCATCCTGTATCCAGCATAACGGATAAACTGAGAGTTCCAAATTCTAAAGTCTTTCTTCTTGTTTGTGCGTGCTGGAAACACCGTCATGGCAGACCTGTTATATAAATATGAAGAAACTTCTGATTAGTTATGCAGTTAGCTATCAAATTTGATTGCCTCTCTAGCGTGGATCTATTTAGTTATAGCAAAAAGAGCAATGCTCAGCAGTGGTTTGGTCATCATCACTTCAGACATATTTAGGCTAAATAATTATGGTTTGAAATGATTAATTAAAGACATGGCTTTATGAATCAGACAATGATTACAAAGAGCATTTAAGGGCGCACAAAACTAGAGCAAATTCTAAAGCAGTAAAATGGTTTGTTAATTGGTGAAGTAATTAATCAAGTCATAAGTAGCAACTCAATAAACCTACCTGATATTTCCTCCGTTTGTTGCCCAGGTGAGGTGATGGCAAATCGCTCTGAACATTTCCTCAGCTGTCTGTATCTCACGTGCATCAAATACCTGGTAATCAATATAATTATGAAGATCGAGAGAGCTTGATTTTAAGACAGATCAAGTGAGAAATATACTCCAGTACTAATGAACAATTAAAATGATAAGACAGGAAAAATATAAACTCTATTTTAATATCTTAAAAGACCAACCTTCTTTATACTGTTCACTGGTCTTTGATAATAGCTCATACCTGAAGGTTTTTCCATTGAATTCTCCCAGAGCAACGTGAGGCATTTCGCCAGGCAGTTTTGGCACCAAAGACAAGTTCATCATACTCTATGTGGTACGTCCCTGTGTCTTGGATAGCTTGAGCCACAACTACTTTCCGCTGCAGATGTTCTTCACTGTCCTTTCTTCAAAATAGAAACAGAGGATGGAATGGTGAAAGCAAAATAAGATATAAAAATATAAGCATGTTACCAGTACAACACTAATCACACAAATCAGAAATAAAAAGGGTGAAATTGCAAAGAGTTCAGGGAAGATGATTTAGCATTAACAAGTTCAACATAATTTTTTAAAANAAATATTATGTTTTTTTTTATTAATTAATGGAACACCACCAACATCAATTCTTGGACCAAAATAATGTTTGATCCTAGATGTAATATTTTCTTACTTTGTCCCCTCCCGAGAGCTTCGAAAAATTGCATCAAATTCCGCCCTCCCCCTTTTCCCATAATTTAGCTAACAGACAAACAGAAACAAAAACATAATATCTGAATATTGTCGTTCTGATGTACGTAATTCATATAGCTACCTGTTTAGCGTCTTGATGAAGAGAGTCCCTAGTGGCTGTGCCATGCGAATAATTCTTCAACACCAGCTTTTTCATTGCGAGTCCTTCAGTGAGTTTATTACTACCTAGACAGGCCTTGGAACTTTTCACATAGTATTATTAACAAAAATTAAAATAATGAAAATTAAGATAAAGTGTAAATTAATCATTGGATTCTGTATTTCTATAGTTATTTTTAATACTTCCTTTTAAATACATCTATTTTGAAATTAGTCAATGTTCATATATGATTAATTATTATAAACATCTCCATACCGGTTAAGATGGCAATAATACTGATCAATGAAGTCGAGAGCCTCGACCTGGATTTGGTCGTTATTGCGATCTGTTGCTTCTTGTGGTGGTACAGTTGACGGTTTGATGACAAAGGCACCTGTGCAAATGGATGCCATTGGGCAAATGGACTGAAAGTATCAAATTATCATTATTAGTAGTATTGTTACTTTCATGATTATTATAATCTGATATTATTATAAGTAACAGTATCATTTCTTTATTATCATACAGTAATTATTACCTGTGGTAGAAGTGGCTGTAGTACTTTTTCATTGAGTTCTTTGGTGTTTTAAGTTTGAAATCAGTTGATAAAGAACAGCCAATTAATTTTTTTCATTGGTTATATCAATTACAGCTTCTTTCCCTTTGTCATGATGTTTATGTAGTTCAAAATGTCAAAAGTGCAAAAACCTAACAAAAAAATACTATAAGGGGCTAAAAAATCAAACTAAAAGAGGCAAAATTCTTTCTGTCTGGTTATCAGATAGAGGGAGTGTTGTGACTGATTTGAATGTAATGGATGATATACACAATGCGTGGGGAGGCGAGTGAGAGGCGGAGAGACCATTACAGGATTAGAGGTCTTCCTTTCATGTAGGTCTGCAATATTTCGGTTGCGGTCTTACTAGCACTCGGCTCTTCTCAATCTGAATGGTCCCATATTCATGCAAGATTACAGTGTATTTCATTTGTGTCATGGTAAGTTCAAGGTAATTAGATTTTGGTGCATTCATCTTTTAATCAGTTAAATTTTATCATGATCATTATGTTATCCTTAATCAGAAATCAATGGGCATATCACAAGGTGCAACATTTGAGGGGGAGCTAAAAATCAGACTTATATTCCAGTTGTACATCACCAATATAGCAATATTAAAAAAGGACAGAAAAAATGTCAAATGGACAGACATATTAATGACAGAAATGATAGCAATGACATTGAAACAGTTTTAGAGTAATGAACAACCATTTTTGTGATGGTAGTGCAAAAAATGCTTTTGTCAATTTTTCTTAAATATCACATAATGCTGATGAGATTAATTCTTTCAAATGTACTTCTGTCACCATCAAACTTATCACAACCTTTTCTGTTTCTTTGAATGTCTTTGTTTAATGTTTATATATTGGCCATCTTCATGTTTAGTTCAAGTTAATAGCAACCTGCAGGCATTCACCCTGATGAGGTCATTGTGATAAGAAGTTATTATCACAAAATCTAGAAAATCACTCAGAGAGTGCTAACCTGTGCCAAGACAACTTAATTCACATTATTTATTTTCTGACTAAACCAAAATCGAGTCCATTTTTTACCTAACCTGAAAATTTCATCTAAATTCCTCTCCAACTGTTTGCTAACAAACAAACAGACTTCAATGATTAATTTTAATCAGGATGCAAAGGCTAAAAAATAAGAGTGAAAATATTATGTTTTTTTTTATTAATTAATGGAACACCACCAACATCAATTCTTGGACCAAAATAATGTTTGATCCTAGATGTAATATTTTCTTACTTTGTCCCCTCCCGAGAGCTTCGAAAAATTGCATCAAATTCCGCCCTCCCCCTTTTCCCATAATTTAGCTAACAGACAAACAGAAACAAAAACATAATATCTGAATATTGTCGTTCTGATGTACGTAATTCATATAGCTACCTGTTTAGCGTCTTGATGAAGAGAGTCCCTAGTGGCTGTGCCATGCGAATAATTCTTCAACACCAGCTTTTTCATTGCGAGTCCTTCAGTGAGTTTATTACTACCTAGACAGGCCTTGGAACTTTTCACATCGAGTGGTATACTAATCTGACTCGCAACGTTTACGCTATGGGGTTTTTGCTCACTCTCACCAAGGTGTACTCCTCTGGACATACCTACTTGCTTTCACAACTAGATTTCCCTTCCAACTGTTAGAGCCAATCAAAATTCATCGGGCCGGGGCGGCATCGACGCGTATTCACACCGTCAGAATTTATTTAATTATTATAAAATCATTACGGTTATTATTGTTTTTGTTATTAGTATTATCAGGTTATGCTACATTTTCCCTGTAATCAGTTAAAGAGAAGAAACTTCATTGATTTATTGACTGAATTAGCCTGTTATGCAACACTGGATGACAATACCAAAAGCAGATACGGCTTGATATAAGGAGACTGTTCAGCGAGATCTTATAATGATGAGACAACATTCCGTCCTAAGGTTCAGTTATATTTGTGTGATAATAAATAATTTTAATTTTGCTCGGTGTGTCTATTGATGCTTTCGGTTGTCGATTTCGAAAACAGCATATGCTCAGTCAATACTTCTGTGGAATTTAGCCTGGATTTTAAGAAGTTAACACAAATTAGACTGCAAGCAGAGCCTGAAATCATGAGGTCTAGGTTCGGGTCATCTCTTTATGTCCCCGCACCGTCTCTCCAATAAGGCTAGCAAAATTATGACATACAATGTAACTCGCAGTCGCATCGCCTTTGAAGCGCGACTCCCCCACATCGGTTTTTGGATAATGATTAAAGAATTTCCCTTTCTGTCCTTGAGTGAAGTAACAACTTGTGCTACGCTACTTTCTTGCACTGCACGTGTGTGTACAATTTTGATTGTGTGTTTATTTATTGAACATAGGCCTATTTCAAAAGACAACAACGTTTTTTGAATTCCAACGATTTATATTTTTCCAATTATATTATTAAAAAAATAATAATACAAAAGAAATAGAGTTATCTTTCAAATTCAAATCTAAAATACGATAAAAAAACCCCTAAAATAAAAGCATAAATGCACTAAAATGCACAGGAAGACATGATGTTTTAAGAGACAGGACAGCAATTTAGATCTAATTATTTAATTAGAAAATGATTTCATTTTAAGTGCTGGGAAGAAATTGATATTTTTCGAGGAAAGATGAGATTGTGCATATCCCGGAAAATAATTTCATTCAAGTGCTGGGAGGAAATTGAAATTTTCGAGGAAAGATGAGACTGCGAATGTCCCGGATAAGGTATCTTTAACTGGCCGTGTCGAGCACGGAGACTCCGTTTGGATGGCTCCTACGTCATACCCAGGCTATTAAACAGGGATGAGATTTTCCCGATTATCGGCGGATTTCCGACTTCTTGGGAGTCAAAAGTGTCATTGGCTTAAGGTGACTAAAAGGACCAAAAGCATAGAAACAAAGCCCTGGGCTTATAAGTTTTTATAAAAAATTAAAACAAACTTCCCAAAAGGCCAATTAAAGACGGAGATTAAGTTCAGTGTCCAACGGATGACGCTATAGCGCCAATTTTAGGGGAAAAATGCCGTTTTCGGAATTGGGATTTTTTTCTATAACCAAGACAGCTATTCAAGTGATTCAAATGGCCTCATAAAGCTGGGTGAAAACACTTCAGTGCGGTACCAGGGAATTGTCTTAAACTATTTACTTTTGATTTTATCATATTTTACGTTAAATCAGCTCATATTTCAATGGGTTATTCACTTCAAAAGACGATAACTTTCAATAAAACAATTTCTTCTTTAACCCCTGACATCATGCTGTAGTCCACATTCCCAACAACAATAGGTGCAACTTTCGTAACGATCGGTTGCTCAGATAGTGAGATATACCTGGCAGCGATTCACTTATCTCGCCAATATAGAAAGCTGTTAAAACAGCCAAAAACGTTCACAGGTTGGTTAACAGAGCTTATTAGTCAAATGCTTAGCTGGCAAATTTACCTGTTATCGGTTATACAATCAGATGGAACCATTGCTCATTGTCATCTAAAAATATTTTGTTTGGGTGCTTTGAAAGGGCAGAAAATCGTGCTTTTGTTACATTTTCCGACCACTCGTTAGGCTTGTAAGCGTGCCGCCATTTTGATTGACAGCTCTGGAGAGGGCCCTAGCCTAGTGATGTCTAGTAGGGTGTCAAGGATATGTAGAAGGAAGCGCTAACAAAGGCGATTACGTTTAACCACAATTAAGAGGTGTGAAGTTGCATTTGAACGTTTCAATGGGTCTCCCTCGGCAATCGAGTAATTTTACCTGAGAGATTCCTTTCCTGTTATCGGCAAAGTGATCAGATAAAACTGGGTGACAGTAGTAGTTCTTAACTGATTATCCTGGTAATTGTGAACTCGGGGGTGGGGGGGGGGGGGGTATTAATTTTTTCAAGAAGTCTTTTTGTGATTTTTATTTTGGGTACATTTTGAACTCTTTCTTCCCGCTTGATCTGTGATTTCTCCAAACATCGCAAAATGCAAGTTAACATGCGTTTTTATTTTCATTGTTATTTTTTTTTAATCATGCTGTCAACCCTTGCTTGGATTTCTCTCGTTTGGCCATTCACATCAATATTTTGCGTGTCTCTGAAGCTCCTTGATTTCATTTAGTGGAGAATAAAATTATATTATGTCAACATTAGTTTTTACCTTCTACAAAAGGCGTCCAACAATCATTTCCAGGTTCGTAACGTGTCTCAGATACGCTCGCCGATATATATCGCCAAAATTAAGAGCTAGGCTAAAAGTATCGATTCTAGCTTTTTTTTCTTTAAGTAATAAATTTTTCGTACAAATACATTTCTCAATTAATTTAGACGATTCGATTTACTCTTTCACCCATTTATTAGGTATACATAAAAAAAAAGAAAGACGAATAATCTTAAACATTTCATGATGCTTTTATTTGAGCTGTACATGCGCCAATGGCTGTAACTGTCTTTCGACCAACACAACGTCGCCGCCACACACGACAAACACACGACTTGTAGGCACTTTCTAACAACTGTCCACTGTGCCAAAGCCTGTACCCAGTAGCTACTGTTTCTTCCTCACGATCACTGTCAGAAGACTCCGAGGGCTGTTCAAAGTCCTTCAAAATCTTACGAGCCCTCACTCCAGGTAGATTCTCTCCCTCGTCATCCGACTGAACAAATACCGATTTTCCTCCAACCGCCCACATACTCTAAAAATTTTCTTTCTTTCCTCTGGAAATGGACTTTTAACACGAACTTTTCTCTTCCCCATAGCGTACTCGACTTCTTCACTGCTTAGCTGATGTAAGACTTATGACCTATCACCGCACACGTAATCGGCTTATAACTCATTAACTATGCTCCTCCCCCCTCATGGCAACGGCCCTTAGCAACAGAGTTGTCAGCCTGACTGGGGCGCGTGCCGGTTGAAAAACTCATCAAAAGACACATTTTGCGGTGCAAATTCAAAAAAATTATTACATCCAACGTTAGATACTTTTTTGATTTATAGAAACACACAAAAAACTCAAAAACATGATTTTAAGCGTAGTTAACCCTATTACCCACCTGAAGCGGACCCCTGGACACAACGCCATATTTTCCGATTTTTTTTTTCACTAAATTGCAGTCTCATCCCCTGAGTAAGTTGTCAGTCTCTCAAAACGTTGCCATTCAGATACGTAGACCGCACAATATGAATAAAGCCTAAGTAATGTGCTGACTTTTCACGTTTACGCCGAAAGCTTGTGTTCAATCGTTGCCACAGTCACAATCACCAATTTTAGTCCGAGTCGTTTTGTGGGGGAAAGCGACTATGTACCCATATTTACCAATAGTTAATGAATTCGCTCCGACATTAGAAGATGGTCGTTTTCTTTTTTTTTTTTTTTTTTTTTTTTTTGTAAGATGGAAGCCCTGCAAGGTTCGATGGCAAGCAAGGATTTCATAATAATTGCGAAAACCGCCGTTTTAGTGGTGAAATGGAATTTATTATATTTCTTTGTGTTGTTTACAATGTATTTATTTTGGAATTTCAAATGTCATATGAAGAGTCGTTATCTGTTTTACAATTTTATTATATCATTAAAAAAAACGCAATCAACATTTAGATACAGAAATTGATAATATTTGGTGTTACGAATAAAATTTTTCAGTTATCAGAAAAATATACATTTATTGTAATATTCATGATTTATTTCTTTTTCATTATATATGTACTTATTTCGCTTATTCATTACACCGTAAACAGACCCGTGAAATGCATCGGTTTTTAAAGTCAATAATATATTGACTTTTAAATCAAGTTTTATTTTTTTTTTAATTAAAGCAATATCAGGTAACTTACTTGTTGCGATGTACTGCAGCAGCCGGGTCTGTGTATGTTGGTGTGTGTGTGTGTGTGTGTGTGAGAGAGAGAGAGAGAGTGCGTGTGAATCAAATATTCATCTAGCGTTAATGTTGTAGATTTTCGCAACTTTTCTATCGACATACCTTTACCATTTTGTAATAATGACAAGTGAAGTATGGATCTGTGGTTTACCTGTTTAGATTCTTTGTGAAGCGTGTCCGTCATGACGGTCCCGTTCGTGTAGTTCCTCAGCGCCAGTTTCTTCATGGTTTAGTCCTCTTGGATGTTCTCTTCACTCAAGTTTCATCAACTAAATGACAAATATATAGACTATTCGTGTTTCGTAAACACTGACGGTGCTTTTTGACAGGACGGGCATTAATATGCTTATAAGGTATCCATAGCATCATTTGTTCGTGCGTGAAAATGTCTTTGTTATGTTCTCAAGGAGGAGCTTCATTTTCTCACTTATCCTTTGGCATACCTTGTGCATGTGTTTAAACTCATCAGGTGCTCGTTGCCGAAACGAACAATTGTACCATATCTAATGCTTTTGTTGGTGGCCACCTAGATAGCAGAGACCATGCAAGTTCACAAAAAGGGTTAACTAAGTTTTTGGCTCATTATAGACCGCAAAATATGTAGACCTATATTGTACTACCTGAAGTCGGCTACTTACTACACCAGACTAATGTTTTACTGACGGGTATTCTACAATAAATGAAGCCAATAAACCTAAATAGGCTATTGCCGCCCCTCAGAGTAAATAAGTGTCAAAGCAATTACGATGTGCTCTTGAAGCACAGTTTCAAAACCGAGAAAACGATATTAACAAGCTTTCTGTTGCATCGTGAAAGGCAACTAAGTCGACCAAAATACTTAACAGCATTGACTGTGACATATAATTTACGACTTCTATCGCTTTGTTTAACAAACCCTGGGTCGACGAGTCCCCAGTTTGTCCATACTGTGTCAGCGGTGCCATTGTTCTGTGATTTGTTGTTTCGAAATGAGGACAAATTGACCAATCGGCAGACTCCGCCCATCCAAGCAAAATAAAAACATGGCGGATCGCGCAGTGTTACATTGTTTTTCTCATGAGTTTGGTGGGGCATATGCAATTTATCCATCGTCATTACATAAAAAAAATGAACTGACAGGGTTTTGGGTGTAATGTGATCGCAGCTTGGTTAACTCGAGCTGTCGCGGGGAAAATTGATCTAACAGGTATAGAAAGTATACAATTAAAACAAGTACGCCACATTGCTGTGGTGCCAGCGGATGCCAATCAGAAATTCACATAATATCAAAAGATTTATAGGCCCTATATGTGTGTCGAGTTTATATTTATGAAATATATGTTTTCTATTGCCATATCAGTTAGAAATAGACTTGTTAACTGGGCGTCGTGACCAGTCTCTCGTGTTTCTCTGGTACATGTATAAAAATGCGCCCAGTCGTTGTGAGGCATAGTTTTCTTCAAAATTGTGTAAAGTTTTAGGAACAGTTTGAAGGCGTACCCGATAGTATAACGACTATTTTTCTTCTATATATATTCTATATATGAATAACAAAGACAACCGTCATTCGGGAGTAAGAAATAAGAGGAGCTAAAAGAAATTATAGACACTTTATATCATTTTTCGTGGAAATCCTTATTTCTTGTTTTCACGAAATGCTGCTCTATCAGGACATCAAGCACGTGAGCTGGTTGACTTAAACAGCCAGGGAGAGGCCAATTGTCCTGTTCTGCTTATTTTAACATGATACCCTGTTTATTGGCGGATATGTTGGATTTTAGCCCTAAAACGAAATTGCCATAAGTGAATTGAAGTGGGTGATTTACTGTGCTGAATTAGAAATTATGGAATTTACTTTTGGTAAGAAAATTTTCTTTGTCAAGCATTTTTGCAACTAAAATGGGGAATGAATGCTTATCTACCTAACTAAAAAATTATATAATTATATTTAAAAAAAAAAAATTAAAAATGCACAAGGAAAGGCTAAAGGAAAAAGAAAAAAAAACATATTTGCATTCTGTATTGCGGCTAAGGAAGAACGCTAAATAGCAGACTAATGTTTCTCATTTTAGAAATTTGCATTATGAAGAGATAAAACATTGAAATCAAGTGTGTAACATTGGTAGATACATGCATAAAAACTTGAAACGTGGAAACTTACAGACAAGTCATACGTGTGGACCACGTGTCAGGCAGGTAGATTTAAGTTTCAGTTTTCAACGCACTGAGCAAACAAATTGGGGGAAAACAGAATACAGACTTGCGTTGAGAACAAAATGAAAGAATACGCAAAAACTCAGCTGTACATAATTGTATATTGGACTGCTAAGCAAACACAGAAATTTTGTCTAATGCTGCCTTATAAACAAAACAACAGAGATCTGTGAGAATGAGAAAGAACGAATGCTGGTTAGTAATGCCTGTTGATCAATTTTGAAATTTTTAAAGATCTAATTTCAAACTGATGTGGATACAATCTTCAGGTGAAAAGCTAGTCATTCTATTCACGATATTTTCTGCTCAATTCACTTACGTCATGGACCCTACTGATGGCTCCCCAGTATCATCTCTCAGGTCAATCGGAACACTTTGAAATTCGACAAGAATCTTGAATAATTGCCACCGTTGGATAGATAACCTTTGGAGTGAAAAATTAATTCATCCTTTGAGTCGAGAGCGCGCACTCAATCCCACGCCTCTATCTATCATTCGGTTTATATCTCTGATTATTCGTAAAAAAAGGAATCTGAATGCAACATACAGTTGTACAAACACTGGGATTTCTACAGAGCGTGACAGTTATTTGGTGCGCTGCATAGACAGTACGCATGGTTTGATGAAAACTATTTTACAAAGCATCATATCTAATGATTAAGATTTTTATGAACAGTTTTATTGTAAATTGAATATATTTCGCTACATAATTATCTCGGATTGGTGGTGAATGTTAAAGGTTAAAGGTTTAAAAGGAAGACGTGAGAAAAAAGAGAACGAACTTGATGAACCTGGCCTATTTCTTTTTATTTGTTAGTTGATTCAATTTGCTATGGTGCCTACCAAATGCAGAATTATCCCTTTACACGCCAATGATTTATTATTTTTAAAAATGTTACCTTTCTTTCTGCTGATATTTTTAACTTGTTTTGAATTTAAAAAAGTGGAAATGTAACAAAAAATTAGTGTATTTTTCTTCTCACATTTCTTATTTTATTTATTTACTTAATCATTACAGGACGCGACATGGATAGCGTTTGATCACACTTTAAAGTGCACAAATCCCAGCGATATCTACCTCCTACTGAAGAGCTCCGAGTTCGTTATGCATGACTTGAATGAACCGTAAGTCTCTTCTCTTTTTATTCTCTTCTCCTCTCCTCACCTCTCCTTTCTCTCTCTCTCTCTCTCTCTCTCTTATCGGCCCTTGGTTGCTCTTTGTCTTTCATTATCTCACCTTACTCTTTCACTCAAGACTGCATCCATACGTGTTTGTTAAATCTTATTTATTTGTTTATAATTTCTCCCTTCCAAGAGAGAGAGAGAGAGAGAGAGAGAGAGAGAGAGAGAGAGAAAGAGAGAGAGAGAGAGAGAGTGTGTGTGTGTGTGTGTGTGTGTGTGTGTGTGTGTGATGGGGGGTAATCATTTACAATAAATAAATAAATAAATGGTTATAATGTTGGAGACTGGAGAGGATTCCCCTTGCCCACCCCCCCTTGTCTACTTCTGTGCGTTGAACTTACAATAGTTTAGGCCCCATTCCCATAGACACCATCGGTCCAAGTATATCGGCCGAACTCTGCGGGACTCTTGCTGAATGCAATTAACGTTGAATAGAATACAGAAAAGCTGACCAGTAATTATATGAGCACGTTGGAAATTGGAAACAAGAGGTGTATCATTCAGTTAAGCTAATTGCACTCAGCAAGAGTCCCCGAAGAGTAAGATCGATCGTAGACCGATGGGAATGCGGTCTTAGTCATAGAATTATCTAGGATAACGTAATGGATGCGATTTATTGCTAAATTATATCATTTCCGTTTTCAGGGACATTTCGGTCTCCAGTGCAGCTATCAACCCAGTCTTTTTAGCAATGTTGGCTAGTAGCTACTGAAATGGGTTTGTCTATGCCTGGAAAACCAATGAAAAAAGGACTAATTTGACACTTTAGCTGATCAAACCTTGAAGACACCTTAACACAGAAATTCCACAATTTATGCCCACTTTGAAGCTCTTTTCAGTAGCTACACATTACGCCTGAGCATTTTAACTAATTGCTCACTTTTCATCCAACAGATTCGTAAGATGTGACGATTCCGACCCAGATCACGAGGCGAAAGTCCAATACGAAATGGTTCTTCGGAAATGGTTGGACCTGAAACCAGGCCTGGAATTCCGATGTTTCATCAAGAAAAATAAATTAATAGGTATGGCGATGGTTGCAAATATACATGTAGATATGATGTGGCATTTTTGCGGGCTTGGTGCGTGTCCTCTCTCTCATTATTGGAATTATGTTTCATCGTGGGCTTAGCAGATATTAATGAAGATTTTGTCACATGGTGGTGAGACTTAAATCTTCATTGCAAAGTTTATTCTATCCATTTACTTTACATGAGTTGCGCGCGCAGCAATGCAGTTGACTCGCTGTTATTCAAAACTATCAACAGGCCCCTTCTTTAAAACCTTGCCTGCGAATATAATCGGCAATAACTTAATACTGATGATTTAAAAAAAAAAAATTTTTGTGTATAAAACTCTCATTTTTAAGAATTTAAGAATAAGTGTTCGCTTAACCTGAGTGCTCCGCATTTTTCAGTTTAACAGTAACGTAACAATTTGTTTCATGTAACGTTCACTTACGGTTATCTATTCTAGAACATTTGGTGTATTTTTTTTTTACAGTTCTAATGTTGTTCTGTAATGAATGTAACAGTTCGAGAACTGTTTTGGGGAAGTCCTTCAGATTGTCCTAGAACAGATTACGAGCATTTTCATTAAAAGAGAAAAACATTATGTTCTAGGACAAATTGAGAACCGTAAGTGAGCGTTAAATGAGACGAATTTTCATTCTGCATGGTCGCGTCGCTAGAGTACAGGGAATCAAGCATTCAAGGTGTCCTATTTACCTCTTTATTCAAGCGTACCAAGGGCATCAAGTTTGCCTACCTTCTTCGGTCAGAGTTCATACACAAAGATGGCAGTTGGCGTTGTTGTGTAATTTTGAGGTGTAGGCTAACCATCATAAAATGTCAAACTGATAAGTTCAGCACTTTTGACTGCCTAATAAAAAACTGAAGATTTTGCTAAATAAACCATTCTGTTAAAATATCCATGATTTCTATCATTAACTCGCTGCCGTTGAATGAAGATATTTGACAGCTGTTTGTTGATGAGGCAAGAAAGATTGCATTTATAGACAACTCGTTCTTAATCGTTAACCGCGTTGAGCCTTATTTTTGTTCTTTTTTTAAGTGCCCATAAAATTGCTCTTTATGAAAATAAATTCTGCTGTGTTGATAAATGCATTAATAAATAAGTTGAATGATATTGATATAAAACCTTTCAATTTCAGGTATTTCTCAGAGGCACCCATGTGATTTCTTTCCATTTCTTGGAAAGGACAACGGAGCCATTGTGGAGGACATCAAACTTTTCTTTTACAATAAGATTTATAAACAGTTTCCGGACGAGAATTGTAAGTTGTTTTCAGTTGGCTGAAACATAAAATAGTTATTTTTCCTGACATTTTTTCATAAAACCCCAACAGTAGCACACAACCTGGGCCGCCTTAAACAAGCCATTTCTTACTTTTCACGAGACAGGCCAACTTTACGCTCAACTTGACTTGTTCTTATTTATTTTGGGTCAAAGTAAATTTATTCTATTTAGACAAAATTCATGCCTCATAAACAACAATTGCCGTTTGTGATCTCGAGCCACGAACCTGTGATCGAGAACGACAAATTTACGACTCAAACGGTGAATCCATGGCGCAATCGTGGTTCGAGTCGTAAAATTGGCGTTCGCTATAACAAACCCGAGGTTCGAGATCACGAACGGCTATTTCGTTTATAAGGCAGTTAAGACTTAAATTTTCGCCTTTGTGTGTGAAGCGGGAAGTTTATGTCATGGTTTTCAGGTGTCTTTATACCTACCTTACATTTATAAAAAAAAAGGTACAATCCTTCCAAATAACGTCTTGGAAATGGCGAGGATATATATCTTTGTTTTATGCTTCTTTGGTGAACGGATGGGCGCCATCAAAAACTACAGAGTCCTGTAATTACTTGGTCGCTCTTCTGAATATATATATACACATGGATTCTCATGCCACTGGCATCCCATTTAGCCTTTACAGATATACAAAGTATCTGAATAAGATTTATGTCCTCAATTAAATAATTATGTATATAAAATGCGGTGGCGAGATAAATCAAGGGATTGTCCCGTAATGGAGAAAATATTCTAGCAGAATATGACTTCACAAATATTCTAGCATGAACAAATATTCTAGCAGACTATGCCACTTCGGCTTAGTCCGAACCAAACAAACCTAAAACTGGTCACGTCACTTTGCATTCGGGCACTCAGAAATGATGCTAAATTAGGCTCAATGTTGTTAATGTTCCGTTTTCAAGTAATGTTGGTTCCGCTTTCAAGTCATGTTATATCAAATACAGTCGACATGTAAATATCGAGTGGCGCAGTGGCAATAGTGTAATTTTGAAAACCATTTACTTTGTTTAAAAAGAGCCCCGCATAATGATTTCTTAATAAATCAGATTGAAGCACGTCTACGAGACTTTGAGTAGGTGTAATGGAGACTAAAATACCGCTGCGGTAGTAAAGCCCTATGGAAATTTTTGTTTTTCGGGTCGTCTGACCGACCCTCATTTCGGTATTCGACTGACCGAGCAATATATTTTGTTGAAAAATTAACTGCATAAAGGGTTGTGTTCGCACATAGGTAACACAAGGATGTAAAGCCTGTACATAGTTTTTCGAAAGAAGTATTATGAGTCATTTGGGGACATCGCAGTGGTAATTGATCGCATAGACAGAATTAAAAACGTACACTTCAGGGACAACAAGTCTTCATATGAGATTCAAAATTCTACAATACATTACATTGTAAACAATACATATAAATATAATAAATTCCGTTTTACCAACAAAACGGCTGTTAACGGACCACGTGGTGCTTCATAGATTGTTACCCTCAGTAATAATCTCCTAAGAGATTATTAAAAAAATTTAATAACTTTGAGTATCAGAACGGATTCATTAACCATTGAAAAGCATGGGAAAATTGTCGTTTATGACCCGAGGAAAATCCGACACTTTTTCCGCCAAAATGAAGGGTTGCCATCCCTTTAAGTAGACAGAAAGTGCAGAAGAAAACGGCAATAAACGTACAAAAATATGCTGTCCAGGATTTCTGTGCCATAACGTATTCTGCTATTGCTCAACCAGTCTCTGCGGTTGCATTTTAAGTATGATGTTTAATATTGTACATTTCAGGAGATATTAACATGGGGACTTCTGTTTGAGAGATTTATTTTTTAAGGTCTGAAATGGAAAATAAAACTAATTTTACAGGCTATGTAGACATAAAAATATTACTATAGGAATTTTTCAACGGCGTGCCAGTATATCTTTTAGGTGTTTCGTTTTCCTGCTGAACACGATTTTTACAGCTAGCCAACCTTTATCCTACATATTTTACTTGGTCTTTAATTTGCATTTTTAAGTCATTCACCATTTGAATTCGATAAATCGCGCGAGCATGAAAGGAAATTTTACAAGCATGTTTGTTCAAATTTTCGAAAAATTAACCTTTGATTAGTGAATAAATTTTCTATGGGAAGCGTTTAGTTAGCTTTTCAAAATTTTATTTGTGAGACGTTTCTGCCTTGTTAGAAAAAAGCACAGACAATTTTCTGAAAAGTTTTTATTTTCAATGTCATATCATTTCAGATGTGTTTGACGTATACAGGAAGTCTGAGCATAACATTTTGTTGTTGGATTTTAACCCTTTTGGTCCAGTAACAGATGGACTGTTGTTTGAATGGGAGGAGCTGGACAGCTGGCCTGATGGCGACTCTGCAAGCGAAGAGGTAACCGTGGCGCGCTGTTATTTTGACTATTAGTCTAGATGACTGGTGCAAAAATTGCTCAAAAGGTGGAAAAAGCATGAAACTTGGCACAAATGTTCTTTGGACTATGCTGATCATTTTTAAGGGTAGTGCCCAAAATTTTAAAACGTTGCTTAGCAACCGTTGCTATGGAAGTGATTTAACTTAGAAACAAGCTTATTGGACCTTTCTTGTTCAGTTTAAATGATTTAAAAAGGCTTTTAATAATGTTTCAAGCCATCAGAACTATCACTATACTATTTTAAGATATTAAAAACCCAAGTAAACCATTGCAACAGTTGCTAGGCAGCATATTACCCTAGCAACAAGTATTTAACATTATATATTTAATAATATATATACAGATATCTCTGTAGCATTTTACATACCCTCCAGTTCTTTCCCATCTTTTTGTTCCCATTCTACATATACTAACATGTTTCTAAATTATTAAGATAGGTACATAAATTGTGTATGCTTGCACAAACCCAAATACAAATATCTCCGGAGATCTATCAATGACCACACCTTAATTATCTTTAGCGGGGCAAATGATGCACATCCAAACATTTTTTACATGTGGACAATCCCAAAAAACGTACAGTATATTTTCTCTAAATTTCTCTAATTGCTAAATTCTCAAATTCATAAGATAAGCATAAGTATTGAGTATTCTATGGTTTATTCTGAATTGGAGCAACTTCATTTTCTTGTGATCTGTTTCTTAAATGTTAGTTCCCAATTATCAGTACTCAAGTTTTTTAAAAAAAATATGTTTGCCATTCACCTACACCTTTATCTGGTGATATTATATGGCTTTGGAGGATTTTTTGCGAAAAAAAAATCTGGATGGTTTGGTAACTTGTTTAATTGAGTCAATTATTTCTTGAAATGCTATGAGTAATTTTCCTTCCATGGGAAGAGATAGCCATTCAGATGGTAAGATCTTTTGGAAGCTGAATTAGCCCAGAAAGTTAGTGTTAAGGTTGATTTTTTGTTGAGTTCCTCTAGACAGAGGGGATTTCAAATGTCATTTATAATATCATTGTTGTAAAAAAAAACAAAAAAAAAAACATTTTTACACCATCTTTTATGGAAAATAGTTTTTCAGTTTCTTTCAATTTTTGAGTTTTGACATAATGGTTGTGATACCATTTCATCTGGGGTTAAATTGAAATTTTTCTGAATTTCACTCAAAGAACCAACAATCTTTGACAAAAGGGATAAGAAGTTGCTTTTAGTATTTTTAATCCACCTTTTGTTACTACCGATTCCTGACATTTCGCCGAGCAAAACGCTCTCCACTTACTCTTATTTTCTTCATAAAAAAGTCTTTTAAGCCATGTAAAGTTTAGGGCCTTGGTAAATTTTTTTTTGTGGTACCTTTTACCGTCCATTTTTGTAATCAGATGCCATCCTTGCTCATTTTATTTTGTATCTTTTCCCATTCCTGATCAAGTTAAATATGATATGCATATTTTTAAGTATTGAGGGAGGGGGGGGGGGGGGGGCTGGTAGGAGAGTTTATACATACACTACGTAAGATGAGAAATACTGAAGGTTTAACCACTGTTGACTTACCTATTATTGAAAGGTTTCTCAGAGACCAGATTTCCAAGATATTTTTCATTTCGTTCAAAATTTTTTCTAAAAAGATTTTTCACATTGTATTTTGTCAGTTTCTATTCTCTACCAAGTAACTTAAATACACCTGCATGCTTCTATTTTAATTCTTTTTGTTAATCAATGAAGTTCAAAAGTTTCTGTTCACACCCAAAGGCTGTTAGATGCCATATCTTACTTCCACCAAGGCTGCTCTACAACAATATAAGAGTATTCTTGCGAGATTAACATATCTGAATCAGCTTTACCGTGCCATGTCAGCGGATATCATGTGCTCACTCTGGTTGGACTTGTGCGGAACAGTGGACCCTTGTGGACACATTTGCCAGAAGCTATATTGACCTGTCCAGAGTTGCTCCAGTGTGCATGTAGGTGCAGATGTACAGGCTGACAATGTGCAAGGGCAAAATGCACTGTATATTGCACATACAAGGGAGAATTTAATGTCTTAACTATTGCAAAGTTTTATAAAGAGTCCTAATGTGATAAAAGCATGGAAATGGCTGGTTTCTTACTTTGAACATGCTGCCTTAAGTATCTGCACTGGCAATGTTTTTGATCGGATGTGTGTAAACATCACACAGTTGTTTTAACTTACTGGATTTAAAGTATGAACATCTTGCTCAAAAGTGTAGTTCTTAGCTAGTATTATAGATTTGCATTACTTAATAGACTAATGCAACTTTCAATGCTTGTTGCTAGGGTAATATGCTGCCTAGCAATCGTGGCTAAGGTTAATTTGGGTTTTAATTATCTAAAATAGTCTAGTGATAGTTCTAATGCCCTGAAACATCATTATTAGCATTTCTAAATCATTTGAACTGGACAAGAAAGGTCTTATTAGCTTGTTACTAAGGAAATTCACTTACATAGCAACGGTTGCTAAGCAACGCCTTGAAATTTTGGGCACTGCCCTTGAAAATGATCATCATAGACCAAAGAACATTTGTGCCAAGTTTCATGCTTTTTCCACATTTTGAGCAATTTGGCCAAAATATAGCACCAGTCATCCAGACTATATAACCCGCCCTCGTCTCGGGGAAGGGAATGGCGGGTTCGGAGTGCCGGTGATCAGCGCCGACAGCGATAGCTACCGCTTTTGGTGCAGTATTTCTAATATTAGTATGAACGTTTTTGGTGATTTCCCATTCAAAATATGACAGTCCGTTTTGAATGACGTGAGGAAGAGCCAAATTTAAAATGGGCGAACTGAGTCAACAAACCAAACTGAAATAGATAGTTGTGAGGCAATTCAGAGTGTAAAACGATCTACTTATTGTGCGAAAAAATGTACTTAGCGGAAATGAGTACCCTCAAGCAGGGTGGCATATATTATAGGGAAATCTTGAAAAAGACAGAGAGCCAAATGACTATTTATCTAGAGACATATCTGTGAATATCTTGTGAAAAATTAATATGTCGCCCTGGTAGAGGGTAGGAAATAAGCATGTAGAGAACATTACATTGTTTATTACTTCTACCGAATTCCAAAAGACACTTAAATTACTATATTTAATTTAATTTTTTTTTAAATTTAGGTTTTATGTATTCCCCAGGTCCCAGAACCGGTTTTTCGTTTCATCGAAACAGAGATGGGTGTGAAACCGAGTCCGTACCAGCAACACGGTATACCCGTAGACATGGTCGACCTGGCCGCGGGAACAGACCCACACAAACTGATAGATTTTTTACAAATGGTGAGTGAAGAGATCACCCCCCTTCTCTCTTTCCTGGGGTTGTAGAGATTGCACTAGAAGAGAAGCAGTAATGTGATGATCGGCGTCTGTAGCCGTGGGGGTGATGTTATAGACTATGGCAATGCGGACGATTGATTGAATATACGTCTTTGTGCGTGCGCCTTTTAGTAAACTGCTAGGAAGGAGCCATTCACATTAATTTTCCTCTCCAATAAAACTTCAAATATTTTCACACTCCAAGAAAAGGGTAGGAATATTAGAAGCAGTACACTTAATTTCCATAATGTTATTTGTTAAGGACAGGGGTAACCAAAAAGTCTTATGGGAAATAAAAATGGTGTATGAGAAAGAAGAAAATAGCCACAAATACGACCAGGGAATGCGTGCCAGAGTACAGTTAGTTGTTTCTCCATAGAAATGTTCCCATAGATGACACTATTCACAATCCACAGGAAATTGGCTTTTTTGTTCGTTTCAGTGGTTAACTGCTGGTCCATATTGCCATACACACATACAAACTTTTTCTGTAAAAGACAAAAAAAGCAGGAATTTAAAACTCCACTCTATCCTAGATTACGTGGTTACAACTTGATGCAGCTTTGCAAAACAAAAGAGCATCAAGTAAGCTCTCCAGAATGGCAACAAAAATGCACTGAGCTTTGATAACTTTCATTTACTTTTCAGAAAACGCAGTCTCAGCAGGACGACTCATCAGGTGAAGATGACAGCAGCGATGACAAACCAGAGGAAAACGTGTCAAACGTCTTAGCAAAGAGGACAGATGGTGACAACAAAGATACTAACAATTCAGATTCAAAGACTTGCACTGCAGATTCAGCAACCATCAGTTGATTAAAAGCAGAAATATCATAAAAATATTGCAAATGATGAAAAAAACTGATATTTATGTCACAACCAATGAAAACAAGGACCAGTTACATTTTTTTGCAGATTGCCTTTTTCACAAGGCATTTCAAGATACATTTGCTACAAAAAACAATGCAAACATATTAATAAAACTTTTTTGTACTATGTAAATAGCTTTATTAATAAATATATACATAATATGACTAATGCTTTTTTTAATGGCTATAAAAATTAATAATAAAAGCAGAAAAAGAAATTTCTAAACATGTTTAAATTCATAAAAGAGTTTGAAAAGACAAATTTGGAGAAATAAATCAGTTGAAGTTGAATGTATGCACTTCAGTTGAAGAATTTCTCTTGACCTCATTTTTTAAGGCTGAATAGGTTCAATAATCTCTGGCTCTGCCCTTTGTCCTCTTTCTCTCTCTCTCTCTCTCTATTGTCTTTATAAAGTTTAGATTCTCTATGATATAAGACCCAACAAGCTTGGGCTTGGAAGCAAGTAAGACAGCAGGTGGTATAAAATATATTGCCTCTCCATAGAAATGTTCCCATAGATGACACTATTCACAATCCACAGGAAATTGGCTTTTTTGTTCGTTTCAGTGGTTAACTGCTGGTCCATATTGCCATACACACATACAAACTTTTTCTGTAAAAGACAAAAAAAGCAGGAATTTAAAACTCCACTCTATCCTAGAAAAGCATTACAATATAGATATGCTGTACCATACATTTTATTTGATTTTCATCTAAAAGTAATCTTTTCAAAAATATCAGTTTCTTTAAAAAACACCCTGATTCCTACTTTATGTTCATGTTTGCTCAACTTTCAAAGTTAATTTGTCAGATATATATCTATGGAAGGATGTACAGATTACAAAGCAAAATCCACAGTCCACAATGAGACTAGTGATGCTCATATACTTGCTACTTAATGTGCCTGTGCTAAAGCAAACTCTTTTCATGCTACTTTGGTGGAAAACAAGATAATTTAAGATGATTCTGACAAGAATATATTTCAGTAAAATTACCACAAATCTTTTAAGATAATTAAAATTATAAGTAGGAAAAAATAAATAAAATTGATATTTAAATTCAATTTTGGAAATGTTTCATACAATATGTAAAGATACTTCATTTATTACATTTAAATGTTATGTGTGTGCATTTACACATGAAAAATTTCACAATTTTTTGGGGGGTAAGTTCATTCTTGTTTTGGGAGAGTACCATGTGGCCCAAACATAAAGTAATAATGATCTTTAAGGAGATAGTAAAAAGTTAAATGGGGAAAAAAATGTTGGTCGGAATAAATGTAGGGAAAATATTTTACAGGTGGAAAAGATGTTACACAGTGGTGGGGTGGTTTTGTGTGTGCTGGGGGAGGGGGAAAGCAATTACCCCCTGGTGGTTTTGTAGTGCTGTAAAACAATAACTAGTAAATAACTGGTACATACATTCCTATAACTGTGTTTGAAGATATCATCTTTTTTTCTTTTTTGTGTCTGCCTTCAATTTTTTAGTTCCTGAATTACTTGTTTCTTGTCTCAGTGGTTCATTTGCATCAAGGGCACCATCTTCTTCTATCTCTTCCTGAAATATGAAGTTCTAAAATAATTTCACTGAAATTTGATGCAATCTTTTACTTGTATGTAAATTTCTGCCAAATCCTATGGTAATTCACAGAAATCACAGACATGGTCAGTCTTTGCCATAAACATTTCAGCTTACTGGCATTTGGACCACCACTTTTCAAAAATCTATAGGTATAAATCAGGATTCACTAGTTCACTTAAATTGTCAATAAGACTGGACAATTACCCCTATTAGTTACTACTAGTAATAACAAGATTTGCAGGTTTTTAAAATTATCATATAACAGCTTCATTCCAGAAATAAATTAAATCAAATCAAAAGCTCTCTTGTAAACTTATTAAAGTATAGAAAAAAATCTAGTGCCAGTTGGCATAATGGCCAGTCCAGATCACTAAATTCACATGTTCTGAAATATCTACTGGTACAAACAAAATTTTAATGCCACTGGCCTAGAGCGAAGGACAAGAGCATAATATATAGCAGACTGCACGGGTCAGCTGTATATTTTACATGAAGGCACGTGTCATGGGTATAACTCCCTGGGGAGTCACACTAAATTGCTATCAACTTACCAGCTTAAATGTCTGTCAAGCCTACCGAATCAGCTAGGGGGTAAAGATAATTACCGCCTAACAGCTTTACTAGGCGTGACAAACATTTAAGCTGGTTAAGTTGATAGCAATTTAGTAAGACTCCCCAGGGAGATACTAGTAGATCGATCCAAATTTCTGTGGGCATGGTACCGAAGAATGTATTATCAATAGAATCTGGGTTTGAGTAAAAATCTTGGAGCAATAGTGGCAAATTATAAATAACAAGAACTTGAAGAAGCTAGGCAGTAGCTAGACTACCAGTAAGTACTAAGTGAATATCATGAACTTGATATCGACTTATCGTTACCTACACCTATGTTAAATACAACAATTACCATTTCATCTTTTCTCTTTGGGAATATCACAACCGCAAATATGCAAGCCAACTGAAAAACGGCACCCGCAAGTAGAGCGAAGTGAATAAACGAGTCCAAGACACCACTGCCACTAGAGTCCTCCATGTTCAGTGCTTATTTGCGATAGCTGTAATGATTGAAAAAGAGGACATTTCCCTTTGATTTCAAAAATTTTGATAAATTAAATTTAAAAAGAAAACTGACAGGAAGACAATTTTTGCTAAAACTTACAATTAAACCAAATTTAGATTCTATATTTACAAATACGTGTCGTAAAATTTGAAGTACCTAACAGTGTTGCGCTATTTACCAATCACAGAAGAGATTTTAGTCACGTGGTATTTTAAATCTCAAGGAGGTGAAAACAAATGTGGAATAACTTCAGGTAGGAAATAATTTTTGTGATCGACAACTGTATGTCATAAAAAATATTTAAAATAAAACTTAATTTTGTTCCATAAGGTTTATTTTCTGTTTTGTCTTACCTCTTTGAAGTGCAAATACGTTTTATTTTAGACTAACGCAAGGTGGACAATTTTGGCAACTAAATTCTTTTTTCCACAGAGGTCTACAGTTTTTATTCATTATCATCGATTAAAGCCGTTCCTCAGCTAAAGGTCCTACTTTGCTCCCAAAAGCCAACAAAACCTCATATCAAACATATATGTAGGAAATCGCTTGAGTCTTACCTTAGTGAAATCTTGCCATTTCTTATGTACTAGTACGAGACACAAGAGGGGAGTCTTAAGTTATTATTTATTTATTTATTTTTTTATTCCGACTTTTAGTCAGGTATATCCGAAAAAAAATTCAGTGTGCCAGATATAAACACAAGTTATATCTTCTGAAAGGTCTTTTTATCCATAATCTTATTCTTTTGGAATTTTGATATAATATTAAATATCTCTAAAATTAAAGGAAATATCACTGTTTTTTAAATAGCGATATTAGAGCAAATGTGTCCTCCCGTTTTAGCCAGAAAGCTGTGACCACTGAGCGCTTTTGTGCCACCTTAAAGACATACTTCACCTTGATAAATTTTCATGTTTTTTTTCATAAGATCACAAATGTTCTATGCTTTCACAAAGTATAAAAAATTAGGCAAAGAGAGATGTTTGCACAGGTTGTTAAATGAGATGCCACAGTGGTCACTGGTCAGGAAGGATTAACTCTTTGATGTGCCCACAGTAAGTTTCAGAGTAGGGCCCTAAATATTACACAAAAAATAATGCATTAGCACATTTATTTGGTGTTTATATTTATAACAGAACCAAATTGTTTTCAAGGCTTTCATGACTCCAAGCACTGGCCTGAGATTGATGTTGCACCTGTGTCTTGCTTAACAACAACTCACTTTGATGTGTCTTACCTTGAGCCAAAGTTCAAACAATCATGGACACTACTACAAACTTACAGGAAGGTTTGTATGTGTGTGTGTGTGTGTGTGGTTATTTATTAAAACTTGGCATTGTTCACTTTCAGTATCTCTGTAGCTATGTTTTCTGTGTGTTGTTACCCTTTTAATGTGGTTCACCCAGCTGGTTGTACAAGCCTAGTAGATATTACAACCTCTCTTATACTCTAGTTCTTAATTTAATATATTTTTCAAAATTAGTCCAGGATCATGTGACATTTTTTGCTGAGATGCTGTGCAAGACATTTTACAATGATTTTATTCCTTACAAAAGAATCATTACAAGAGACCATTAGAATTTTTGATTTAAAAATGAGACTTGAAAGTAAAGCTGAGAAATCCTAAGCTGTTGTTTTGTTATAGGTTCCAGTAATTGCCCAGTGGCATTGCTAGTTGACCTCTCATCTGCAACCGAAAGCCCAGAAAGCCCAGAAAAAACAGAAGGAAAGAAGGCCAGTACAACAGAAAGTGAAAACAGTTTTCAATCGGAAAGTCAGAAAAATACGCAAGCAGAAGGTAAGTATCAATATTCAAGATAGAAAATATCTTTTAACACTTTACAGAAAAAAAAAGACATTTTCCAGGGGTTAACATTTTCTGCATCTAACCAACTTTTGATCCTCTATTCCTGAAACTTACTGCACTTAACTCTGTAACAATCTTGGAAGAATAATTAAGTTCTTAATCAACAATTAAGCAGTGGTTTTTGTCCAAGTCAAATGCACCACCTGAATGTGAAGTATTTTGGAGAGGATAGCAAAAAAAAAAAATGATGAAATGATGAAGATACTCTGATTGCTGTCCAGATTATCACTTCTCACTGTTACCTTTAGCTTTACAACTGATGAATATAGAAAATTGTGAAAACATTGAGTCAAGTCGGAGCAGTGAAAAAGAAGGCCCACAAAAGATGCAGATGGAAGATCTGTTGAAAGAGGGTAAGTTTTTGATCCCTGTACAATGGCTCTGAATAGCCAGGGAACCACTTACCTCCATTCCATTCCATTCTAATAAGATTTTTAAAGGGACATCATAGTAAGTCACCATGATTGATCTTCAGTTTTATTTATTTTTTATCACTCTGTGCAATTTACATACTTTTAGCATAACAAAGATTATAAATTATGATACAAAAATAAGCCTGGCTTTGGTTTACAGTAAAGGTTGTATTTACAGACATTAAGCTCCTTGACCATGAAGAATTTGATTTTGACCTGCCAGTGTCTCCTTCTACCAGGTATATGAATAGCTCATGTCTTACCTACAGCACATTATCAAGAAATGACCATTTTTTGTCCATGATTAAAACTAAAAAGTAATTTACTAGTATTAAAATCATAGTTTCATGTTGATTTGTCTTTTAGATGTATAATGAATATATTTTAGATGGATTGGCATTTGAATTTACTCACAATGTAATAATCTCTCTCTTTTCTCTCAGTTTTCCTTAAATCTTTATTTGACACGACCCTTTATGATTGTTAACTTGAATTTGCAGTCCTGAGAAAGAGCAGGTTGAGGAACTGGATGATGAAGATGAAGTTTTCTTTGGTCCTGTTGGCTTCAAGGAGACCATAGCATCTGTCACGGTGACTAGCTCTGAAAGTGCAGCCATCAAACCTCTCAGCCCTCTACGCCCAGACCAAATGGTGGCACTGTTCAAAGAGGCAAACACGGTGGCCTGTGCCATCGATATGCACAGCAAGAAGGAACAGAAAATAGCTGGAAACAAAGCCTCACCAGCTGCAACAAAGACACCATCCCTAATAGATCAGTTAGACTCAGTATTGAAAGTTAGACAAAGTGAGGCAGTGAAAAGCCCGGGCAGTCCTCTTCGGAGGCAGGGGACATTCACTGTCAACAGCAGCCCTTTGCATATGCTGCCCCAGAGCAAAAGGGAAAATTTGCCTGTGATAGACAAGAATGGTGTTGAGATAAAAGAAGCGACAGGGGGCACTACACAGATACAGGATGGAGTTGCAGCCAGAGCTCTCAGAGCTAGGGAAAAATTGAACCAGGTATATGAAATCTCCACAATCTTTTCTCTAATCCTGAGTTTGCATGCAGTTTGAAAGAGTTGAAAATAAAAGTGAAATGTGCAACCTATGGCTGGATAACTATCTTGTGGCTTAAAAACAAACATTTTGACATAAACCTGTTTAATTTTTAAAACCTCAAAAAAAAAACTGCTTTTCCAATACTTTAAAAAGCATGAACAAAGCCCTTGCAAATAAGCATTTTTCATTAATGACAGATTTACACTTGGATTAAAATATCAANGCTAGTTGACCTCTCATCTGCAACCGAAAGCCCAGAAAAAACAGAAGGAAAGAAGGCCAGTACAACAGAAAGTGAAAACAGTTTTCAATCGGAAAGTCAGAAAAATACACAAGCAGAAGGTAAGTATCAATATTCAAGATAAAAAAATCTTTTAACACTTTACAGAAAAAAAAGACATTTTCCAGGGGTTAACATTTTCTGCATCTAACCAACTTTTGATCCATATTCCTGAAACTTACTGCACATAACTCTGTAACAATCTTGGAAGAATAATTAAGTTCTTAATCAACAATTAAGCAGTGGTTTTTGTCCAAGTCAAATGCGCCACTCGAGTGTGAAGTATTTTGGAGAGGATAGTAAAAAAAAAAGAAATGATGAAATGATGAACATACTCTGATTGCTGTCCAGATTATCACTTCTCACTGTTACCTTTAGCTTTACAACTGATGAATATAGAAAATTGTGAAAACATTGAGTCAAGTCGGAGCAGTGAAAAAGAAGGCCCACAAAAGATGCAGATGGAAGATCTATTGAAAGAGGGTAAGTTTTTGATCCCTGTACAATGGCTCTGAATAGCTAGGGAACCACTTACCTCCATTCCATTCCATTCCATTCCATTCCATTCCATTCCGTTCCATTGCATTACAAATAAATTTGGTGTGGCAAATTGGCAGCCATCTTTCAAAGTGTTAAGAGTTTGATATGAATTCCTTGAGAAGAGAGATGAGCCCATTCTTAAGTGCCCCAATGGAAGGAGGACAGGAGTGGAGGTGAGAGGAATTGGTGCTAATAAGATTTTTTAAAGGGCCATCATAGTAAGCCACCATGATTGATCTTCAGTTTTATTTATTTTTTATCACTCTATGCAATTTACATTCTTTTAGCATAACAAAGATTATAAATTATGATACAAAAATAAGCCTGGCTTTGGTTTACAGTAAAGGTTGTATTTACAGACATTAAGCTCCTTGACCATGAAGAATTTGATTTTGACCTGCCAGTGTCTCCTTCTACCAGGTATATGAATAGCTCATGTCTTACCTACAGCACATTATCAAGAAATGACCATTTTTTGTCCATGATCAAAATTAAAAAGTAATTAACTAGTATTAAGGTCATATTTTCACAGCGATTTGTCTTTTAGATGTATAATGAATATACTTTAGATAGATTGGCATTTGAATTTACTCACAATGTAATAATCTCTCTCTTTTCTCTCAGTTTTCCTTAAATCTTTATTTGACACGACCCTTTATGATTGTTAACTTGAATTTGCAGTCCTGAGAAAGAGCAGGTTGAGGAAATGGATGATGAAGATGAAGTTTTCTTTGGTCCTGTTGGCTTCAAGGAGACCATAGTGTCTGTCACGGTGACTAGCTCTGAAAGTGCAGCTATCAAACCTCTCAGCCCTCTACGCCCAGACCAAATGGTGGCACTGTTCAAGGAGGCAAACACAGTGGCCTGTGCCATCGATATGCACAGCAAGAAGGAACAGAAAAAGGCTGGAAACAAAGCCTCTCCAGCTACAACAAAGACACCGTCCCTGATAGATCAGTTAGACTCGGTATTGAAAGTTAGACAAAGTGAGGCCGTGAAAAGCCCGGGCAGTCCTCTTCGGAGGCAGGGCACATTCACTGTCAACAGCAGCCCTTTGCATATGCTGCCTCAGAGCAAAAGGGAAAATTTGCCTGTGATAGACAAGAATGGTATGGAGATAAAAGAAGCGACAGGGGGCAGCACCACACAGTTACAGGATGGAGTTGCAGCCAGAGCTCTCAGAGCTAGGGAAAAATTGAACCAGGTATATGAAATGTCCACAATCTTTTCTCTAATCCTGAGTTTGCATGCAGTTTGAAAGAGTTGAAGGTAAAAGTGAAATGTGCAACCTATGGCTGGATAACTATCTTGTGGCTTAAAAACAAACATTTTGACACAAACCTGTTTAATTTGAAAACCTCAAAAACAACTGCTTTTCCAATACTTGAAAGAGCATGAACAAAGCCCTTGCAAATAAGCATTTTTCATTAATGACAGGTTTACACTTGGATTAAAATATCAGTTGATTCTGTTTGATTTCCTTATAATGTCTGATTTGTCAACAACTAATACCCCATATATATGATATTCTTGTTCCTGCAGAGTCTGACAACAAGAGAGACTACAGCAGTAAATGGAGATGGCATAGCAGCCACATCAAATGGTGCAGCAACAGAGTGTTCTGATGGTGTAATAGGTAGCAGGCTGACAAAGAGAAAATTACCACAGATGAAGGTAATTTAAATTGGAACATGTTTTAAGTGATATTTCTAAATGTCAGAACAGCTTAACCATTTTTAGCCATATAATTGTGGATGTTGATGTTCTGTTTGTTTTAATATGAATAATGTTCAGGTCTATTTGTATTGATTGTTGAACATGGGAGTCCAATTTGAAATTGTGTTTGCAATTAGAATGTTTGTCATCTCTTTAATGCACACTGAACAAAGAAAATTAGATAAATTTTCTCAAATTCATTTGAACATATCATCAGTGTTGATTCTTGATGTTTAGGGTTAGAGATTACAGTCTTGCATAATGTACATGCTGTAGCATACATAACTGCTCTTTCAAAAAAAATCCTATTTAACATTTATAAGCTTTATAATATTTAGAAATGCACATCATGATTTTTTGTTCAGTATATTACTTATCAGGTTGTTATCTTTTCAGTCCAAATTACAAAAACCTACCCCAACGTACTCCCAGCGTGAGAGACACGACAGCGATTCCTCTGCCTCCAGCGTTTGCTCCAACATTTCCAACTGTTCCAACTCATCCCAACGCTCTGGCCTGAAAGCTCCAACCATCAAGACCAAGTTGGCCCTGTTAAAACCTGGAGAGATCCAGAAAAAGAGTCTTAGTATGAACAAGAGTTGTTCCAAGCCTGGGATGTCCCAGTCAGGGCCTATGAAGGCCACCAAGGCAGTCAGTGGGATTAAGAAGAACAGTCCTGCAGACAACACTAGGAGTAGTCTGGGTACATGTACTTTTCACTTTCATGAATATTCATAATTACAGGGATGAGATTTTTCTGACTATCGGTGGATTTCTGACAGCCAAAAATATCATTGACATAGGCAGCCCCCTGGACCCCATGCCATGTTTTCTGACTTTTCACTAAAAGGTAGTCCCATCCCTGTAATTGGCTTTATATGCTCATGTAGCTGTCACTCTCAGTGTCATGATCACTCATTGCAATATCACCCTAATTCTCATTCCCTGACAGAGATGACTTGATAGACACCAGAGCATTCGTTGTAGTTACTGTTATTGTTACACAGCTGATATAAACTTTAACTTGGTATTAAATAATCATTGCAGGTTGGTATGTGATAATGAGGTCCACTTAACAAGCATGAAATATTTGAGAAATTTAATTGTCAGTACTCCCCAGAGGCTATTTTTCTTAATAGCTAATTTTTCTCTATCAGTCTTATTCAGCAACATTGATTTTTTTTTTTTTTTTTTTTTTTTTTTTTTTTTTTTTTTTTTTTAAAATAGTTATCATAGACTTGTCAGTCAGAACCTGTGGATACACTTTTATAATCTTGTTGTCTGCATATCAGGTATGCATTGTATATGGTTGATTTATTCAAAGCAAGAAGCTGTAGAGGAGTAGAGACGGGGCATCAATTATCTCTCTCGTCCAATTAGATTTAGGCATTCTATTCAAAGCGGTGTCCTTTGAAATCTGATCCTTCTTGGTCAAAGAAATTGCAGAGAAGATTAACAGCTATAGTATATTTTTCTGACATGGGATTAATCTTTGTTTTTCTATTTCCAGTATCTAACAGTAGCAGGCTGAACAGATCGGTTGTCTCCACACCAGGCAGTGCATCAGCAGCAAACTCTGCTAAATCCATTTTGGGAAGACAATGTAAGTGCCTTGCATTGTATTATTTTAATGGCTGATCCTGTAACTAGTGTGTCACTCTTTAGTTGGACATGCAAACATAGGTATAATTGTTGATGTTGAAGATCATATTATTTATCATCAGTAATAAAGACAATTTCCTTCCCTTCACAGCTGGCCTAAATCAGCCCCGAAGTAGCAGTGCAGGCAGTTTTCACAGCACGCCTGTCAAGCCAGAAAAGCAGTTCTTGCCAAAAAGACTCGCTGCTCAACAAGCAAAGGATTCACCAGCCACGCCCCCCAGAACAAGGTAAGTGTACAAGTGTTTGGCTACCAAATCTGTAAGCATTTATGACTTTTTCTTTATTGATTCAAGATGATCTTTTCACTTAATCTTGAAAGTTGAGCTTGAAATTAACAAGCTTCTAATGTGAAATGTAGACTGGCATACTTAAATCTATGTCGTGATTGAATGCAAATTTTCTTATTACTCTTAAATATGAATGCAGGTGACTTTGAAGATGATACACATCATTGATTTGTTTCTCTTTCGTAAAAGAATGCATTATTTATACCAGTTAACTTTGGTGCATTATCTGCAACTCTTATAATATTAATAAATCAGACATATACTAAAGAGAATTAAGCATCCCTTATTTTATTTTCTGTAGCAAAACTAGGAATGAATTATATTTTAAGTTTTTTTGGATATCAGAGGGAGATAAAGAACTGAATTCCACATGGTCACAGAAGAGATGATCAAATAATCCCAAACAGACCATGTTTATGAAACAGAGTCACAAAAGGAATTTATAATGTTTGATTGAGTTGTTACTTGGTGCAGTGCTAAATTACGGGTTTATTAATTAATTAATTGTTTGTTTGTTTCTGCAGTTCGTCCAACAGCTCCATCCTGTCCAGTACTCCATCTTCTGTCCGCAACAACAGAAGGTCAATGTTGCCTACTCCATCTAAAAGGTTGGCAAGCTCCAGAATGAGTTCAGCAGGCTCCTCCATGTTACAGAGGTTTGTTATAATGTTGTTTGTTACATTGTTGTTTAGCTGCCTTAGTGCCTTACAACAGGATGTCAATATTAAATTGCCAAGCCTGTGAAGCTCATGGTAGAAGTTTTTTTTATATTTAAAGGTTAGTTTTACGTGTCACTATAATTAGCAGCCTTTACTCTAATTATCTATAAAATTTTCAGCCCACAATCTGGCAGGAGTGGCAGCAGTTCCTCAGTGTTTTCCTCCAGATCTGTTAGTTCCAGCTGTACTTCACCTAGAGCTGATGAAAACCAGCCCCCAGCAAAGAGACGGTCTCTGCTGCAGACACCCAGTTTTGGGCAGGTGAGAAAACCATTGGTTTACGTGCATGTGTTAGGAATGACATTGTAAAGTTATTTCATGTTATGGAAAAGTTGACTTGTGGGTGTGAGCATGTGTGAGCATCCAGCTATGATATTTCCATTCTTTTCAGATGAATTTGGAACTAACGTTTTGCTTATTTACTTTTTGCCGTTCAGTAGTTGTACCTTTCAAGCTATGATTCTTAATTTGAAAGTCTCATAATGAAGTCAAATTGTTTTCAAAGTTGTCTTTTCTGAAATCTTTTTGCTGATCTTGTTAAGCATTTTATTTCAGTCAGTTTTTGATTCACCACAAGGTTTTCAGGTAAAATTTCACCCAACTGAAGAGCTCTGATGTAGATGTAGCAGTAAATACTTTTTTTTAACATGTAGTAGCATTTTCCAGATGCACATCTTAATGCTGTGTTGGAGTTGTATTCTTATATAGTCAGTTTGCATGTTTACTTGTGAAAAAAATGAGTTCAAACTGAATCTTTGTGTGACTGGTCAGTAAGCATGGGTGAAGTGCAAGAAGTGTGGTTTTATTGGTTGGTTGTAGGTACTATAGTTCTATTTTCACTATCTTTGGATGTAGTTTTATTATTAAATATTGCATTGAGGTGTAGCTGTTCTATCTTAACACATTTTTGTAGTTGTATGCTTCTGTTGTAATATTTACCACGGAAAATAAACCCTGGTTTATAAAAGTTGATCACAGATTAATATTTCCTTCAATTTAATGTATGCCGTATTCTTCATTTATTTGGATATATTTTCATTAAACATGTCAGATAGGTTTTTTTTTTAAATTATTATCATCATTATTTCTTTTCTTTGGGGGGGGGGCATATAATATTTCATTATAATATTCATATATTTGACGTAATCTGAGATTGGGCAACTTTGTTGGTTTTTAAAAATAAACTTTTCCTTTAGAAAACAGTTATTGTATCTTTTTTTGTGTATTTTTGGTTTGTTTGTTAATTTTCTTTGTCAAATTTAATATATAATTGAACAGTAAAATTTACTATTTTCAGCCAAGAAAATCTTTGGTTCAGCATACCCCACTACATGGTGCTAAAAGCAATGTAAAACCCCCATCTAGGTGGTCTCCCATAAGGAAAAGGAAAGCTCTGAGTTTGGAAGATGAGGCTATTCAATGTACAAAGAGGACCAAGTAAACTTAATAGTCAAAAGAATATCAAAATTTTAATTATTAAAATACCTTAATATGTCCTGAGCCAAAAAGATTATAAACGTATAATTTTCAATCTGTATGAATACCAGGCAAGATTCTCAAACTTGGGGATGGTTGCCAAGAGAAGTTACTTAACTGTAAACAGAATAGTAAGTCCACAGTAACAAAGAACATGACATATGCTTAACTCTTCAGCATCAAGAAGAATAATAGGATATCTAAAGTGTCAGCTGGTGAATGTATGAAACTGGAGAACTGTGTAAATTGAAATATCACTGTATTGTGTATAATCATTTAATAATTTGAAAATATTAAGTGGGCAACTTAAGATATAAGAGCATTGAGGATTCATCCTGTTAAAATGCCAACATGCATTTTTATGGGATTTACTTTAAGTTCATGAAGGACATTTGTGATTCTTTAATTACACAATAACATGTATAATATTTAAATAGTTGTTTTTAAGCATTACTGTATAATGGTTATTGCATTTGTTTTGTTTGATGATCCCCTGGAAAATTAAAAATGAGCTTACTAAGTCAATATGTATAAACTCTACTGAAAACACTGGATAAAATCTCCATAATCATGTACGATATTCTGTTATTATGATTACAGCATTTACTTTATAGATTCTGTACTGTTAAAAAAATGTGCATAAGCTGAAAATAAACAACAGAATTTGTGATCGCATAAGAGTTTGCAAATTTTTATATCAAGAGTTGCTACTGCAATAATGCAACCATAAGTTTGGTTGAACAATTTTAAAACAGTTACTTTTAATATTGTCCATCTATGCTCAAAATGGGAAGAGAAACAAATGACGCAGGCAAAATTCTAAATTTCAAAGAAATGCCACTTTAACAAAATTATACCAATGTTTAACTAGCATATGTTCAACATTCAATATTCTACAAAAGGGAACTAATAAAACATTTAACACTTAAAACTCCTATAAATATTCTCCACGATCCAATAATGGATCTTGTTCATAAGTGCACTTTTTTGCACAGCTTCGTGAATGTTCAATTAAAAGGGCCTTTTATGCATCAATTAGATCAAACACTATACAGTTGCCAATCCTGTTAGTCAATTTTACTCTGATAAGTGTGCTAAATATTTTTGCTTCCACCCTACAATATGTCGCTGCACTACCCACTGTCCTGTCCCCCCGTCATTCTCCCTGCCACCCCAGTGTTGCTGCAGGAGTCCCTTGTCTGTGCATGGTGATCTGTTGTCTGACGGCCATGACCTCGGAATCCATCCAGTCATCACTTAACTTTCTCTTCTTTGCCATATTTTTACGTGGGACACTGGCTTCCATCTGAAAATATTAATCAGTTTTCATTGTAATGAAACAATTTCATTTCAAATCTTCTGAATGATGCAAGTCTGGGCCCAGTTATTTGTAATGTATGTGCACAGTGAATTAACAAAAAGAGGACTTCTTCATATGTAAATTCAGCAGTACTAAATGCCCCACATTGTGCCATGTAGAGGATTTTGAAACATTATGTGCCAAGTTGACAGAAATATGGTTTGCATAATCTTGTAAACTGTATAAAAAATTGCTACTCATACAGTTATGGCTCCAGGGTCAATACCAACAATTTTGCAGATGATCCTAACAATTTTGATTAAATATGGGCATTAATCGACCCAAACAGACCAGAAGTAATTTCACTCACCCCTTTGAAGTGTGCATTATTTTTCTATATATGGGTGCTTTCTCTCAAAATAATTTATCTAATTTTTTGTACCGTAGTTGTTCACACTGTGTAAAGGAAAGCAGCTAAGATGACTGCATGTCCCCAATATCATGTACCAATAACATCCCAGAAAAATGTTTTGGTCTGCAATATTTTGGCAGAGCCTAATGTATCAAGTTTTAACTTCTTTGCATTTATGATTTGTTGAAATCTTACTCTGAAAAAGTTGTCCTCTTCAAATCTGTCAGTTTCAAAACAATCCAAAATTTGATATCCTGTAAGCGAGAACATCTTATTCATCATCAATACAGTTATTCTGTAAATAGTCATTTAGACACCATGGACATTTTATAAGTCAAATTCATCCGTATTTAATTTCTTATGTCCAAAAATGGGGGAGATTAATAATGAAGTTAACAGAGTTTGTACCAATAATAATAATATGAACAAATTACACTCAATCTGCACAAATGGTGTGAGATCTTAGAACACACCTTTTTCAATGTTTTCACATTCTATCTTCTTGTGAGGTGTCATCTTCTCAGTCTTCACCCTAGGTAACCCCCCCTGAAGGGCTGGTATGACACACAAGATGCCTGGAGAGGACTCAGTGCTGTTACAGCCCTGTTGAATAAGAGAAATGCCCTCAGTATTGTATTAAAAAATATTAGTATTTAGATGGCATTTAAATTCATAATGCCACCATTAAAGATACAGAATAAATAGTAAAATCTAGTACATGCATTTTTGACAGTATTGCTTTACTATGAAACCAGCATTTTGGGAATATAAAAAGAAAACTTTGAAAATGTTTAAAATGAGAAGTTTTTAAAACTTGTTTCAAACATTGTGTAGACTCGACAGTTTAATTGGCAGGATTAAGTGCTAATAGCAATATACATCTAACCTGCTCATCTGCAAAGTCATAGACATCTTTAACATTTTGAACTGTTTTTTTCACATTTGCAGCCAGTCTGAAAAATATAATTTTTTTTATTTGGTTAATATGTGGTATTCAGTGTGACAGGCAGTATGAAAATTGAAAACAATGTTATTATACATCTGCAAAAAATTATTTTTATTTAACTTACAAGGATCTTTTGTCGACGTTTCCATTAGTATTGACAAACAACTTCTTTGTAGACTGGGTTTCTTCTCTGTGTGAGGATTTGTCTGGAGCACCAGTTTTCTCATATTGCATACCACTTTTCTTTGCAAGAGTGTTCACTGCATCTTTGTCATTTACATTATGCAACTCTTGGTTTAAATTGATAGACTTGTCTCTCAAGTTTCTTTCAGATAAAGCTGTGTTGTAATTTTGTTGATACTTAGATTTCTTTTGTTTTCTGTCACTTGTTTGGTCCATGGAAACCTCTTGTTGCTTATCTGTGGAATTGACCACCTTGTCAGGAACTACCTCACTGTGGAAGGAGTTTGATGTAATGCCTCTCTGTCTGAGTCTTGAGCCTACAATCAAATGGGAATTTTCCTTTATGATGTCAAGTTCCGACCTCTTCTTCTGTTGATTGCTAGGCTGCTTTACAGGCTTTTTACCCTTGCCTTTATCTTTTCTGTGTTTGGGACTCCTAGGTGCCAATGATTTCCTATTTTGGGGGTTTTCTAATTTGTCCTGTTCCTCTGACACATTCACAGTGCTGTGTTGGCCCATAGCACTGTTATTTAAGCTCTGAACTGCCGAACTGGCTTTGCTTGTGATGTTGTATTCTTCACCATGTTTTCCTGTGAAACCTGACTGCCTCTGAGGAAGTACTGTGGCCACTGGAGAAAATGTGCTATTCCTTCTAAAGGGGCCTATCATTGTGGTGCCTCTACCTTGTGGCATTGGAGATACAAATGTGGACTGATGTTGTTGAGGCCAGAGTGTGGTTGTACTTGATGATGAGGACAATGTATCTATCCCTGGTGCCTGCATGGGAGGTACTAGTGTAGCCTGCCCTTGTACACTAGATACTGCTCCAGCCCCCTGCATTGGTAGCATGGCACACTGTTGATGGCTGTTGGAAATGGCATCTACTGCATGTGCTGGCTTTGGATTCTGTTGCTGGTTCATGCTGGAAACTGTTGCATTGGCTGTTACAGGGACTGTGACATGAGACTGAAATATGGTGGGGATATCCTGGGAAGCAATTGTTGTTCTTGTAGACTGCATTGTTGGAGGTCTGCTGTTATACATCACTTGTTCTTTTGAGAATAAGACACTGTCATGTTGTCTAATGTTATATGAGCCAATGTTGCAGTTATCTGTTGGATGACATGTATCTTCAAGACTTGACGCTATAACATCTTTCTGACATGTTACAAGCTGCCCTGTAGATGTGTGGACAGGTTTTTGAAGCAGAGTGGACAAGCTACTTGTTTGTCCATGGTCTAATTTTCTATCTTCCACAACTGTAACACAATGAAGAAAACATGTTTACTGTTTATAAAAAAAAATACATTTAACAAGGTTAATGCACATTTTTATCTGGTCAATAGGATAGTGCTCTTAGATAAGTTGACTTTGTAATTTTATATTTATTACACTTGAAACTTGTTTAGAACTTCCTATGTAGATATCTTAACTGTTAAAATATAATTGCTAGTCTACACCTTCACCCCTACCTGATTTACTGACTTGATCATGCATATTTTGTTCAAGTCTTCTTATTTCTTCCTTATGTTTCATCTGCATGTCTTGGAGCTTTTTCTCATACCACTGATATTGTAGTTGTTGTTCTTGCTTATGTTGTAAGAGATGTTGATTTAGCTAGAGAGAATAGGGTTTGTTTTGTTTTTTAACAAATACATATTTTCAGAACAATGCTCTGCTCTGCACAATTAAATTGGTCTTTGGTACAAAAAAATGAATGTACTAAAGAATATAATCATGCTAAATAAAAGATGAGTCAAACTTAAACTAACATTAAACAACTACCATAATAACAACTACTGCATTTTATGAGATAGTTAAACAAAGGTACCTTTTCTTGCAAGCTGTTTTTATCTCTTTCTTTGAGATGATGGAATTGATTCATTTGTTCTGTATATTGTCTCTCCTTGGCCAAGTTCATCTGCCTTATTTGCTCCTGAATGTATGACTGGACTTCAAATCTCTGCTGGTTTTGGAGTTCAATCAGTTTCTGCTCTTGCTGTCTTTGGAAAGCCGTGTCTACTTGAGTGTAAATTAAGTGCTGAATAACTCACATGAAATGTAAGCTATTAAGCCCGTATCAAAAACCAATCCATTCCTAAAGTTTTTTTCCTTATGAATATCACAAACCATAAACAATTTTATTGGGCAAAATGTTAATTCGCATTTCCAATACTTTTGATATCAAAACAATTAAGTAGTTTAAGTTCAAGAAAAATCATGTATATTTTCCAAAATCCAAAACGAAAGCAATTCTATTAAACTAGCTGATAACTATAAACAGAATATATTTATTTGGAAGAATTGAGTTAATAAGAATGACTGTAAGTTGTCTTTGAGTGTGTTTGTGTATTTTTAGAAAGAAATATGAATGAATCTTCCTGTAATACAAAACCTTTTTGTGTTTTTCCTTGCATCTGTTGCACCAACCACTTTTCCAAATCTTGTTTCTGCTGTTCATGTTTGTGCTCCAGTAATTGGCAGTAGGATTCTGTGATCTCTCTCATGTGATGCTCCAGCTGCTTTTGCTGTGTATCTAGCTCTTGAGTGACTCTGTAAGGGTAAGCCGAAACTATTTTATTTACATTTCTGTATTTACTTTTATACACAAAGCTGAAAACTGATTTTAATATACATATTATATACTGTAGCAATCTGTTTGGTATTTTATCTGCTTCCAATGGGTGGTTTGTGTGGATGGCATGCAGTTGGAATAATCATGACATTTTTGACTACTTATATATGGGCACTAATTATTAAATGCCATTACAGGTAATCAGAGATAATGGAAGATTTAACATTTAGTGACAGCCAAGTTCAATCAGACCTTATTTAAAGAGGGAGGAAAGACAAAATAATAATAATAATAATAATAATAATAATAAATAATGACCTTAAAATTTCACCAAATTTGTTTTTACAGTGTAAACTGTTATAATTTCAAATATGTTACAAAGTAAATTTTTTATTTCACATATCCAAAAAATTTAATATTTAATTTTTGAATATTGAATATTTATCACTTGATACAGATGAAGTTATTTTTTACTTGTGTTCCAATTCTTTGATTTGTTTTCTGCTCTCACTCCTAAGCTGCTGGTGCTGCTTTTCTTGTCCTTCAGTTTGATCCCTGTCAACAAGAAAAGTTACATTTCTGCTATTTAAAAAAATGTGATACTGATTACCATAACAATTCATGTCCTTTTTTATATCATGAGTCTTCATTCCAAGTTTAATCTACACCAATCCAATATCAGTACATTAAAAACTGATTTTATTACTCACTAATTGCCTACTGCTTCAGCTCATAAATTTAATAATGTTGGCACTATAAGCAACGAGTACCACAATATATATATATATATATATATATATATATATATATATATATATATATATATATATATATATATATATATATATATTTTTTTTTCATTACCTCCGTCTTTTAGTCTGTTCCTCAATATGCTGTACTTGTGCCTGATGTAGCTGATGTATCTGCTGTCTGTTTAATTCTTGCTGCTCAGCATATGTCTGTTTTAAAGAGGCAACAATTTTTTCCTCCTTCTGTAGTCTCAGTTTTTCTAGGTCATTTTGCAATTGTGAGATCATTGCATCTTTCTATAATACAAAATATTATCATGAAATGTGGCAAATAGACCTTTTTGACTGTGTCATATTTAAAATAAATTTATTATTGTGGCTGATAATTATAGTTACCACTGAAAGCAGCTGTGAGTAACTACTGAGGTAAAGAAAAAACACACAAAGAAAATATAATTACTGAAATGCCATTCTATATACCACAAACTTTAATTTTTCAGAACTATAACAGACTTCTAATGCTTTAAAATATGTACAGCAGTGAGACTCTTTTCCATGTCCTTCAGTTTTTCCTTGTCTTGTTCTCTTTCTTCCAGCACTTTCAGTAGTTTTTCGTAGTTCTTGTTCATATCTGTTTTGACTAATAAAAAATAATATTTTTTTTTAAAGATATTTCAAATGTGTGCTATCAGGGATTCAGTCACAAAAATTTGTAGTGTAAATATATTACTTCATGGCTAATAAAGTTTGATTTGTGTTAAATAAATAGGAAGATTATATACCTTTCTTTTAAATTTCTAAATATAAATTTATTTACATATTTTGGATTATACTATGTTATTTCTATAAATCAACTCCCCTCATGGTTTTATACATCAGACTGACACATTAAAAAATATTATCATTTTATTCTCATTATGCTCACTTTTTTCTAACATATCTGTCACCTTTTCATCATTTGTTCTGATGCCTTGGTGGATGTCCTTTTTCATGGAAGCTACTGTTCCAGTAACCTGAAGAAAAATGGTTGTTAATTACTTCTTCTTTTGTGACACAATTTAAAATTCTTAATTTTTTTACATGAATATTAAATCTGTGTAATATCAGACATTATTATTATTATGAACGTGCTGGCAAACTTTCTTACATTTTCATAGATGATTTTTAACTTACTTCTTGAGTGCATTCTCTGACTGTTGTTACGATAGAATCCAACAGGTCTCTGTAAAAATAAAAAACTATCTAAACAGTTTCTCTTAAATTTTGTTACAAGATATTTTTGTTACGCTGATTATATAATTTTTGACATTTATTCCATATGTTTTATTTTGACCAACCTTTCATCTCTGTCTCTGGCCTTTGCCTTGTTAATTTGCAACTGCTGCTGGTAGTTTATCTTCCCTGGAGCTTGTGCACTGCTTCTGTATGGATTGTTTTCATTACTGAACAGAGGACTCATAGCTTTATACTTCTGATAAAAATTTGACCTAGGAGACTGAAAAGAAAATAAAGATAAAACTGATGAACAATAATTACTTTTGTCATAAAACCTATAGGGCCTACATTATAAAATCATAACTTTTAAAAACATGTAAACATCACAGGAGTATGTTAGGCTATAGTGACTGTTGAAATATTTTTCATATTGAACTGATGTACCACAAGCTAGTACCTCACTTCCTTGTGGGACAAATTGCTGGGAATATTCCTGTGATCCACTTCTCTGAGAGTACAGGTATTGAGAATTACTACTTGAACTAAAAGCCGAATCATTATTGCAGTCATATCTGTTTCCAAGAAGTTGACTGAAAATAGATGCAATGGTATCAATCTGTTGACTAAGAGGCACTTGACACATTTAAAAATAAAAAATAATAATAATACACAATGAAATTAATGAAATTTAAAAAAATAAATATGATTAATATGAAGGTATATGTAAAAACTTACAATAATATCAGAAATATTAAGTCAATGTCATGTATGTTTCAGTCTACAAATACATTGAAGATACATTAAGTAAAGTAGTATATACTGGCCATTCTACTGCATTTTCCCATTCTAAATCATGTTTAACCAGTGTTTCACTACTGTTTCTATCATTATCAAATAACACAGTTGCAGACAGTGTTAGAAATTAAGGCTGGACCGTCTGCCAGGGGCAGACAACTTTCAGAACGGGCCAAGAAGTTTTCCCACCCGGCAGACATTCAGTCCAGCTATTTTTCATGATGGCTGGACCTTCAGTCCAGCGACTAATTTTCCTTAGTGGCAAACACTGGTTGCAGAGCATAATGATTGATCAAGTAAAGAGACAACAGGCCATCATTAACCATTTTTCTTGCTTTATAATAATAATTTCTTACTTTATAATAATTTCTTGCTTAATAAAGATATGAAAAGTTAAGAAGAAATTAAAAGAGTTGAGAGCGTGAGGGAAACACGGGAAGTGGACGCAAAGTTAAAATGATCATATATTTTCAATTAAAGTAAAAATTAAGCGCTTTCACTTATGTTTATCTAATTTTCAAAACTTTGTTATGCAGAGCAAATTCTTAAATACTAACTTACCCTGGATTTGTCACGTACAGATCCTTCGTGCTGGCTTGATTTGCAGAACTAAACATGACCTTTTAACTTTTAAAATTATTGTTGATTTGTAAAAATCCCGATTGTCGTTCACATGTCTTGACTTGGAATTAAAAATATTCGTAAATCCGTTTAAATAATAGCAACTTTTCGGCCTATACAATGTAAAAAGTGTCACCACTGTGTCAAGCAGACGAACGATGTGCTAAAAAAATAAAGAATGTCATATATCAAGAATAAAAAAATAATAATAACAAGCATATGAATTATATAGCGTACGGTATTTATCGAATTCGTATAAATAAATATATTCATTTCATAAATTATGAATTTGATTAATATTCAACCTAGTCTAAAAATATGATGAAAGATTGCGTTCCGCACGCTCGTGTATTTCCTTGTCACTATGTGCCTGACCTCTGACCTATGACCCCTGTAAGCGTGTATTTTCACTTCCGTGTAAACAGGTGATTGAAGTGGTTGGATACGGTAAACAATCCACCTGTATAGCCGATGAATTGAAGCTATATTTCACCTAGAGATCCATGACTTTCAATTGTTATGCCAGGTCCATGTGTTGACTAGTTTGTATTTCGTTTTTATAGAACATGTATCTTCGATAGGATATTTAGAGAATTATGGCAAATTTGAAACTAATTGAGGGAACATGGGTAAGTACCAAGTTTGCGATACAGTGAAATTTGTGATACGTTTGCTGGCAGATCTTTGTTTTATCTAAGAGAATTGATTCCTACGATAAGATTGAACTATGCTGCTTAATATCCACTTACCACATTCATTTTGTATTATGAAATAATGTTATAGTTTATCCCCTCACTACAGTGTCAATGAAAGTAATATCCTTGCTTTATTATATATTATTTGATGTAAGTTTTGAATTAAAAACTATCACTGACAGTAGTAAATCAGTATCTTTACTGATCTTTTGCAGTTTCCTACTGGCTACTATGGGCATTTTCGCAGTAAATCTAGGAATGATTATATAAATGAATTCCGTTATTTGGCAAAACCGTCACCACCGAAGAAGTTTATAAAGCGCTCAGGGGTAAGTCTTAACAGATTACTTGTTATTATTTTATATTGAGGCCCAAAATGCCCATTTGGCATCTAACAGGACCTCATACAAAATCTGAATTATGATTTGCACAAATGTTTTTATTTCTTATAATAAAGTACCCAGTATCACATTCCAAACAACCCTCACCCTGATGAAATTCCTACGTACAGTATGTGTTCCTGTAATGGACTTGTATGGACCAATACAATGTCATTAGTTAAGGTTGCAGTCAATCATTAATCCTTGTATTATTTTCATTACCATTTTACCACAAAGTATATTATATGAAAGCATAACTGACTAAAAAATATTTAAAATCGTGTAAAAGTTTGTTTTATTTATTTATTTATTATAAGAATCAATTATATCATTTCATATTTGGTACTGGTCAACACACTGAAAGCTGGTTGCATTTTCAACAATTAAGCAGAATTATCCAAAGTCACTTTCAGCACAGTAAGGGATAAATTTCAATTAAATTCATCATTATTTTCTATCAATTTTTTTGTTCCAGGAAAATGTGGCAAGGCATGTGTTTTCTCATCACGACAACAGAGAAGCTTTCCTAAATGATGCTTTATATTTTGAACAGGTAAGTTGCTGTATAGCCTGAGAACATAGTCAGTGCTCCAACACTCTTATTTTGTAATATTTTGACCTCAAAAGTAGCGGACCTCCTGAGCTGTAGCTTGGGTTCTCCATTTCACCTCTTATTAAGGCCTTCAAGTTAAAACCTTTGAGTTTATTTTAATAAAAACAAACACTTAAAAGTGCAAAGATGTCGAATACTTGTCATAATTAACAAAGAAGTACATTTCTTCTGAAGTAACATAGATCATTATTCTTTCTCCCTCCGTTTATGATGATTTTAATGCACAGATAATCAGTGGTTAGCTATCAATGTTTTTAACAGTTACTTTATGAGACCCATCACGTCTGAGTACAAAAATACTAGAATAAGATCCAGCTTATTTTATTTTGGAGACAAAAAAATAGTATTTCTTCATATACAACTAGGGTTTTGTAGCATTTAGTGCTAGATGAGGAAAATATATCATTGTCTTAAAATGCACCAGAACAGCTTTTTAAGTATATAGCATAATAATTTCTATGGTTATGAAAGTGGCTGGCTTAATTCATACAGTACAGATTTTTCCTAACAAGTCTGGTCTGACCCAGTGCAATGCAGATACTGTATTTTTGTTCAAGGCACAAAAAAGCAGGCCATTATTAAGCCTTTTGTATTTTCTCTTTTAATAAAAGTATTCATAGCAAACAAATCAGTTCAGGATTAACAAATGATATCCCCCGTGTTTGATGTTTTTGTGAAGAGTAAGGTTACCCCTTCACCTCTGAGTATTTACAATTTTGTAGTCACAAAGGATTGCACCAACATTGTGCTTAAAATGTATGTAGGTACACAGAAGCAGCACATATACAGACAAAGCAAATTCCTTTTCGATTACAGCTGAGCTCTTATCGACTCCATTATTTGTACTGGTTTGTGAAAAAAACATAATTTTGTTCAACTGAAATGATATACTTGGCAACACACACACAGTGCACAAATACAAGAAATTTAATTAGTGGTAGTGGATTAGTCAGGCACATTTTATTTTATCAGAGAAAGGAAATTATAAAATAGACCTATATCCATTAAAAGGCATATCTTTGTTCAACATTTTCTTTTAACTTCACCAAAACATTGCTTATTTATGATGCAATGCAGGCTTACACACAGAAATTTTAGAATTCCTGCTGCCAAGATGACCTTTTCAAAGTACAAAATTAAAACAATAAAAATGACAATATAATCAATTATACAGCCATTATTTGAAAGTATAGCACGATAAATGAATTACATACATATGGGTATAAATACCAATATTCAGCCTCTGGCAGGCATCAGAGCCACATAAAGTCTACTGTTACCCGTTTTATGATGGGCAAATGTGTTGGCGGAATCCTCTCAGACATAACTTTTATATTTTTAAAGTTGCATCACCAATGAGATTTAATATATTTTTCTTATTTCAGGGTCTTGGCAGACGTCGTGTTAAAACCCCATACGTGAGCACATTCAAACCAGATCTGATCACATGGATGCCACACAAGAAAGAGCTTGATCGCTCAGAGCCACACGTGTCCACTTATAAACTCAATTACAATGTCCATGCCAATGCAAGGGAGCAGCTTTTCATTAAAAGACCCAAATCCTCTTTTGATCCTGACTTTAAAGCCACTACAACATATCGTTATGCCCATGGCAAGGACAACCCTAACAGAGATACATTGTGTGCAATGAATAACCAAATTTTACTTACAACAGGACAGAGACAGTTAAGACCACACACTGCAAAAGCTAGGGAGACTGTAGCATCATGTATGAGCTGGAATGTAGCCCCCACTACAACGAGGCGGATTCCTCAAGCCACAGCGACATATCCTCCAGCTACCTGCACTCCAGCTTCCACACAGGTGTCTCTTCCAGGTGCAACAACGGTGGTGCAGTGAAAACACCCTGCTGTAGTCATTTTTTTAAAATGGGGTTCAGTACACTTCACATATAACTCTTCTCCTTATAAATCAAATTGTGGTTTTATTGTAAGAAATTTTGTAGAAAGCATTTTTTTCTCTTTGGCTTGAAATTATGAAATAAGGGTAACTTTGGTGTAATTTAAACAAATTTTCCAGTCCTAAATATCTTGAGTTATGCAGGGTCTTCTGTATCACAGGTTCACTGCTTAGGTTCAATTATTCAATGAAATAACCGGATACTGCAATACGGCAGAAGAAAGGGTATTATTCCAGCCAGTCTGTGAAAAAAGATTGTTAATGCACAAAGAGATCAAACAGAAATTTATTGAATGGTTTTTTCTCTGTAATTTTGAAAGGGACATGATTCTCAGGGGACACTGCGTCTAGATTAACAGATAAAGACCAATTCAAAATAAGGAGAATTATTCACCATATAGATTACTTAGGTTTACAATTTTAATATATCTGTACTGGGTATTCCACGTGTCAGGTAAGAAAAGTTCACTGACATTCAAATCACAAGGGCTCATAATTCAAGGAATCTTGAAATCCAAGTCATTATCAAGAACAAAATTCTAAAACATTCCATGTTTACTGTAGGTGCTCATGTAAGTTTTTGGATAGTCCAGTTTCATGTCAGTCTCTTTACATTAAAACCATGTAATTATACAACTTTTTGAAGTAATCTAACATTAATATGTCAATTCTGGAAAAATGTAATTTTCAAAGCACAGAGTCTAGGTTAATTCAATGCAACCAAGAAAAGCTGAACTCTAACAGGAAATGGAGGAATTGATTTTGCAGGAGAAAACAGAATTAAGTCTCAGTTATGGACTGCTTATTTATGCTCAGCATTCAGTATTGTATAATCAAGGCATTAAATGATCATGCCATAGAAAATTGGAAGACTGCCCTGTTTTTAGCAATTACCAGTGTATTATTATCCTCTATTTAAGAACTTCACTCAGAATATAATGCATGAAATTGCTGTTGTTTCACTCGATCCTTTGACATACTTAAGTAGTATGAAAGTTACGAACAGTGTATAGAAGTGCAGGATGTGTTTTTCAGCTAAGTAAATATTTTTTTTACAGTAAAGAAAAGCTAATCTTTTCATTTACTCTCATTTTTATAGAGGTGCCATAAAAGTATTAACATTTCCAGCCACGGTGAGGCAAGAATTATGTTATAAGTAAGTAGCAACTGTTGCTAGGTTGCCTCTAACAATAACTTAACTGCTTAAGAATTATGCAGGACTAAGTACACATGTATTGAAAGATTATCTCATCATTAATTAATCTTACGCTGTATTATATTGATAATCAATGTGCTTTACATCCAAGGGTAGTATACCACTGAGCATGGTGTAGTTCTAAAATGAAATGAATTGAAATATTTTAGTTTAGAAGTGTTCAATTCAAACGTCAATCAAAAGATTCAATAAAATAAATTAATCTCTTCAACACTGATAATTCTAACTTCACTCCAATTGTAATTCTGAATTAATCTTTAGCTTCTTCAGCATTTAAAAACATTTTCTTTCAATGCTTGTTCCAACATACTATTTAAGGCAGCTTCATTATTGCTGTTTATATGTTTTTGTTGTTAGTTTATATATATATATATATATATATATATATATATATATATAAAAAATTTTTGAAAAACAAGGTTACACTTTGTAAACCCTAGGTAAAGATATTGAAGTATATGTGCTTTCTCTGGCAACTAGTCTTGTTTACTCCTTCATTTATCCAACAGGTTTATGGATAACAGATGACTAAGTTTATCCTATTGTTCTTAATCTACCTGGGTATATGAATTTACATCAGTCAGTGTAATTTTTGTGTTGTTTAATAATTATGTAGTCATGGACAATTTGTGTGACTGTGATTGTTGATTTTTATACTAACATTTAAATTATCATAGGTATGTTTTTTCCTTGAAAAGAAGAAAAACATCTGAAGAGTTGGGTGAATGCATTATTTGCTGCAAAAGTTACCTCATGTCTACACCAACAATGTCAGATTTTAAAATGTCAGTGTGTTACCACCACTAACATGACTAGGCAATAATAATACATTAGAGTGACAAAAAGTATATTAACAAATAATAACTTCGTTGTTCAATAAAAATAATTTTAATACAAAAAAGAGATTACATTTGTCTTATATTCCATTTTCATAAGTAACTGTTGTTGTCCAATATCCAAAATGAGTTTGTGCCACCATTTATGACATATTGTTAAAGTCGGAACCCAAAAAGGTGATGTAAAAAAATAATTTTAATGGCTGTCACTTTGAATGCAAAGTACACTTTGGAAGTTGCCTATGAGACCCATATTCCTGAACTTAAAAAAAATGAAGATTGACATCAAAGTGCTTCTCTCAATCTTAATAAGTTGACAATTTGAACATCATCACTTCAAAGTTACGTGTTAAAATTCTCCTGTCTGTATGTCAATTGTAACCTCACTCAAAGTTAGTGCACTTACCAATAAGTGAGAAATGAAAAAGCCATTTCTCAAAAGAAAATAGCACAGCCATTAATGCTGGAACCAGGATATTTCCACCCTCCGTTTCCCCTTTTCTTTCACTAATTATGAACTTACTTTACATATGTGAAAACCCTGTTCAGAGGGTCTCAGAGAGTGGGATTTCTTCTTTTCTTTGATGCTGGGGGTGGATGGGTAGATAAACAAGCCTATCTTTGGAAAAGGAAAGGCACAGCTTCTAATAACCCCTATGGATCTGCCCATGATTGCATTCTATATTACACTGACATCACGTTCTGTCCACCTGCCCTTGTTCCCATCCATCTTCATACACAAGCCCTTTTCACAGAAGCAGACTTCACAAATCACATCCCTTTATGAATGTTTCCACTGCCTTTTTGTGTTCCCCTGTCTATGAAATTTTAAATATACCATCTTCTTTGATCAGTAAACACCAATGTGTAGGACGTGTCTCTCTTACATACCATCCCTGTCTCGAGGAGGGTTTGGTTTTCTATATTTATATTTCCCTGGCCTGAAATTCATGCAAGTAAAATCATTAGCACTGCCATGATAACAGACATTTGAAATGCATATAACTGATTTTACACTAAAAATACACCCCAATCTCCCAATAAAAAAAATTAATTAAAATTAATTTATAAAACTCATTTCCTTTTTTTGAATTTATTCAGGAAGAACAATACTTGCTTGCAATTTTTTTCCTGCCACATGCTCAAAATAATTCAAACAAATCATTTTATTTCATTTATTTGCCAAGTCATTTTTATTATACATCATAAACAGAATTTATTGGGGATATTTGTATTTGGAAAAAAAAAAAAACTGAAATGTGGACAGGCCCTGGTTCAGGTTGAAAAGATCTAAGGCTACATTACCTAGGTCTGAACTCCCATCTGTAGGTATAAAACATCTCAGACAGTTCCCGTGTTGTAGGACCAGAGGGACGCTGTCTCTTGTGGTAATCCCAACGATACTGAACTTTGAGGGCAGAGTCACCCTGGAAAGAAGAATTAAGAATTAGGTAGAATTAGAGTATTTCTCTGACAAATAAATAGAACTTTTCAACTTAAAAGGAAAAAGTAAAAAGAGTTCATCTTATTCTGAATCTGAGGATTATTATTTATTATGTTTATGATTTTTTTATCATGAAAATACATTGATAAGCCGAGATATCAATATAAATTTTTTTCCTTTTAAAAAATTTACTTCTACACTGATTCCCAGGATAAAACCAATCAACAACAACAAATAATACTAAACAAATAATGAAATACCTCTCTAACTGCTTCTTCAAATCTTGGTACAGGCTAAATTAAAAGACAACAACAAAAATATTTAACTTATTTTCAAACCTTTTTTTAACAATTTTGAACAGATCTCATATCTTAGGAAAGAATCAAACACTTCATACTAAATACATTTTGGCATAAACGTAAAATTATATATCAATAATTGATGATTATAATATCTTAGCAATTAAATAAAAGTTACCTTTGTACTTTCATAGGGAAATTTCTTTGGTGGGTGCCAGCATAAAAATGTGCTGCCATCACTGGATAAAGCTATGGCTGGGTTGCTATAGCAAAGAAAAAATAACACTTCGAGATTTAGCAAGGCCATCTAACCATGTCATGCAAGACATGAATGTCAATTACACAAACGTGTAATCAGCACATGCTGGGATTTACTGCAAGTGACCCAATCTGGTTATTTACAATAACCTATCAAACACTAGGACCAAGTTCCATGCAATAGCACTCACAATAGCATTTTCTGATTATACAGACTATTTGTGCCAGTGCTTAAAAGAAATGGCTGAGTGCAGCGTGCTGAGGTGAGAGGTACATGTACACAAAAGTTTAATTGAGAGCCCCTGCATCACGCTGAATGTGCTACAAATGTAACTGGCCATTATTTTAGTTATGTGCACCTCTATCTCTCAGCTGATATTTCATGCATTATTTCACATATATTAATGCCAGTCAAGAATAGCTAGTTGCCAGTGTGGCAGCCGACCCAATGAAAATTAAACTAGTTGTGCCGATTTGTTAAGTTGATTCAGCAATTTTAATTACCTAGTAATATATTTCACTTTCATATATTTCTATTTTGTTGGAAATGACCTTTTTTTGTTGGAAATGACCTTATATATATATATATATATATATATATATATATATATATATATATTTTTTTTTTTTTTTTTTTTTTTTTGTGTGTGTGTGTGTGTATTGCTCAGTATTGCACATTTCAGTCTAACCGCATAATCAGACCAGGGAAATAATAAAAGCCTCTCATGTCATACCTTGAATTATTGTCATTTTCTGCTGAAGAAGACTTTTGGCGAGCAGAGTGATGCTGATTACCTGGAAGAAAAGTGAAAATAATGTAGATTTTGGACAATTTAAAATAGATAATCTTAAAATTGGAATGTATCAACATTATAACAAGATGTGTACATACATTTGACCATATGATTTACTAGTCGTAAGATTGATTTGAAGTTTTTTGACAAATCTCAAGTTAAATACACTCCTTACTTTTGGCACTACACATAATCACCCCACAAAACGGATTTAAGTTGGGTGAAGCCAGAAAACGTGACAATTTTGTGCAAGTCGCCATCTTGATCCACAGTCGTGAGTTAGCGCTTATATTAAAATAATCTCATACTGAAGAATTGTAGAGTGTCAAATCATTTTTAAATGATATATATATATATAGCTATCATAATATTCAGAATTTCAACTGCAAGTGACATTAGTTCAAAAATTAATTATTTCTATATTACTTACTACCGTCAGTACACGCGCGTTTTATGTACCAGGAAGATGGACAAGGTGAAAAGTGTTGGTCTATTTTGCTTTATAAATTGTATGATAACTTGTGTATAGTGACATATTTGTCGATGATTCGCCACACAGCAAAGTACTTTTCGACGGTGGTAAGATGCAGGTGGATGTGCAGTACATCACTGACAGATACTCTTATTTTTAGATGGTTTTGATAAAAAATTATATCGCCTAGCTTGTGGAGTTGTACCAAATTGAAATAAAAGGCTTGGGTTTATGTTTGGTTGTCACCTTGCTTTTTCATTGAACCCTAAAACCACATAACATGACTTCAGAATATACGCTCGTCTACCAAAATAATAATAATAATAATAATAATAATAATAATAATAATAGTTAAAATCTGTAAAAAGTATTTTTAAATCGGTTTAATAAAATTGCCATAGGCATAGAAGCATTTGTATTTGATAATAACATGTATGCTGGTACTGTCTTTGCAGGCATTACCTAGAGAAGAATGTAAAATGCACAGTTTTCATCTGATATGCATGTTAAATTTTGATTGTTAAATTTAATGATATTTGACTATTTAAAAAGGTGTTCATGATTGATTATATGTACTGTATATTTCAATAATGCTATCAATTTCCCATATTTGATCCAATGCTCTAACACTTCAGGTGGAAGATGCAGTTCAAATCTACCATGATCTTGCCAAGATTCCCTGTCTCTCTCTCGGGCGATTTAGCAAAGCTCCTCCCAAGGCAGGCCTCATTCGCTCAGTATACTCTGAGTGGTCGCAGAGAGATCTAGAACGCAATGAGAAGGTCAAGTTTGCTCGCCAGCAGACCCTGGCAAAAACGGAGAGGGGACTAGAAGTTTTACTTGACTCTGATCCCATAGATGTTTCTAAGGAGTATGTAAATTGCATAATTATTGTTTTTGTGTATGAGTTAAGCATTATTTAAAATTTTTGCATAATCCTCCAACTCCACCCTGTAACTCTCTACTTTTTAATGTTAAGTTATGTGGTGATGCTGAATGTCTTTGCTATTCAGATACATTAGTTCAGCAATTTACTAACTTATTTTTTTTTTATAAAACTGCAAGTTCTTTGACAAATGAAATAACACACCAGTGATAACTTGACTCTCATAATATTTGGCAGGAATTGAGTTTAATGAGAAAAACATCTTAAAATAAGTAAATACATTGCTAAACTAATTTGTTTGATTAGCACAGACATTGCTTAAAATCACCACACAAATTAATTGAGAAAAAATATGAATATCACAGGCTTATATGGTGGTGGAAGGGATACAGCAAAAGTGCCCATTATTTTTAGTGAGAGAACTTCCTTCTGCAACGTGGCAAGATTCGGTGTCACCTGCAATGATTAGGCAGGGCTTTGGCAAGTTCCAGACCACCACTTAAAACCTCTTTTGCCAACATTTAAGTTGCAAATTTAAATTTCAGCTTTTCTACATTTTCAGAATTTACAGTAAGGAAGCACCTTCTGGAAAGTTTAGAGGTGTAGTGAGAAGTGTCAAAGACAAAGATGGGAAGGATAAACAGTACATGGAGGTATGTCTCCTGCTTTGGGAAAATGAGAGAAATTGATCTTATCTGTAGTATTTTTAGCTAATTCATCTCTTTCATCATTATTGTAATTTCATGCTTTCATCTATCATTTTCTGTTTACTTTATATTTACTTATATGAATTGAGCTATTTATTATTGAGAAAGATATTATTTACTACAAGGTTTCAAATGGTGCATCTTCAAGTGTTCTTGTTTCATTTATGGAAAGTGAGCTCTACCTTCTAACACTGTCATTTCTATTGACTCAAAAATGGTCCCCATATTTTCATTTAGAGCTTAGTATAAGCCTGAAATTTAAAATTTAGTGCAAAACCTGCTTTTAGGTACATTTAAATGCCCTGTATAAATAGCTCAGAGTTTATGTACTGTTTCTTATGTCTGACTTATAAAGAATTTATATTTTTGCAGATTTAACCATTTGTATAATTTCAGATCTGGAACAAGTATCAAAAGTTGACAAACATTGATGTGGATGCTCAGGAGAAGCATGGAAAGATTTATGAAAATGACGGTAGGAAAATCTGATGATGTTGTGCATCAGGGTCTTCACTTTCTTACGGAGTTCTGATTTCTTATTGAATTTTCATGAAATAACATTATAGAGATATTACAGATATTAGAGATTTGTTACTGTAACAGTAATATTTTGAATTTTTTGTGCTTATAATTGTGTATGTACCTTTGTATTTTCATTCATCTTGCCTTGGCAGTTTTCTCTGAATACAGACACCAGTATTTTATTTCTTCATGTTTATACCATCAAACTTCATTAGTATAAATCCACATTGTATATTTACATTTCAGCCACATTTGGTTGTTTTGAGTGGTCTGCCTCTAAGGGACACTTGCTGTATGTGGCTGAGAAGAAGCAGCCCAAGACAGCTTCCTATTTTGACAATAAACCAAAGAAACTGAAGGATGAACAGGCAGAGGATTCAAAGGGGAAAGATTCGGAAGAAGCTATTAAGGTGAGAATATGACACATAAGCTGAAAATTTCAGCCATTTAAGACAAGAAAAATAGATAATATAACAACAATAGATATATTACAAATGTATTACATTATACTAACAGATATATTTTAATTTAAAAACAATTTAGTTATACAAATTTAATTGTTTAGTGGTATATTGTATAATATCTATATGGTTATGTGAGTCTTACTAGACTAAAGCATTTCTTTAAACATGATTTACATTCTAGATCTTTGAAATGAAATATTTAGATCATATGTGTGTGACAGTGTGTTCACCTTTATAAGTTCATTTCCTGGCAATTTATCTGTCTGCTGGCTCACATCCATGCAATTTGCCAAATTAAACTAAACTAAATATAATGCTCTTTCACTAACTTGCATGTCCTCTGTCCCAGACTTGCATAATCATAATGGTCGTTATTTGTTTATTCCAGGGAGATCAATTTGTGTACAAAGATGAATGGGGAGAGCTTCTGGTTGGCAAACACCACCCAGTTCTGTGTGTCCTCAATGTGGATACAGGGGATATCAGTGTTTTAGAAAACATACCTGACAATGTCTCCCCAGGACAGGTAAGTTCTTCCTCAATGTGGATACAGGGGATATCAGTGTTTTAGAAAACATACCAGACAATGTCTCCCCAGGACAGGTAAGTTCTTCCTCAATGTGGATACAGGAGATTTCAGTGTTTTTGTTTTTCTTTGTGATATTCAAATGTTTCAGGGGTGTTCATTATACAACTTATTCAAAATTGGATTTTCTTATTCATCCATTCAATATATGTGTTTTCTTTTACCTGGAAAGTTGTATTTTCCAGGCTGTTTGGGCTCCTGATGACGCTGGCATTGTATTTGTTGGAGTTGAACACAATCCATACCGACTGGGGATTATGTACTGCCCTATAAGAAAGTAAATATTATTTATTTACTTGTTTGTGTGTATTTTATTGATTAATTTATTGATTTATTTATTGATTTTTTTATTGATTTATTTACTTGAATTATTATGTATAACCAGTTAATAGTGGTTTTACTCCAAAATATATTAATGCTGAAACATTAAAATAAGGGCTAAAGTCTAAAATAATTGTATAAAGGACAGGTTTGAAAATAACCAGATACAGATTTTTAATTTGGTTGATATTTCCATTGATTGAATGAATGGTTTTGTGCTCTGTTTCAGGAGTGCCATATATTATCTGGATTTACAGACTGCAACTTGTGGTAAGTAGTTATTTCAAAACAAAATATGTTTTGCTTGGAACCATAATGTAAAATCAAAGAAGTAATGATATTGGCTAAATCATGGTTTCACTTGTACTGAACAACTAAACACTGTAAGTTAGATATCATTATACTCAGTTGGTAGATGATTTTGTTTCAAAATGACACGATTAGTATAAATTAAAACAACATGTGTTATGATGTTTTCTATCTAAATTGAATACATTAAGACTATTCTATAGAAATGAATTGGAAGTTTTTATATTCAGTATGATTGTTCTTCAAGATGTCTGGTGGTACCCAGAGCATCATGTACAATGCATGCCAGCTTCTTCATTTTTAAATATTCATTTTTACACACTTATCAGTGATCAGTTTGAATGAAGACTGTTCAATGAAGACATGCTAACAATTATGATACTTGTTGGAAACTTAAATAAAACTAGACATACCACCTCCATGTATTGTACCACCAGCTGGAGTAAGCACATATGTATGAAAAACAAAAAAAGGGACAACACTTCCAGTGTTGTGCTTGATTATCTCTACAAAATGCAATAAACAAAAGTTTTCAATTTTATTTTGTAGAAAATTACAATAAAATAAAAAATAAAGAAAGAATAAATAAACCAGAGGTCTCTAGCATTTATGGTTCCAGAATAGAGAGTTTTCAGTTCCAGGTTCTTATGGCTGCTTCTCCCGTGAAAATGCACTGATTGACACCAAACTCCTGAAGATAAAGGAGTCCCTAATTGTAGCCCTTCACTTTAATATTAGAGCTTAGGTATGTGTAGTTTCTGAAAATTGGCACAAACAAATATTTTTTTGTTAAATTCCCATTTTTAGCAAATTTTGTCATATTTGGAATCTTCACATGACTTTCGGTCAGACTTCTTAACTAACTTTTCCCATACAAGTAATTCCCTCATTTTGGGAGATATTTAGCATTTAATGTTAAAAATTTTTGACAATGGTGCATTTCAACGAGTGCCACGCTCAGGCCAATGCACAGACTGAGAAAAACGGGGTTCGAGTTAAAATTATATGTGACCTGATCCCAGAGATGGGAACACAGGCCTTTGCGGTCTAGGAGGAGAAGTGATAATGGTGACTTGTTTCTGGCACCATAATGCGGAGCCTTACAAGACGGACCGAGACAAAAACCATACTCCCTGGTGGTGCTAATAAGCAGTCAGCACAACTCTCTTCACTTCAAGTAGAACAATGAAGCAGAGGAAAAATTATACACTGCATAAAGCAAGTATTATGTTTAAGAATGATACAAAAAGAAAAATAAACCTTTACAAAATCATTTTTAAGAACGATACAAAAAGAAAAATAAACCTTTACAAAATCACTCTGTAATACAAGTGCCAGTCATTCAGTCATTTTAACTGGGGAGGTTTCTTTCACACAAAGCAAGACATACATGGCTTTATTTTTTTTTAATGAGCTAAGAATAAGTACAATACAACTGTGCCACCAGACAACAAAAACTGCTTTATAACCTGGCAGTTGCTTTGGTTAGGTCAGCATCAGGTAAAAAACAGACCCCATATTTTTCTCTGTCATTAAGCAGTTCTTAAAGGGACAGGAAGAAACAGGAGATATGTTTCAAGGATTATTTTAAAACAGTTGCGATAAATATGACAGTAAGCCAGTTAAGGGATACACACAGTACTAATAAGTGGTAGCATGTAATTGTAATCTCTGTTGATCAAAGCTGCATGCTTTGGAAGTGGAGAGAAAATTAAGCATTTTTGACAATTATTAGACCAAGTAAGTCAATACCAAAGGTAACAAAACGAGCTCAATCATCCTTTGTAAACTAACAAAGAGACAGTTAGACATGGCAGAAGCACTAGCAGCAGCTTTCACAGATAATCCCTTGACATGTAGCATCTGTTTGGGGGAGTATGAGGACCCCCGTGTGCTGCCTTGCTACCATACATTTTGCTATGGTTGTATATCCAACCATGCCAAGGAAACGCTGACCCCAAATAGGGCATTTCTGTGTCCCATTTGTAGAGAAGAGATCCAGTTTCCAGCTGGTGGACTTAAACAACTGAAAAAGAATTTTGTGTTTAGCAAGGCCAAAGATATCATAACCCAGAAACAAGATAGACGGACATTGGAAGAGAAACAGGCCAATGAACATGTAGCAGAAATGGCCATCAGTTGTGAGAAACATGCTAATAATAGGTTAAAATATTACTGTGAAGATGATGATACAGTTATATGTGGTGAGTGTATAGCAACAGAACATGGCGGACATCGTATTTCATCAGTTGAGCAAGTTGCAAAAAGCAGTAGAGATAAAATTAAAGCTGCCCTTGTGAAAACCATGAAAACAAGCAGGTTTAAAGAGTCAGTTGCCATGAAAACAACCAATGAAACAGAGGACTCTGACATCAGGATAGCCACCATCAAAAATATCAGAAAACAAGCTCAGAGTATGCGCAAATTTATTGATCAAAGGGAAGAGACTCTGATATCAGAGGTGAATTCTCATTATGACAACAGCAAAAAGCAGGAGGCAAACAGGGGCAACCTTGAACTCCACAGTGCCTCCTTGCACAGTGCCTGTTATTTTGCCCAGGAACTTATCACTAATGGCACTGACTCTGATATAATGGTTCACGCAAAATCCTTGATAGAGAGACTTGCAGTGATGGAGAAAACACCTGCCCCATTTCTAGACACAGCAGCAGAGATATCATACAACCCTGGTAAGATATCTACTGCCGGACTGGAAGCCATGTTAGGACAATTGACTGTACGGTCACAACCTCCATTAGCCAGAGAGGGAACAAATCCAAGATCAGCACCACATCCTCCTGTTTTCTTACAGAAGGCAAAGTGTCTACATTATTTTAGTCCTAAGCTGAAAGATGACAGAGCAATGTACATATCTGGGTTGGCCATAGATGAGGAAGGAGTGTTTGTAGTGGATTATGGAGATGACAAAACAAAAATGTTCACACATGCTGGAGAGTTCAAGTATAAGATTAAAATAAGCAGACCATTTGATGTGGCTGTGTCACAGACTGGTGAAATGTATATAACATCACGGGATGACAGCTGTGTCAAAGTGTTCTCCACCAAAGGTCAGCAGGTGACAACCATGGGTCAGGGCCAACTGGAGATGCCATCAGGTATTACAGTAAACAGACAAGGTCATGTGATGGTGTGTGACAGAGAGAGGAAATCCATCTTTACATTCCATGCAGACAGTGGACACCACCTGAACACTATTCCACTCAGTATGTGTAAATACCCAGAGTACATCACAGTGAACAATGTGAATGATAACATTGTGATATCAGACTGTGGCAATGACTGTGTACTTGTGTTGTCACCTACTGGTGATCAACTGTACCAGTATGGCACATATGGCAGTGGTGATGGTCAGCTGAGGACACCATGTGGAGTGTGCACAGACAGCTATGGTCATATCTTCATTGCTGACTGGGATAACAACAGAATAGTGGCACTGAGTCCACATGGAGAGTTTATCAGATACATTGCCACTAAGGATGATGGGCTGGTCTATCCATCATCATTAGCCATCAACCCGGCTGGCCACCTGGTGGTGGCAGAGAAAAGTGGCAAAGTGAAGACATTCCAGAGCTTATAGTAAATACTGCTGACATTGAACTCTGAAAAAAATATGTCACAATACAGATGGTCTGATGGAAGTTCATCTGTTGATTATTTATCAGATTGAACTTTTTACTTTCTACAGTAAATTAAAGCTATACTAACAATTAGTAACACACATTGAGAAAGGTCATAGAGTGACCAAGAGTTTCATTTAGTATAGCTTTAGTGTGAAAAATGAAAAGTTTATGGTAATCTTATATGTCACAATACTGATGTTAACAAAAGTATATGTTACCACTGATAATGAGGATAGGTTGTAGGAACCAGAACATAGAAGGTATTATACGTGACCTACATGGACATCCATAGAAGGTCTACTGGCCATGGACAGCTGTGATTGCAGAGTGGAAGAGAAATTATATTAATATATCACAATAGTATTTACATGTATTTCTGTAAAAAATATTGAAATGCTGACATAATTTTTATAAAAAGGCAGCAAAGCTTTCAAATGGGCAGACAAATGTAAAAACTGATAGAAAAGGTGACATTAAAACAACCTAAAAATGACAGACAACCAATTTAATAATGAAAGTCCACTAAACATTTTCAGCATTAATACTTAATAATAGGTTAATGATACCAGTGTAAATCACTGTGAAATTTTGATTACGTGTATATACTGGGCATGTAGAAAGTGTTAACTAGGCTTTAGACCCGTGGGAAATCAGTGTCTCACAGGTGCCTGCCCATATTAGCTTCCATCCTGTAATATTGCAGTGGGAATGTAGAAAGTTTTAACTAGGCTTCAGTCCCATGGGAAATCTATGTTTCTTTTTTTTGGTCAATTTAGATGCAGAAGAATTCAGTGACTAATAGTGCAATTTAAGCTTTAATTTAGGTGTACATTAGGTCAGGGCTTTAGACTTGTGTTAAATCAATGTCACACAGGCATCTGGCCATATTGGTTTCAAATGTACAGAGGCAAGAAGTTAATTCTCTGGGAAAATATTTACATAGGCAATTTTACATGTAGCATATTTGACAGCGCATTTTTTATCTTTTACATATTTTTCAGAAAAGCTTTATTTTCATTTCATATCCATTAAAAGTCTGAGTTATGTTAATTATTTTTATCTAATCATCCTATACTATTACTACTAAATATCTACCAGTGTATAATTTGGGCACTAGAGTCAGCAGCAAACTCCACATTTGTAGAAATTTTACAGTAATAAAATGGGCTATGCAGCACAGAGGTAACTTCAATGGTCTTTTTATCAATAGAAGTAAATAAAACTAAAAGATGTGTTAATTAGAGGATCAGAGAGGCAGCACTGCCTCAGGGTTTGTACATGCAGCAGGAGTAAGCGCATTTGTATGGCAAACAAAAAAGGGAAACCACCTTCACTTTAATGCTTTACAAGCTCTACAAAATGCAGTAAACAAAAGTTTTTTTTTTGAGAAAATTACAATTTTTTACAAAATCATAGGGAAAAATAAAAGCTAAAATCCAAGGTTGCAGTAAGATTGTGAATATAAGTTTGGAATTTTGGAAAGAAAGAAGCTGGCCTGCATCTGCTCCTAAACCCAGTTTAGCTAGCTCACATTGTGTTCATGAAATCTTGTCATTATGGGTCAGGGTCATTATGGCAGTGAACTGATCAGAAATAGTTAAACCTTAACAGTCCATTGTGCTGCAAACCAAAGGGATAACAACTCTTCATTTTGAGAGATCTTAAGAGATTATTACAGAAGGTAGCCATCTTTGAAGGTACACATGGTCCAATGGCAACCACAGATTTCAGGATAATTGTGAAAATCTCTGTTTTGGTAGTAAAATTGGATTAATTATAATGCGTATGATATGAAATAATGTTGTTTCAATCTGTTTATTGTGGGATTTTTAATCTCATATGTGTTGTTATCCCTTTAAGTTTGTATGCTTCAGTTGCCATTAGTCCCACAAATGATGATGCAGCACGTAGTCCTCGATTGTCTCCCAACATGACCAAGCTGGCTTACTTAGCTAACAAATCAGGTGGCGCCTATTGCCAGTGTAGTACACTAGTCCTGGTGAGTTATAACATGTGGTATACTGAAACAGAAAGGTCATGGGTCATAGTCTGTTAGTGCAATTTGTGTACTTCAGTGGCCATCAGTACAATGGATGCTGCCGTACGCAGTCCACGCTTCAGTCCTGATATGTCCAAGCTTATATATTTAAAGAACAAAGCAGGAGGCCCACACAGACAATGTTCTACTCTTGAAATGGTGAGTCAGTAGAGAGTATGCAAATTTATATGTTCGTAATGTTTGCTATGTTATGTCAAGGAGGCTGAACACCTTGGTTATGTATTAAAACTTGGTTTTTGGGGTTGATTTTTTGGTTGAATTCATTAAAGTGACCAGAAACATAATAATTAAAGTGGGTGTGGTTTTTAAGCATAGAATGCATCCTAATCATTTTTATAAATCTTCACTTTTAGTACAATTGGCTTGAAAAGCAGACTAAAACAGTTGTGAACATTGTGGATACAATAAATGGTGAGTTGCTGAGAGGGTTTTTGTATATATGCTCATTTGAATGGTGTTGTTAACATTGAACCTAAAAATAACAAATTGCATTTCAGATTTAGTGCTAATGATGATGACATTTATTTTGCAAGTTAATTTAGATTGCAAGTAATTGAATTAATCTTATGGTTTGAATACCATTTGATATTAAAGACATTACAAAAAGAATGTTTAATTGATATTAGGATGATACACAAAATCTGCAAAGAAAGTATGTTGTGTACGTTTTTTGTCTTCTTTCTTCAACTAGTGTTTACTTCTATTATAACAGAAGAGAAGGTATAATTTACATCAGATGTTTTTAAATGTAGTTCTTCTAAGCTTCCAGTGGTGGAGAAGGCCAAGCAATAGACCCCCTAACCTCAAGCAGATCTTTTTGATCAATTTTCTTCTTTATCATTGGCATGAACTAGAACTTGTGAAGATGAGCTTACTTATAACCTTGTGTAATTAAAAAATATTGTTATGTTACAAAGTGTGCAAGGTGCGAAGTATACTGAAATATTTATATGTTTCATATTTTTCAATTTTTTAGTTATTTATTTCAGGTGATGAATTCCCAGGGTTATACTCACTGCTGCTGCCAGAGAGATGCTGGTCTGATGACAATATAAGAGTTGTTATTGATACAGAGTGGAGGAGCAAATGTGTAAGACTTAAAATTTTTATCTCTGCCTGAGTGAATCCAATTCTTCCGATCTTTTTACAGTACTAGGCTTAGAGCACAATGCTTTCATACCTCAGTAAATGGACATAATTATTGGCTTTTTGTTAAAGGTTTTTATTTCAATTTTAACAATCTAAAAATGGTCTACTCATTTACTGCCAAGATGGCAGCCATCCCCGCATTATTCATGGCACATTGTTTTAGATTTTTACTTCTGACTTCAAATGTGAGTTGTTTAACATATTGATGATAATTAACTCTGGAGATCTCTTTGGGCCATGACTTGATGATTAATACTTTAATATTGAGTTCTGTCATATTTCCAGGAAGCTGTGGTCATCAACACAGATACCAGTGAGGTGACCAGACTCACTAAAGGTACTTGGGAAAACAAAACTCTCATGTATGTGTGTGTGTAAGCAGTTTGATGTGTGTATTTGTGAATTCAAGTGTGTTAAAATGTGTGTGCATGTGTGTGTTTGTGTGTGTGTGTGTGTGTGTGTGTGTGTTATTAAGGGTTTTGGACTCTTGACTGTTGTAAAATATAAGTTCTTGATAAATCAGTTTTTGATAATGAAAAATTTTGGGCGAGTCTTTATTATATATATCTTTTCAGTTTGAAATAATTTGTGACACAGCCATATCTACTATGAAGTGATGCATTTTTAGATCCTTATTTTGCTGATTGCAGATGATGAGATTGGGAACTGGCATGTCTTAGATGTGGTTGATGACTATGTTCTGGCACAGTGCTCATCTCCAAATCAACCTCATTTTTTGGTGAGTTGGTTATATCAGTACTCAATGAATTCAAACTAGTTGATTCATTTTATGTACCAAAACCATGGTGGGTATATCTGTAAAATATGTGATATCTTTTATCTGTATCTATATGATATATATAATCTGTTATGATGACTATGTATCATGCGGTATTTGTTCTTCTTTGATATTTGTGTGTGTCACATGTCTTATCTTACACAATTCAGTATGTGATTGGTTCATTGGTGACCAGCAGAAGTCCTTGTGATGAGAATACAACGTTGTCTTCTTCAAACTTTTGTAAAACCAGTAAGATAATTGTGACAGTAATAATATTGAATTATAGATACTTACCTGCTCACTTGAAAATTGTATCTTGTATCTCTCAATATGCTGAATGTTATGAACTCATTTTATCCAATTACTTTTTCGTTGTTTACTGCATAATAGATGGTGGGTGGGCTTCCTGAAGTCAATAAAGAACAGGAGATAAAATGGAGCAGGCTGGGTGAAGCCGCGGCCCTTGAGGACATTACCTGGAAAATTTTAAAACACAATAGAAGTCCTGATGGTAAGGAACATGAAAATTGAAATGATATTTTTAGTTCTCAATTTATAATCTTACTTATATGTACAAGTGAAACTTCTAATTAATATAAAAAGTAAATTTTCAGATGTGAAATGTTTATGAAAGACTTTGTAGGTTGAATACATGTTGGGTGTTTAAGTGCATTTTGAGTTTTGAAGATCTCTTAAGAAAGGGGAAGTCAATGCAACATATCTTGAAATCACTGTATGTACCTTTGAATTTTCAAAATCTTGCCATCATGATTACATTCCATTGCACATTTTACAGGTGACGTAACCAAAGAGTTTGAGAGTGTTTTAATCAGTCCAAAAACGGACTCCTCCAAGAAACCCCCCTTAGTTGTCTATCCTCATGGTAAGATGTGTATAATGCAGATTCATTCATGTTTATTATATGGTATTATATAAAATTTAAAATTCCACAGTAAATTCAATGCCTCATTGTATTTAATGGAAATGGAATGTTTCTTTGTTTAAATTGTCTGCAGCTTTCATTTTGATTTTTATTGTTACTCTGCAAATGTGACTGATCACGTTAATCTGGGATGACAGGTCCGTAGCCAGCAATTTCAAAAGGGGGGTTCGTTTTCTGAAAAAGTGGACCTTTTTCCATAAAAACTTCATGTACCTAGATCAAATTTTATTCAGAGTGGACCTTTTCCCAGCAAAAGGGGCGGTTCTTTCGAACCCCCCGAACCCCCCCTGGCTACGGGCCTGGATGATTTGTTTAAATGTTATACATGAAGCTATGCAACTTTTATTTCTTACAAACTGGTAAATTTTTCCAAATTATAAAATTAATGCAGTAGTGAGCTTCTTTTAACATGCAGCCAGTGCTGTAGTACTAAGTTAGATATGTTGTTCCAGGTGGACCTCACTCTGTGTTTTCTTCAGAGTACTCTCTGTATGCAGCAGCACTATGCAAATGTGGCTTTGCAGTTCTGTTTGGTAAGGTTAACACTTGTGCTTTGAAAAACAGAATAAATTAGATTTGATATAACTTATGTTACTATTGATTCGAAAGAAGAAATGATTATTGGCAGAAATCAATGTTTTTTATCAATATTTGTTTGGAAAATGCTATTGTATATGATTGAAGATCTAAAACAGCTGCATTTAGTAATAACAAAACATGCCATGATAATTAATGTATGAAATAAGTCTGAATCTCTTAATTCTATATTTTTTTTATAAAAAGTATGAATGCTACAAGGTTTATAAATGAGCCTGCAATATTACATTTCAGTAAATTACGGTGGATCCACAGGGTTTGGACAGGCATCCATTGAGGCTTTACCTGGTAACATTGGTACTGCTGATGTCAGTGATGTACAGGTAATGTGATGTTACTTTGTGTTCACCATGTTACAGATGAGTTCTGCTGACTTCTTGGGTTAACTAATTATCTATTAACAGAAAAATACCAGCAGGCTATCTTGATTCTTAAATTGATCAGATGAAGTAAGGATTTTATTAGAAATTCATGTAGCATAATTTGCGGACAATTTTTAGTCTTAAATTTGTTGATAGGTCTGTTCTAGAGCCCCAAGAGTGGTCAACTTAAAAGAAAAAATTTTTTTTGTTCCAGTTTGCTGCAGAGTGTGTGGTGAACAGTGCCTTCAAGTTGGTCCATAAAAGACGTGTCTTTCTAGCAGGGGGGTCCCATGGGGGTTTTCTCACAGCACATCTCATTGGACAATATCCAGTAAGTAATGTTTTTGCTAATTTTTATGATTAACATTTTGTAAGTTTCAATCAGGAGAAGAAGTTGTATTTTTGCCAGAAATTTGTTTTCAAGATTATAAATTTTAATTTTGATTAATTTCAGGATTTTTATCGTGCTGCTGTTCTCAGGAATCCAGTTGTAAACATTGCCTGTGAGTAACTTTAACGTGTGCTATTAAAAACAGTAAAGGGTTGTATAGGAAAACTTATCATCAAAAGATTATTCTGTATTATTTGTAACTTAGAACTCTTTTAGATTGAAATACAGCCATAATACAAACAAACTATGCAATGATTTTATTGTTTATGGCAGTTATCTTGACAAGGCAAGTAGTAAGCCAGTAATCAGAGTGTATTATTAGATCAGTGGAACATTGGTTTAAAATTATTTCATATATTAAGTTTTTCTGGACACTTTTTAACAGTTTCCAATTAGTGAAGAAGACCAGTTTGTTTTATTTTATATTATTTATTTGTTTATTTATTTTTAGCCATGATGCATACCACTGACATCCCTGATTGGTAAGTCTTTAATCTTGGATATGTTTTATTCCATTTTCTCCAAAAACATGTCTGTGTTGCTGTTACACTGTGCATATGTGTGTGTGGTCATAGATCCAGAGGCTGAACTAAGCGTTATTGTCAAATAAAACATTAAACCGTCACGTGCATTCAGTGGAGGTGCCCCATGACTGCAAGTGGTCACTGTGTTCATGGAACACTTTCAACCTCTACTATCCTTATCAAGTGGATTTATTGCCAGTTATTGAAATTGTCCTGTTTTTGTGACTATTGATAGAGAATTGTACCAAATAAGTCCTGCAGTGTTATATACATATATTTTAGGGAAAAAGTATTGCCAGCAAAAATCATCACTAGATTTAATAAGTATAGGTAAATAAATACAGGTCATTTAAATTAGTAGTAAACATATATTGTTCCAATATTTTGTCACTAAGGTGTTGTGTAGAGGCTGGGCTGGGATTTGACTTCAAAACCATTTGTGATCCTGCAGGCTACCAGGCACTCTGGAAACACTCCCCTATAAGATATGCTGACCAGGTATGGACACTGGACACCTACCACACTGCCCAGTGGTCAGTGATGAGAGTTACTTTTATATTTGGCTATATAAAACTGACTCTCAGCACTAATCTCCTCTTCCTATTAGAGATTCTCATTTTATTGGTGAAAGGTTAATCTACTGGTATCAGGAGTGGCAGTATTTACAAGTCTCTGCTCTAGATTGAGGAGATTTTTGGCATTTCTTTAATCATTCTGCCACTATTTTATGACATACACAGCTGGATGTTTGTCATTTTCAAAAGAAATTTGTTTCTTTTATAAGAAAAAAAGAGTTTAGTTCACAATTTTGGTGAAATATAATTGAAATTTTTAACACTTTGTAATTCTTTTGGTTTCATCCTCATAAATAAATCAATCCATTCACAAAAGATGTCTTTGGAAATGGCATTTAAGTACATATTTGAAAGAAAATATACAGAACTAAGTGCTGTTCAAAGTTTTCTGCCTTCCTGATACTGGTAGACTATGATTACTTCCAGTGGGTGATCTAATTTGTGTTGTTTCACTAGGCGTTACACCGAGATTGGTAAAGTCTTCACCTTTCAAAGTATCACCGAGCCGTCTTGTTATCAAACTGCCTATAAGTGTTCACCCATCAGATATGCAGATAGGGTAAGGCAAGTGCTTCACTGGAAGCTTTTTCTGCATGACAGCTTTAATTGCCTGTACAACCTTGAGTTTCAAATTCACAGTGAAGACTCTTCATCAGTAAACAGTGTTTTTGCTCTCACAGTTCAGCTGTGTTAGGAGAGTCATCAATATTACTTTGAAACTCAGGTGATAGTAACACAGGTAACAAACCAAAAGAATTACAGTTCCTGTGACCTAGTGAAACAACATGGCTATTAAAATAACTTAATTACAAGATTACCTCAATGTTAGTGGATTTTTTGAAAAGTTTATAAACTATATGAATATTGATGCATACATTTTAAGAGTGGTGAATCTTGAATATTCTGTACACTAGACATAACTGAATGTTTCAGATGAAGACCCCCTCAGTTATCATGCTGGGTGCCAATGACCTCCGTGTGCCTCCATCTCAGGGCAAAGAGCTGTACAAGGCACTGCATTCCAGAGGAGTCACTGTCAGGTAACATTTTTTGTGTGATTTTGCTAAGATGTAGAAAAAAAAAACTACAAAAGACTCAGGGATAAAAGATGTATTTTTTTCAGTTTGGGGAAAGTCTTGCTCTTGTTTCTGAATATTTTGCATCATTATTGCATAAGAACTATTCACAGATTGAACCCAACTCGCTATTCAATTTTTTAAAATTTCTTTTTAAGGTCATTGATGGTGGGGGCATTTGAAAAAATGTAAAATATCTATTTAAGACAGTTTGCTTAAATTTAGAAACTGATTTCTGAACTCAATTTTTTCAGATTGCTCATTTACCCAGACAACAGTCATCCATTGAACAAAGTAGATACTGAAGCTGATGCCTTCATGAACATTGTGAAGTGGTTCTGGGACCATTTACATAAAGAAGTTCCAGAAGAGACAATATAAGAGAGATACACCATTTGTTATGAGATGGATCAATCACAGGAAACCATGGATAGACTGAGGTGATTTTAGAAAGGACAATGTGAGAGATCTAAACACCATTTGTTTTGTTATTGGATAATTTTAACTCCAGAGGAAACCAAAAGAGAGGCAATTCCAAAAGAGACAATATAAAAGAAAATTTGATTTCAATTGCATTAGAAACCAAATGAAAAACAATCCCAGAAGAAAATTTGTAAACCTCATTTGATTATTTCAACTCCAGTGGGAGAAAGTTGAAATTAAGATATATCAACTCGGTAAAGTGTTAAAGATTATGTATTGGCATCTAAATGCCATTTGCTCCAGAATCTGTGGAAATTTTATTATCAATGCATCAGTTTATTACCAATTTGTATTTTGTCTGTTTTTTGAGTGACTCATTTATTAATACAATCCCAACAGACATATCTTACAACCTATGTATCAGTTGTTACTGAATGTTGCTTTCCTTATGTATAAGGAAATATAAGAAGTTGGAGAAGTAATTGTGAAAAATTGCCTAGGGCTGATGTCATTTCATCTCAGTAACAAATTATTTTTCACTAGGTGACAATTCTTTGTCTGACATTAATTATCAGGACTTGGGTTTAAAGCCTAAACTTTTCTAGCATTACCTTCCTCAGGTGAACCAAAACCTTTCATATCAAAGCAAAGTGTGCCATGTTCTGTGAGGATATAATTTTTCAAATATAAAAATAATTATTTAAAAGAGTAATTATTGTGAAGTTTCGTTGGTTAATGGAATATATTATGAAAGCATCGTAAAAGAACTTTTAAATTAAGCCTCTTTGAGATGCACAATACCTAACAGTACTTGAAAAGAATTCAATTCTTTCTGATTAAATTTTCAAGATTTAAAAATAAACACCAACGCTTTGCATAAATATTTGAATTTTAGTTGAATTTAGAGTTGAATTTTATTACCAAATATTGTACAACACTGCTATTAGGTTTTCTTCATATTTACAATCACAATTATGTACATTATATAACATAAACAGACATGACCCATTATGTGGATATATCTCAAATATGTATCAAGTCTACATCAGTCTTTTCCTCACAAATTACTTGAAAATGGGACTCGGGTTACAAATGGTATTCTTTACTTTAAAGATGGACATATCAATAATTAAAGTCAATTATTAATGATTATTAGAATGCATAATTTACATTTTTATACATGTTGACATTTTAATTCACTGATTTGAAAACAATCATGCCAATTGACATTAAAGTACCACTTTAATAACACATTTTGTTTCTTATTATATTATATACCAAATGGAAATGCATTGAAAGTAGTCAAAATTAATATGAATTATAATAATTATAATGCGCAGTGCACTCTTGTGCATCTATCAAATGTGCAATACCAGTTTGGCATAGTTGCCTCTTTTGTCGNTTTTTTTTTTTTTTTTTTTTTTTTGAGAAAATTACAATTTTTTACAAAATCATAGGGAAAAATAAAAGCTAAAATCCAAGGTTGCAGTAAAATTGTGAATATAAGTTTGGAATTTTGGAAAGAAAGAAGCTGGCCTGCATCTGCTCCTAAACCCAGTCTTGCTCACATTGTGTTCAGGAAATCTATCATTATGGCAGTGAACTGATCAGAAGTAGTTAAACCTTAACAGTCCATTGTGCTGCAAACCAAAGGGATAACAACACTTCATTTTGAGAGATCTTAAGAGATTATTACAGAAGGTAGCCATCTTTGAAGGTACACATGGTCCAATGGCAACCACAGATTTCAGGATAATTGTGAAAATCTCTGTTTTGATAGTAAAATTGGATTTATTATAATGCGTATGATATGAAATAATGTTGTTTCAATCTGTTTATTGTGGAATTTTTAATCTCATATGAGTTGTTATCCCTTTAAGTTTGTATGCTTCAGTTGCCATCAGTCCCACAAATGATGATGCAGCACGTAGCCCTCGCTTGTCTCCCGACATGACCAAGCTGGCTTACTTAGCTAACAAATCAGGTGGCGCCTATTGCCAGTGTAGTACACTAGTCCTGGTGAGTTATAACATGTAGTATACTGAAACAAAAAGGTCATGGGTCATAGTCTGTTAGTGCAATTTGTGTACTTCAGTGGCCATCAGTACAATGGATGCTGCTGTACGCAGTCCACGCTTCAGTCCTGATATGTCCAAGCTTATATATTTAAAGAACAAAGCAGGAGGCCCACACAGACAATGTTCTACACTTGAAATGGTGAGTCAGTAGAGAGTATGCAAATTTATATGTTCGGAATGTTTGCTATGTTATGTCAAGGAGGCTGAACACCTTGGTTATGTATTAAAACTTGGTTTTGGGGGTTGATTTTTTGGTTGAATTCATTAAAGTGACCAGAAACATAATAATTAAAGTGAGTGTGGTTTTTAAGCATAGAATGCATCCTAATCATTTTTATAAATCTTCACTTTTAGTACAATTGGCTTGAAAAGCAGACTAAAACAGTTGTGAACATAGTGGATACAATAAATGGTGAGTTGCTGAGAGGGTTTTTGTATATATGCTCATTTGAATGGTCTTGTTAACATTGAACCTAAAAATAAGAAATTGCATTTCAGATTTAGTGCTAATGATGATGACATTTATTTTGCAAGTTAATTTAGATTGCAAGTAATTGAATTAATCTTATGGTTTGAATACCATTTGATATTAAAGACATTACAAAAAGAATGTTTAATTGATATTAGGATGATACACAAAATCTGCAAAGAAAGTATGTTGTGTACATTTTTTGTCTTCTTTCTTTAACTAGTGTTAACTTCTATTATGACAGAAGAGAATGTATAATTTACATCAGATGTTTAAAAATGTAGTTCTTCTAAGCTTCCAGGTGTGAAGAAGGGCAAACAATAGACTCTGCCTAATCTCAAGCAGATCTTTTTGAACAGTTTTTCTTTATCATTGGTATGAACTGGAACTTGTGAAGATGAGCTTACTTATATCCTTGTGTAATTAAAAAATATTGTTATGTTACAAATTGTGCAAGGTGGGAAGTATACTGAAATATTTATATGTTTCATATTTTTCAATTTTTTAGTTATTTATTTCAGGTGATGAATTCCCAGGGTTATACTCACTGCTGCTGCCAGAGAGATGCTGGTGTGATGACAATATAAGAGTTGTTATTGATACAGAGTGGAGGAGCAAATGTGTAAGACTTAAAATGTTATCACTGTCTCTCTGAGTGAATCCAATTTTTCCAATCTTTCTTCAGTACTAGAGCACAACGCTTGCATACCTCAGTAAATGGACATAATTATTGGCTTTTTGAACAATCTCAAAATGGTCTACTCATTTACTGCCAAGATGGCAGCCATCCCCGCATTATTCATGGCACATTGTTTTAGATTTTTACTTCTGACTTCAAATAGTTTGTTGTTTAACATATTGATGATAATTAAATGTGGAGAATTCATCATGCCTGGATTTGGTGATTGAGGTGTTTAATATTGAGTTCTGTCATATTTCCAGGAAGCTGTGGTCATCAACACAGATACCAGTGAGGTGATCAGACTGACTAAAGGTACTTGGGAAAACAAAACTCTCATGTATGTGTGTGTGTGTAAGCAGTTTGATGTGTGTATTTGTGAATTCAAGTGTGTTAAAATGTGTGTGTGTGTGTGTGTGTGTGTGTGTGTGTGTGTGTGTGTGTGTGTGTGTGTGTGTGTGTGTGTGTGTGTGTGTGTGTGTGTGTGTGTGTGTGTTATTAAGGATTTTGGACTCTTGACTGTTGTAAAATATAAGTTCTTGATAAATCAGTTTTTGATAATGAAACATTTTGGGCGAGTCTTTATTATATATATCTTTTCAGTTTGAAATAATTTGTGACACAGCCATATCTACTATGAAGTGATGCATTTTTAGATCCTTATTTTGCTGATTGCAGATGATGAGATTGGGAACTGGCATGTCTTAGATGTGGTTGATGACTATGTTCTGGCACAGTGCTCACCTCCAAATCAACCTCATTTTTTGGTGAGTTGGTTATATCAGTACTCAATGAATTCAAACTAGTTGATTCATTTTATGTACCAAAACCATGGTGGGTATATCTGTAAAATATGTGATATCTTTTAGATAAAGATATCAATAATCCGTTATGATGACCATGTATCATAGGGTATTTGTTCTTTGATATTTGTACATGTCTTATCTTACACAATTCAGTATGTGATTGGCTCATTAGTGACCAGCAGAAGTCCTTGTGATGAAAATACAACGTTGTCTTCTTCAGTCTTTTGTAAGACCAGTAAGATAATTGTGACAGTAATAATAATAATAAATTATACAGTAGATACTTACCTGCTCACTTGAAAATTTTGTATCTTGTATCTCGTCAATATGCTGAATGTTGTATCTAATTTCTTTTTCATTGTTTACTGTATAATAGATGGTGGGTGAGCTTCCTGAAGCCAATAAAGAACAAGAGATAAAGTGGAACAGGCTGGGTGAAGACGCGACCCTTGAGGACATCACCTGGAAAATTTTAAAACACAATAGAAGTCCTGATGGTAAGGAACATGAAAATTGAAATGATGTTTTTAGTTCTCAGTTAATAATCTTACTTATATATACAAGTGACAATTCTAATAAATACGAAAAGCAAAAAGTGAAATGTTTATGAAAGACTTTGTAGTTTGAATACGTTTGATGCAACTATTAGCATATTTTGAGTTTGAAGATCACTTAAGAAAGAGGAAATCAATGCAACATATCTTGAAATCACTATGTGTTACTTTGAATATTCCAAATCATCTCATCATGATTACATTCCATTGCACACTTTACAGGGGACGTAACCAAAGAGTTTGAGAGTGTTTTAATCAGTCCAAAAACGGACTCCTCCAAGAAACCCCCCTTAGTTGTCTATCCTCATGGTAAGATGTGTTATAAGGCAGATTCATTCATGTTGATGGTTTATACAAAGTCTTAAATCCCACAGTAAATTCAATGCCTCATTGTATTTAATGGAAATGGAATGTTTCTTTGTTTAAGTTGTCTGTAGCTTTCATTTTGATTTCAATTGTTACTCTGCAAATGTGACTGAACATGATGATCTAGGTTAAAAGTTATACATTTAGCTATTCAACCTATATATTTTAAGGAAGCTGGTAATTTATTCCAAATAAAAAGGCAGTAATTAGCTTCTCTTTACGTAGTAGTCAGCTTCATTTAACATGCAGCCAGTGCTGTAGTACTAAGTTAGATATGTTGTTCCAGGTGGACCTCACTCTGTGTTTTCTTCAGAGTACTCTCTGTATGCAGCAGCACTATGCAAATGTGGCTTTGCAGTTCTGTTTGGTAAGGTTAACACTTGTGCTTTGAAAAACAGAATAAATTAGATTTGATATAACTTATGTTACTATTGAAAGAAGAAATGATTATTGGCAAAAATCAATGTTTTTTTATCAATATTTGTTTGGAAAATGCTATTGTATATGATTGAAGGTCTAAAACAGCTACATTTAGTAATAACAAAACATGCCATGATAATTAATGTGTGAAATAAGTCTGAATCTGTTAATTGTATATTTTTTAGAAAAAGTATGAATGCTACAATGTTTATAAATGAGCCTGCAATATTACATTTCAGTAAATTACGGTGGATCCACAGGGTTTGGACAGGCGTCCATTGAGGCTTTACCTGGTAACATTGGTACTGCTGATGTCAGTGATGTACAGGTAATGTGACATTACTTTGTGTTCACCATGTTACAGATGAGTTCTGCTGACTTCTTGGGTTAACTAATTATCTATTAACAGAAAAATACCAGCAGGCTATCTTGATTCTTAAATTGATCAGATGAAGTAAGGATTTTATTAGAAATTCGTGTAGCATAATTTGCGGACAATTTTTAGTCTTAAATTTGTTGATAGGTCTGTCCTAGAGCCCCAAGAGTGGTCAACTTAAAAGAAAAAATATTTTTTGTTGCAGTTTGCTGCAGAGTGTGTGGTGAACAGTGCCTTCAAGTTGGTCCATAAAAGACGTGTCTTTCTAGCAGGGGGGTCCCATGGGGGTTTTCTTACAGCACATCTCATTGGACAATATCCCGTGAGTATTGTTTTTGCTAATTGTTATGATTAACATTTTGTAAGTTTCAATCAGCAGAAGAAGTTGTATTTTTGCCAGAATTTTAACATTATAAATTTTAATTTTGATTAATTTCAGGATTTTTATCGTGCTGCTGTTCTCAGGAATCCAGTAGTAAACATTGCCTGTGAGTAACTTTAACGTGTGCTGCTGAAAACAGCATAGGGTTGTATAGGAAAACTAATTGTCAAAAGATTAATCTGTATTATTTGTAACTGTGAACTCTTTTAGATTCAAATATCATCATACAAACAAACTATGCAATGATTTTATTTTTTATGGCATGGAAAGTAGTAAGCCAGTAATCAGAGTGTATCATTACATCAGTGGAACGTTGGTTTAAAATTATTTCATATCTTAGTTTATCTGGACATGTTTTAACAGTTTCCAATTAGTGAAGAAGATCAGCTTGTTTTATTTTATATTATTTATTTGTTAATTTATTTTTTAGCCATGATGCATACCACTGACATCCCTGATTGGTAAGTCTTTCATCTTGGATATGTTTTATTCCATTTTCTCCAAAAACATATGTCTGACTATTTACTATGTTGCTGTTGCACTGTGCATGTGTGTGTGTGTGTGTGTGTGTGTGTGTGTGAGCATCAGAATGTGCAGTAATGCTAGTCACAGTAATCACTCACCAGGTATCTGCTGTTTGATCATAGATTCAGAGGCTGAACTAAGTGTTAGTGTCAAATGAAACATAAAACTATCACTTGCATTCAGTAGAGATTCCCATGACTGCAAGTGGTCACTGTGTTCATGGAACACTTTCAACCTCTGTTACTGTTATCAAGTGGATTTATTGCCTGTTTTTGTGACTCTTGATAGATAATTGTACCCAATTAGATAGTCCTGCAGTATTATATAACTATTTATTTTTTGGGAGAAAAGAATTGTCCTCAAATATGATCACTCGAATTGATAAGTAAGAAAAAGATAAATTAGCACAAGTCAGTTGAACAAGTAAATATACAGTGTTCCCATGTTTTGTCACTAAGGTGTTGTGTAGAGGCTGGGCTGGGATTTGACTTCAAAACCATTTGTGATCCTGCAGGCTACCAGGCACTCTGGAAACACTCCCCTATAAGATATGCTGACCAGGTATGGACACTGGACACCTACTACACACTGCCCAGTGGTCAGTGATGAGAGTTACTTTTATATTTGGCTATATAAAACTGACTCTCAGTACTGATCTCTTTTCCTATTTGAGATTCTCATTTTATTGGTGAAAGGTAAATCTACTGGTATCAGGAATGGCAGTATTTACAAGTCTCTGCTCTAGATTGAGGAGATTTTTGGCATTTCTGGAATCATTCTGCAGTTATTTTCTGACATACACAGCTGGATGTTTGTCATTTTCAAAGGAAATTTGTTTCTTTTATTAGAAAAAGAGAGTTTAAATCACAATTTTGGTGAAATATAATTGAAAATTTTAAAACTTTGTAATACTTTTGGTATTATCCTTATAAGTAAATCAATCCATTCACAAAAGATGTCTGCATCTATCTTTGGAAATGGCATTTAAGTACATATTTGAAAGAAAATATACAGAACTAAGTGCTGTTCAAAGTTTTCTGCCTTCCTGATACTGGTAGACTATGATTACTTCCAGTGGGTGATCTAATTTGTGTTGTTTCACTAGGCGTTACACCGAGATTGGTAAAGTCTTCACCTTTCAAAGTATCACCGAGCCTTCTTGTTATCAAACTGCCTATAAGTGTTCACCCATCAGATATGCAGATAGGGTAAGGCAAGTGCTTCACTGGAAGCTTTTTCTGCATGACAGCTTTAATTGCCTGTACAACCTTGAGTTTCAAATTAACAGTGAAGACTCTTCATCAGTAAACAGTGTTTTTGCTCTCACAGTTCAGCTGTGTTAGGAGAGTCATCAATATTACTTTGAAACTCAGGTGATAGTAACACAGGTAACAAACCAAAAGAATTACAGTTCCTGTGACCTAGTGAAACAACATGGCTATTAAAATAACTTTTAAATTACAAGATTACCTCAATGTTAGTGGATTTTTTGAAAAGTTTATAAACTATATGAATATTGATGCATACATTTTAAGAGTGGTGAATCTTGAATATCCCGTACACTAGACATAACTGAATGTTTCAGATGAAGACCCCCTCAATTATCATGCTGGGTGCCAATGACCTCCGTGTGCCTCCATCTCAGGGCAAAGAGCTGTACAAGGCACTGCATTCCAGAGGAGTCACTGTCAGGTAACATTTTTTGTGTGATTTAGCTAAGATGTAGAAAAAAAAAAACTACAAAAGACTCAGGGATAAAAGATGTATTTTTTTCAGTTTGGGGAAAGTCTTGCTCTTGTTTCTGAATATTTTGCATCATTATTGCATAAGAACTATTCACAGATTGAACCCAACTCGCTATTCAATTTTTTAAAATTTCTTTTTAAGGTCATTGATGGTGGGGGCATTTGAAAAAATGTAAAATATCTATTTAAGACAGTTTGCTTAAATTTAGAAACTGATTTCTGAGCTCCTTTTTTTCAGATTGCTCATTTACCCAGACAACAGTCATCCGTTGAACAAAGTAGATACTGAAGCTGATGCCTTCATGAACATTGTGAAGTGGTTCTGGGACCATTTACATAAAGAAGTTCCAGAAGAGACAATATAAGAGAGATACACCATTTGTTATGATATGGATCAATCACAGGAAACCATGGATAGACTGAGGTGATTTTAGAAAAGACAATGTGAGAGATCTAAACACCATTTTTTATGTTATTGGATAATTTTAACTCCAGAGGAAACCAAAAGAGAGGCAATTCCAAAAGAGACAATATAAAAGAAAATTTGATTTCAATTGCATTAGAAACCAAATGAAAAACAATCCCAGAAGAAAATATGTAAACCTCATTTGATTATTTCAACTCCAGTGGGAGAAAGTTGAAATTAAGATATATCAACTCGGTAAAGTGTTAAAGATTATGTATTGGCATCAAAATGCCATTTGCTCCAGAATCTGTGGAAATTTTATTATTAATGCATCAGTTTATTACCAATTTGTATTTTGTCTGTTTTTTGAGTGACTCATTTATTAATACAATCCCAACAGACATATCTTACAACCTATGTATCAGTTGTTACTGAATGTTGCTTTCCTTATGTATAAGGAAACATAAGAAGTTGGAGAAGTAATTGTGAAAAATTGCCTAGGGCTGATGTCATTTCATCTCAGTAACAAATTATTTTTCACTAGGTGGCAATTCGTTGTCTGACATTAATTATCAGGACTTGGGTTTAAAGCCTAAACTTTTCTAGCATTACCTTCCTCAGGTGAACCAAAACCTTTCATATCAAAGCAAAGTGTGCCATGTTCTGTGAAGATATAATTTTTCAAATATAAAAATAATTATGTAAAAGAGTAATTATTGTGAAGTTTCGTTGGTTAATGGAATATATTATGAAAGCATCGTAAAAGAACTTTTAAATTAAGCCTCTTTGAGATGCACAATACCTAACAGTACTTGAAAAGAATTCAATTCTTTCTGATTAAATTTTCAAGATTTAAAAATAAACACCAACGCTTTGCATAAATATTTGAATTTTAGTTGAATTTAGAGTTGAATTTTATTACCAAATATCGTACAACACTGCTATTAGGTTTTCTTGATATTTACAATCAAAATTATGTACATTATATAACATAAACAGACATGACCCATTATACCTCAAATATGTATCAAGTCTACATCAGTCTTTTCCTCACAAATTACTTGAATATGGGACTCGGGTTACAAATGGTATTCTTTACTGGAAAGATGGACATATCAATAATTAAAATCAATTAGTAATGATTATTAGAATGCATAATTTACATTTTTATACATGTTGACATTTTAATTCACTGATTTGAAAACAATCATGCCAATTGACATTAAAGTACCACTTAAATAACACATTTTGTTTCTTATTATATTATATACCAAATGGAAATGCATTGAAAGTAGTCAAAATTGATATGAATTATAATAATTATAATACGCAGTGCACACTTGTGCATCTATCAAATGTGCAATACCAGTTTGGCATAGTTGCTTCTTTTGTCATTCAAGGCTAAAAACATTTCTTGAAAAGAAAGATTATCTCCAAATAAATTTACTTCCATACCAAGTATAAAAATAATTTGAGATGCTACCAGGCTTCTGGTCACATACATACATACATGTAATGCTTGAAGATTAACTTTTGGCCAGGAAAAATTAATGTCCTGTTAAATGCTATGGTAGTTTTCTCAATAACCCTTGGACACACAGCCCCTGCTCACATAGGGCATCTAATATTCAGGTAATGTATTCGTCTGTGGTGTAGGAGACCCACCAATAGGTGGCAGCACTCTATGTTTGTGTGAGCCAGGTCTGCCAGAGTTGTTAACAGCTGGGAGTGAGTTGACATCATAAGAACCCAGCTCCATAGAGCCTGCAGAGTGGGGCCTAGAACCCCCAGAACCTCCAGGAGGGGGCGCAAACACAAACCCAGACCCACTTTTTGTTGCCCTGTCTGGAGACATCAGTTCCATGGGATCCATGGATTCTGATGGTAACTCAATTGGTGGCTGATTCTGCCCTGAGCCATCTTGGGATTCTGTTTCCTCAAAAGCCTCATTTTGGGCTGAGGATATATTAGAGAGACTGGTGCTGGTCCTGGAGGTCTGGTGGCTTGAGTCTGGGGAGCTAGGAGGGAGTTGGTCCATGTTATTGGGGTCATCTGGGGTGAAGGCCTTTCCAGGGGCTGACCTTGATCTTTGACCTGTGACCTCATTGCCTTCACCCAGGCCATTGGTTTCCATTGCAGGAGCCGTTGTGGGAGTGCTGGAGAAAAATAAGGTAAATATTCAGATATTACTATTTTATAATGCACCTGAAAAGTATTATGCAATTTTAACTAAATATCTTCTCCATAAAATTGCGTTCAATATTTTGATTACTTACATATTTTGAGATGAAATAAACAAAAAATTATACTGAAAACATTCGATTATACATCAGTAAATGTACGTGTTTTCTTTTGTCTTAACACAGATGTATATGGAAAAGGATAAAAGAATGCGATGAACTTATTTTTTGGGACAAACATTACTTACTATTTCAAGATCTCATCATAAATGCTTGGTTTTAGGCCTGCTACAGCTTCTTTGGCTGCACTCTTCCTACGACTCAATGAGGCTGCTTCCTATAAACCACAATGATAATGACATCAATACAGCTTGTAAAAATTTTTTCAAACATTTATTGGTACTAAAACGTAACATCCTATCTGTAAAATCTTTTAAAGCACACTCACCACAACCCCCCTTCCAACTGGTGTGTGTGCCTTGCTCCCGACTCCTCCCCCAGTGCTGGCCTGTAGCTGTGATGTACTGTCAGGAATACTGGGGCGTGACCAGGTCCTGGCCCCCATCCCTGTGTCTGTCAGCTTCGTCCCTGTGACACTACTGGTGTCCTGGTCTTGGTACTCGGACTCTGTGGGCGTGGGGACGTTGATGCCAAGGTAGTCCATGACCAAGCGACGCAGTTTTTTGTAGGCCTCCGAGATGTCATCTGTGGAAAGGTATGAGCAAGAAAAAATGTGTAAAAATCCCTATAAAACAGCTGAAAATATTTGAGAGCAATCCACCATGACATTTACTCTTAATAACATGAAGGTGACTGAAAAACTTAAAACATAAATTTTCATGGTAACAGTCTGGGCCAAAATTGTTCTCACCTCCTAGCTAATATGGCCACCAATGGGGTAATAATATACTGCCCTAAGAATTATGGCGATAAACACCAATATTCAGCTTCTGGCAGGCATGAGGTCCAACCAAAGTCTACCGTTATCAAGGCCAAGGATAAAGGCTCTCAGCTTTAACTTATTTTTGTTGTGAGGGGAAATTCAAATAACCCTATGAAGAAGAAAAGTCATGTTTAAGAAATGCAAACTCACCACTAGGAATGACCATGTCAAAGAAGCCTGGGTGTTCCTGATTGTAATCTATGTACACCTGTGTCCTGGCTAGTGTGGCTTCAATTTGGTTCTCAGTGAACAGCTCCATGTCGCGCATACGACGCTCGTGTACTTCCCTTTTCAGTGGCAACACCAGCACATACCTGGGCTCCAAGTAGGTGTTCTTCAAGGTCAGCACTCCCTAAGGTATGGGAAAGGACAATTATGATACTGATGTTTAATAGTCCATGTGTGGGAATTAGTCTAAGTGTGTGTGTGTCTCTCTCTCTCTCTCTCTCTCTCTCTCTCTCTATTTGGACATCTTATGATTTGTTTTAAATGAAAAACTGTCAAAGATTTACACCACTTGTTCTTCATTTTATAATGTTGACATAGAAAGAATAACTTTTGAAAAACTCTTAATTTAATTTAATAAAAACTTGTACATCCTCCCTGCCCCCCCCCCCTTCTTGGCGTGGGTTTTAGGTATTTTAGAGGACAAATGGTGCCATTTGGTATGGTTTAGAACTATGATTCAGCCAGTCAAAATTCTAATGTCAAGAGGGGATCATTGGTGTGATTTTTTTTTCAGAAATCGAA